ACATAAAAAAAATAATTTAGGGTTGACATTTTTGGCAATTTCATAGAGGTATTTTTTTTACCTCTATGACTTCAAAATTTCACTTACAATTTTTGAGTTGAATTTTTCTTTTTATGTGGCTTATATATAACTTGCTGCACTTTTTTCTGCAATACATAAAAAAAAAATATTTTAGGGTTGACATTTTTGGCAACTTCAATGGAGGTTATTTTTTCACCTCTATGACTTCAAAAAATTAAATTTAGGGTTGACATTTTTGGCAACTTCATAGAGGTATTTTTTTCACCTCTATGACTTCAAAATTTCTCTTTAAACATGCAACATACAATTTTTGAGTACAGGTTTTTTCTTTTTATGTTGCTAATATATGATTTGCTGCATTTTTTTCTGCAATACATATAAAAATATTTTAGGGTTGACATTTTTGGCAACTTCATAGAGGTAATTTTTTCACCTCTATGACTTCAAAATTTCTCTTTAAACATGCAACATATAATTATGCCCCCCTTCGAAGAACAGGGGGTATATTGTTTTGCTAATGTCACTCTGCCTATCTGTCGGTAGACCACATAGTTTCCTTTAATTATCTTAAAAACTATTTATCACAAAGTCTTCATATTTCACATAGCGATTATCATAACGAGTAAATGACCACCTTTCATTTTCGGGTCACTAGGTCAAAGGTCAAGGTCACAGGGGCCTTGAATAGTTGTATGGTTTTAACTTATTATCTTGGTTACTATTCATCGCAACGTCTTCATATTTCACATATTGATTGGTCATAACTAGTAGATTCATAACTAGTAGATGACCCCTATTGATTCTGGGGTCACCAGGTCAACGGTCAAAGTCACAGGGTCCTTGAAGGTTAGTATGGTTTCCGCTCATTATCTTGAAAGTTATTTAACACAAAGTCTTCATATTTCAAATATTGATTGGTCATAACTATTAGATGACCCCTATTGATTTTGGGTCACAAGTTCAAAGGTCAAGGTCACAGGAACCTTAAATGTCAGAATGGTTTTTGCTCATTATCTTTAAAAACTATTTGTCACAAAGTATTCATATTTTTCTTTTTTCCATAACTGAACACTTCCATGTACCCATTTATGGCAAGTTTCTATAGCAAAATAACCAATAATGTGAGTCAAGGGCTAGAAAGAGGGCATATGTGTTGTTTGACATTTCTTGTTTTTGAGTTTAGTTTTCTTCCCATTTTTGTGGCTTATATGTGGTGCTGCACTTTTCTTTTTCTTCAATACATGTGAATTTTTTTATGTTTGACATTTTTGGAAATTTCATGGAGATAATTTTTCATCTCTAAAACTTCAAAATTTCACTTACAGTTTTTGAGTTGAATTTTTCTTTTTATGTGGCTTATATATAACTTGCTGCATTTTTTTCTGCAATACATCAAAAAAGATTATTTTAGGGTTGACATTTTTGGCAACTTCATAGAGGTAATTTTTTCACCTCTATGACTTCAAAATTTCACTTACAATGTTGAGTTGAATTTTTCTTTTCATGTGGCTTATATATAACTTGCTGCATTTTTTTCTGCAATACATAAAAAAAAGAATATTTTAGGGTTGACATTTTTGGCAACTTCATAGAGGTAATTTTTTCACCTCTATGACTTCAAAATTTCACTTACAATTTTTGAGTTGAATTTTTCTTTTTATGTGGCTTATATATAACTTGCTGCATTTTTTTCTGCAATACATAAAAAAAGATTATTTTAGGGTTGACATTTTTGGCAACTTCATAGAGGTAATTTTTTCACCTCTATGACTTCAAAATTTCTCTTTAAACATGCAACATATAATTATGCCCCCCTTCGAAGAAGAGGGGGTATATTGTTTTGCTAATGTCAGTCTGTCTATCTGTCGGTAGACCACATAGTTTCCTTTAATTATCTTAAAAACTATTTATCACAAAGTCTTCATATTTCACATAGCGATTATCATAACGAGTAAATGACCACCTTTCATTTTCGGGTCACTAGGTCAAAGGTCAAGGTCACAGGGGCCTTGAATAGTTGTATGTTTTTAACTTATTATCTTGGTTACTATTTATCGCAACGTCTTCATATTTCACATATTGATTGGTCATAACTAGTAGATTCATAACTAGTAGATGACCCCTATTGATTCTGGGGTCACCAGGTCAAAGGTCAAAGTCACAGGGTCCTTGAAGGTTAGTATGGTTTCCGCTCATTATCTTGAAAGCTATTTAACACAAAGTCTTCATATTTCAAATATTGATTGGTCATAACTATTAGATGACCCCTATTGATTTTGGGTCACTAGTTCAAAGGTCAAGGTCACAGGGACCTTAAATGTCAGAATGGTTTTTGCTCATTATCTTTAAAAACTATTTGTCACAAAGTCTTCATATTTTTCTTTTTTCCATAACTGAACACTTCCATGTACCCATTTATGGCAAGTTTCTATAGCAAAATAACCAATAATGTGAGTCAAGGGCTAGAAAAGGGGCATATGTGTTGTTCGACATTTCTTGTTTTTGAGTTTAGTTTTCTTCCCTTTTTGTGGCTTATATGTGGTGCTGCACTTTTCTTTTTCTTCAATACATGTGAATTTTTTTATGTTTGACATTTTTGGAAATTTCATGGAGATAATTTTTCATCTCTATGACTTCAAAATTTCACTTACAATTTTTGAGTTGAATTTTTCTTTTTATGTGGCTTATATACAACTTGCTGCAATTTTTTCTGCAATACATAAAAAAAAAAATATTTTAGGGTTGACATTTTTGGCAACTTCATAGAGGTAATTTTTTCACCTCTATGACTTCAAAATTCCAATTTAAACATGCAACATATAATTATGCCCCTCTTCGAAGAAGAGGGGGGTATATTGTTTTGCTCATGTCAGTCTGTCTATCTGTTGGTAGACCACATAGTTTCCTTTAATTATCTTAAAAACTATTTATCACAAAGTCTTCATATTTCACATAGTGATTATCATAACGAGTAAATGACCACCTTTCATTTTTGGGTCACTAGGTCAAAGGTCAAGGTCACAGGGGCCTTGAATAGTTGTATGTTTTTAACTTATTATCTTGGTTACTATTCATCGCAACGTCTTCATATTTCACATATTGATTGGTCATAACTAGTAGATTCATAACTAGTAGATGACCCCTATTGATTCTGGGGTCACCAGGTCAAAGGTCAAAGTCACAGGGTCCTTGAAGGTTAGTATGGTTTCCGCTCATTATCTTGAAAGCTATTTAACACAAAGTCTTCATATTTCAAATATTGATTGGTCATAACTATTAGATGACCCCTATTGATTTTGGGTCACTTGTTTAAAGGTCAAGGTCACAGGGACCTTAAATGTCAGAATGGTTTTTGCTCATTATCTTTAAAAACTATTTGTCACAAAGTCTTCATATTTTTCTTTTTTCCATGACTGAACACTTCCATGTACCCATTTATGGCAAGTTTCTATAGCAAAATAACCAATAATGTGAGTCAAGGGCTAGAAAAGGGGCATATGTGTTGTTTGACATTTCTATTTTTCGAGTTTAGTTTTCCCCCTTTTTTGTGGTTTAAATGTTGTGCTGCATTTTTCTTTTTCTTCAATACATGTGAATTTTTTTTATGTTTGACATTTTTGGAAATTTCATGGAGATAATTTTTCATCTCTATGACTTCAAAATTTCACTTACAATTTTTGAGTTGAATTTTTCTTTTTATGTGGCTTATATATAACTTGCTGCATTTTTTTCTGCAATACATAAAAAAAGAATATTTTAGGGTTGACATTTTTGGCAACTTCATAGAGGTAATTTTTTCACCTCTATGACTTCAAAATTTCACTTACAATTTTTGAGTTGAATTTTTCTTTTTATGTGGCTTATATATAACTTGCTGCATTTTTTTTCTGCAAAACATAAAAAAAGAATATTTTAGGGTTGACATTTTTGGCAACTTCATAGAGGTAATTTTTTCACCTCTATGATTTCAAAATTTCACTTACAATTTTTGAGTTGAATTTTTCTTTTTATGTGGCTTATATATAACTTGCTGCATTTTTTTTCTGCAAAACATAAAAAAAGAATATTTTAGGGTTGACATTTTTGGCAACTTCATAGAGGTAATTTTTTCACCTCTATGACTTCAAAATTTCTCTTTAAACATGCAACATATAATTATGCCCCCCTTCGAAGAAGAGGTGGTATATTGTTTTGCTAATGTCAGTCTGTCTATCTGTCGGTAGACCACATAGTTTCCTTTAATTATCTTAAAAACTATTTATCACAAAGTCTTCATATTTCACATAGCGATTATCATAACGAGTAAATAACCACTATTCATTTTTAGCTCACTAGGTCAAAGGTCAAGGTCACAGGGGCCTTGAATAGTTGTATGTTTTTAACTTATTATCTTGGTTACTATTTATCGCAACGTCTTCATATTTCACATATTGATTAGTCAAAACTATTAGACTCATAACTAGTAGATGACCCCTATTGATTCTGGGGTCATTATCTTTAAAAACTATTTGTCACAAAGTATTCATATTTTTCTTTTTTCCATAACTGAACACTTCCATGTACCCATTTATGGCAAGTTTCTATAGCAAAATAACCAATAATGTGAGTCAAGGGCTAGAAAGAGGGCATATGTGTTGTTTGACATTTCTTGTTTTTGAGTTTAGTTTTCTTCCCATTTTTGTGGCTTATATGTGGTGCTGCACTTTTCTTTTTCTTCAATACATGTGAATTTTTTATGTTTGACATTTTTGGAAATTTCATGGAGATAATTTTTCATCTCTATGACTTCAAAATTTCACTTACAGTTTTTGAGTTGAATTTTTCTTTTTATAACAGGGTATTATCTGAAGATGGAATAATTTTTAAACCTGGAATGCACTTAAATAACTGCTGCAGGGGTTTAGTTCATCTAAGGGGGTTAGTTGACGCCAAACATAAGATAATGAGGGTTAGTTGAACTAAGGGGGGTTAGTTGATGCGGCGTATCAACTAACCCTGAATCTGATCTAAGGGTTAGTTGATGCGGCGCATCAACTAACCCTGTATGTGATCTAAGGGGTTAGTTGATGCGGCGCATCAACTAACCCTGTATCTGATCAAAGGGGGTTAGTTGATGCAGCGCATCAACTAACCCTATATGTGATCTAAAGAGGTTAGTTGATGCGGCGCATCAACTAACCCCATTAGATCACATATAGGGATAGTGCTTTATAAACATAGCACTGAGAACTTTGTATACTGCAAAAATCTGACTTCTGAAGAGTATTTTTTCACATACAGACATAATTTTTTTGCTTTATTTGATCCTGGAGACAATGAATTAAAAAAGATTGACAAAACAATAAAAGTTAGCTTTCTATATATTTATTTACACATAAATTTACTTTAACATTTTAGTTTTTCAATAATCAAATTCATTTTTTTAACCAATTGTAAATAGAACAGGGTCATAATTATAACCCACATTCGCTCACCTTTTAGCAAACTATAACTTTACTTAACTAGAAAATGTCACACACTAAATATAAAAGCACAAGGCCTTGTCTTGGAGAAGAATTTTATAGGTTTAAGTATATGAAAAGTAGACAGAAGAGCCATGGTTAGGAAAAACTTGGTAGTTGTCCACTAAACATGCTACACTCAAAATATATAATTTCTAAGCATTGGGGGACTTCCTATATAAGTTCAGGTTATTTAATACTTCTTAAAGTAAACTTTGTAAAGAAAACCTATAAATATTATAGTAAATTCAGGTATTCTTGCACCCATGTATATAAGACTTTGTAAAACTTACTTGTCCAGGTTCAGGGTCAATTTTGACCTGTGGGGTATGAATTAAATAATCACAGTTATGGTCCAATATACATTGCTATATACAAAAATTGATAGTTTGATGAAATGTGGCCTATTGGTTATCCATAAAACAATTTGGTTGGTTGGACAAGTGATAATAAAAGCTGACCATTAGCACCATCTTTTATATGTTATACATGCCTTTAGTGGACAAGACCACAGTGACTCTGAGTGACGGACCTTTTACTAACTGACCCTAAGAGCATGCAGGAACTCAAAAACCATGTAGTACCGGTTTTTTTGTGCATTGCACTTCATCTCAATGAGACCTATCATCCTATGAAGTTTCATGCCCAAAGCTTTTATACGTTAGGAGAAATGGCCAGGATGAATATAAAGTATGAAAATTAAAAAGGGCAAAAACTCAAAAAATAAGGAGTGCAGAGTATTGGTTCTTGTGCACTGCACTTCTTCATAATGAGATCTATCATTCTATGAAGTTTCAAGTAAATAGCTTTCATTGTATAGGAAAAATGGCCCGGACAAAAATAAAGTATGAAAAGTAACAAAGGGCAATAACTCAAAAAATAAGAAAAACAGAGTGCCAGTTCTTGTGCACTGCACTTCTTAATGAGATCTATCATCCTATGAAGTTTCAAGTCCATAGCTTTTATAAATCACGAGAAATGGCCCGGACAAAAATGAAGTATGAAAATCAACAAAGGGCAATAATTTAAAAAAATAAGAAATGCAGAGTACCATTTCTTGTGCACTGCACTTCTTCTTAATGAGATCTGTCATCCTATGAAGTTTCAAGTCCATAGCTTTTATAGTTGAAGAGAAATGGCCCAGACAAAATTAATAAATATGAAAATTAACAAAAGGCAATACTCAAAAATTAAGAAGTGCAGAGTACCGGTCCTTGTGCACTGCACTTTGGGTTATTAAAAGAAGCATGCATACAAAGTTTGAAGTCAATCAGACTTATTGTGACTGAGTTATGCTCCGGACAAGCTTTAGGGGCCGCCGACAACGATGCCGTCGACAAAAGTAACCCCTATATATCACCTTTTAAAGGCGACACAAAAAAATAATTGTAAATTTCTTTTAACAACTTTGGTAGAGCTCCTTTAAATGATGCAACAAAATAAACATTAAAACTCTTGGCCAGAAATATTTCAATACAAGCATTATAAAACCCCTTTGTTGTTTGGTTTCTATGACCCACATACGCAACCAACTGGAAACATTTGAACAGCTTTGGTAAGAGACCACCTATGTAATTTTCCTGTGAAGATTGGTCCAAATACAGTCATGTTTTCAGACAATATTTTTTTAGTAACTGGTTATAATGCATGACAGACAAAAAGCCATCACAAAAGCTCAGCATGAGCACATTGTGCCGAGGTGAGCTAAGAAACAAAGTTTACATTGTTACAAAAATAAATTGAAAAATCTTGCCAGACTGAACTAAAAAACACATTAAACAAAGAGTTCATCTCCTGGTACAATGTATTTGGTTTCTGCTGTGTTCCTTCATTGCATTTGACATTATAAAAGTCCTAAATTCTCAACAATATTACCTATCTTTTCTATGACAACAAATTTATAATACTGCTACACTAAAGGCCTTATTTAGTCAAAATTCACATCAGAAAATAACAGTATTCTACCTTTCCTGGAATAATTCAGGTAATAAATTAAGACAGTGTGCAAAATGGCAATGAATGTTTCCAAACACTAAACTGAAGTATGTGAAGGAAAATGTAAAAATCTCTCTCTATTTTTCTTGCAATTGACCTCAACAACCCCAACTTAAGTTAGAGAACTACAGAAGAAATGTTCCTACCAAATATGAAATGCTTTTTTGTCAATTAATAATGGTTGTTCAAGCAAGTGTAGGATATTCTTTTCACTGGTGACCTTTACCCTAGTAATCTCAAACTCGCACCGAGTTACTAAAAGGACCATAAAAAGTATCTACCTATCAAATATGAAAGATATTGGTCAATAAATAAAGTTAAAAAGAAAAACTGTAGGACATAATTGTGACATAAGTGTGACATAATTAAAGAAGGACAAAGCGGCAACTATATGCTTTGCAAATGTTCTTCAGGAAGCATTAAAAGGTAGAATACTGCATAAGGAGATCTTCACTTTAAATTAATTTTAGGTAATTGCTTGTTGCTGCATTGTTTTTTTCAATCACTATAAAACATTATCGACATTGTCCCAAAGGACAATTAATTCAATGAGATCTTGACTGTCAGAATAGTAAGAAGCTACACACTCTCAAGTAATTTATCTTTAGATATATGCAATCAACTTTTCCCCCATTGTGTAGGTTTTTCAAAAGTCTTGCAATTTCTGACATTGGATTTTCATTCTCCTGGTACAAGTGACAAGTTATGGCTAATTTGTCAGGCACTGCACTACTTTATGTCCAATATGTGACAGTGTCAGGCTCTCTCATTGATGTGAGGCACCAACAGTTCTTTTGGAAATGGCCACATGTTTTCCAGTATCCAAGGCGTAACTCACTCCATCCTGAAATCAGTAAAACCACAGTATTTAACATATTTTCATTTCTTATCAATGATAATATTCATGTCAATGAATTTGTTTTTGTTTTTTGTTTTTGTTTTTGTTTTTTCTTTTAATGAATTTGCATCCCCCACCAAAAAGCAGTCAACACTGTAACACTAGTCCAAAGTAAGTCATCTGTTTCTTACTCAAGTTAAAAAGTTTATTGCAGATTATTGTGCAATAAATTTGCATTAAAATTTCATGCTTAAGAAAGAAATTATTTTTCCTTCTGTAGAAAGAGCAATAAAATCCGCCATGCTGGACCTTTTTTATTCATAAAACAAAAACATCAGAAGGATATTGTAGTAAAGAATATTACAAGAAAAAAAAACATCATTTTTAGCCCCACTTCTTTTTAAAAAAACATAAATAAATAGAGGTATTGTTACAGTCATTTTGGCATTGCCATACACAAACTTGTACCTTGATTATATCTTTTTAAGTTCTTGGTGTATTGTCTTCATACTTGGGACCAGACTAACCTTGACCTTCATTGACCTTGATATTCAAAGTCAAATATCTAAGTTTTGCTTGTTTTTTTTGCTATTAGTGGCTTTAACTTTGTTATTTATGAATGGATTGTCTTTAAACTTGAGCATAATAAAGGATATACTATCAAGTTTACCACCTTGAAGGTTGAATAATTGATTTTTTTACTACTTTTGGCTTTAATTGACAGTAACTTGGTAATTAATAAATGGATCATCTTTATACTTAAGAAAACAACATTTTGAACAAGACCTTCTAAAAGGTTGAAGTAACCTTGATGACCTTGACTGTCAAATTATTTATGTACAGATTTGATTTAAACATGGACATGACAAGACTTCCAACCTAACAAACACATTGAGTAATTTAGATGTGACCTTGTACTTATATGAACCTGGATTGTCAATGTTAAAGCTGCTCGCCTCCAAGATGAGCCAAAATATTTCACGAAAATCAATATTAAGAAAAATGTACTACAATTTCAAGAAAGGTAAAAACATTCAAGATCCAAGTTATAGTTTACATGTTATGTGTGGTTTAAGACTGATTTTGCAGTATTTTATCACCATTTTTCTACTGCGTTACTAACACAGTAAGGGCTGTTTTTGCACTTTTTATAATTTTCTAAGACTTTGATTGTAAGTGCTGATTGCCATATGTAAATTACTATTTTTGTTCACCTCACAATATTTTACTTTCAAAATTTTCATGAAAATTATCATGAATCTGGATGCATGTTGCTTTAAATTAATGAAATTATATAACTAGCTATAAGCCTATAACTTTGTTATTTATAAATGAATTCATATTAAGACATAACATATCTTAGGTCAGGACCTTCATGTATATCAAACTCAAATTGACCTTTACTCATGTTTGAGCTTGACCTTGAAGGTAAATTATTTTATTTTCTCTGATATCGCTATAAATGGCTGTTATTCTGTAATTTATCAATGATTTTTTTTTCATACTTTAAAACAACAACCTTTTGAACATGACATTCTTAAAGGTTGAACTGACCTTGACCTTTAAATGACCCTGACTATCAAATTATTGAATTCTTTACTTGGTCATTTATTTATGGAAAAGATTCATACTTGGACAAAACAAGTGTGACTAGACAAAAAAAAAGAAAAATACATTATTTTTCTTCTTTTATTTTCTTTTTATTAAACTGTTTAATTGTTTGCTTTTAGCATTGCCCCCGCCCGGCAGCAGCTCTTATCTTGTACAAAACATAATTAAAGTTTCATATCTGACCTTGTCTGACTGATTTTTTTAACCCCAGGCAAACCATATTTTAACTTGACCAAGAAATCAACATTAAACTTTCTTTTTGGTATGGAAGTCACACATGAACTGATTATAATAAACATTAATTTTTTTGGATGGCAATATTAACAACAACATGACTCTAGCAGTAGATCTTTTTTTGTCCAAAAAAGTCAAACTTATTAGGACGATACTGAAGTTTCTTGACATCACTCTCCTGACGTCTTGTTAGGGCAAGGCATGCAAAAAGATTGTGAGATCATATAATTTATGCAAACTCATAAAACGAGACTTTAATAATGCTAGAATAAATGAATACTGTTGAACAATTTGTTCCAGCACAACACATTCAACTATTTTTCCAGGAGTTGATTGGCTATAGTTAAAAGTAAGTTGTGCTTAAGTCATCAAAGTCATATAAAGACATTTTAAAACATAATCTGTATTAGAAATAAAAGTGGTAATACATGGCGAAAAAATAACTATGAAAGATTACCTGAAAAGACATAACTGCCACTACATATGATGTAAGTTCATGATGTAAGTTCAGTGTAATGGAATAGCATGACATTGTTGAAAATTTCACCTCTTCGTGTAATTACAGTTCACACTCAATTTCAAAATTCCATGTACCTAAAACATGAGAACATTATATAAAATATTGTAAAAAAGCTTTTTTTAAATTTATAGTTCATTATTTTCATTATTACTTAAATGTACTAGTGGCAATTTATGTTAAAAAATTTACTTAAATGTACAAGTGCCACTAATATATGTTAAAACAAGAGCTGTCACCCAAGTGGCGTATGCCCCTGAAAAGGTTTCTTAAGCATGCAGGTATTATGAAAAGAAAAGAGAATGAAAGTAACTATTCTAATTGCTCAATATTGCTCTTTGTATTATTGTACCTGTAATCTCTAATTGTGTTAGTGTGAACCTTCAAAATATAAGTGTGACCTTGACCTTTGAAGAAGGGACGTGGTTTCTGGACGCGACAGAATGTTGTTAAGAGACAGACATTTGTGCTAAGTTATTTCAAATCCCTGAAATGCATGACAAAGTTACAGTCTGGACATGATTGTTGTGTAACTAGAGACACAAGGACAGACGGACATGAGCCTTAGCCGCGACACATTGTCTTGATGAGGTAGACATTTGAGACAAGTTATTTTAAAATCCTTCCATGCATGACAAAGTTAAATTCTGGACATGAATGTGTATAGAGAATGAGTACCTTCAAACTATAAGTGTGACCTTGAAGGTAGGGACATGGGTCTAAGTCACGACATGTCGTCATGATTTGGTAGACATTTATGCCTAGTTACTTTTTTAAAATCCTTTGATGTATGACAAAGTTAAAGTCCGGACACGAATGTGTGTACCTATAAACTCTAAATTTGATAAAGTGAACTTCAAAATGTCAGTGTGACCTTTGCCTTTGATGTAGGTACGTTTGTTTTGTTTGTTTGATTTGGGTTTTACGTCACATCAACACAGTATAGGTCATATCGCGACATTCCAGCTTTACTGGTGGCGGAAGACGTGCCCTTCCGTGCATTATTTCAGGCACGAACGGGCACCTGAGTAGAACCACCGACGTTCCGTAAGCTAGCTGGATAGCTTCCTCACATGAAAGAATCCAAAGTCCCCGTCGGGATTCAAACCCACAGAGGTGAGGGGCAAGTGGCTTGAAGTCAACGACCTTAACCACTGGGCCGTACAGGATTATTGGATGCAACACATTGTCTTGATGTGGTAAACATTTATGCCTAGTTATTCTAAAATTCTTCCATGCATGACAAAGTTGCAATCCTGACACAAATGTGTATACCTATAAACTCTTATTGTGATAAAGGGATTAAACTTCAAAATGTTAGTGTGACCTTGACCTTAGAGGTAGAGACATGATTATTGGATGCGACACATCATCTCTATGTGGTAGACATTTATGCCTAGTTATTCTAAAAACAAAGTTACAGCCTTGACATGATTGTGTGTATCTATTAATTCTAATTGTGATAATGTGAAACTTCAAAATGTTAGTCACAGTGTGACCTTGACCTTAGAGGTAGGGACATAATTCTTAGACGCGACACATTGTCTTGATGTGGAAGACATTTATGCCTTGTTATTCTAAAATCATTGGATGCATGACAAAGTTACAGTCCTGACACAAGTGTGTGTACCACTTTACTCTTATTGTAATAATGTGAAACTTCAAAATGATAGTGTGACCTTGACCTTTGAGGTAAAGACGTGGTTCTTGGACGCGACATATTGTCTTGATGTGGTAGACATTTGTGCCCAGTTACTTCAAAATCCATCTATGTATGACAAAGTCCGGACATGAATGAAGTGGGGACGCACAGACACGGACTGATGGTGCGATTTTAATATGCCACACATACACAAAAGAATGCAATTTTGTGATTTTATAGAAATCATAAGCTTTAACTGTAAAACATTCATATCATAATTTACATTTATTATGTTCCTAAATTGATGAATGGAGAGGGGTTTTGTTTGCTGTCTGTCTAAGTGTGTGTGTTTGTCTGTTAGTTACTTTATACTTGACCACTTGGCACTAGACTGAAGTCTTTTCACCTGCTTCTTCCAAATTTCACAGGTATATGCATTTTGCCAAGACCCACTACAAGATCAGGGTGAAAGGTCACCATTAAGATTCAAACATAGTGACTGTTCCATTAACATGACAATCAATGCAAGTGCATAAATTATGAAATAATTGGTACAGGACTTAAGATTTACATGTAGAACTTTTCAGTTTAGTTTAAACTTGTGAAGAATGACAGACAGCTCAATAACTATTATACAGGGGCATATAAAGCACTGTCATCATACAATTAGTCATAATTATACAGTGAACAGTTGGGATGGGGGAGAGCTATATAGGAATCATTTTGTCCCGTCATATCTCATCTCATGAACCAGTAAAGATATTGACTTGAAACTTGTCACATCAGAGCAATATCACAATTCATCTGTGTCAAATGTCATAACTAAGAACTTCTATTTTAACAGAAATTCTGCTCATTTTTAACTTAAAACATATAGTATAATACTCAAGTCAACCAGACTGACCTTGACCTTGATTCATAAATGACATTGACCTTCAAAGTCACATTATTGAATTTTGGTAAGGGGGACTAAGGGAATTAATTAGTTATTCCTATATAGCCCTCACAAACTTTGTTTAGCAGGAATATTATAATGCTTACTGGTGCTACTTAAATACTGTCCTACCATGGCTTTTGAGGGCAGTATACTGGAAACATCATTCTGACTTTGACACAAGTAAGCCTGTGATCAAGCTGTGACACACCTGAAATGAAAAAGAACTGCATTTCATCTTACATCACAGTATCTTACTCAGAGTCTATTCTAGGATTTGAAAAATAGGGGGGGGGGATTTTTATCTAAAAGTGAGAATTTTTTACATGATGATTTTTTTCCTTCTTTCTCTATGTAAAATTTCCCCCTTGCCTCTTCAAACTAGGGGGGGAATTCTCAAAAATAGGAGTGAATCCCCCATCCCCCCTCCTAGAATACACAGTCACTGCTTACTACAACAAATGTACATGTACTTTTAATTTGGGGAATGAACATTTTTAGTTAAAAAATACGGTAAAATCTGAAAACAAATCAAATGCACTTTCAGTTTTAAAATTAACTGTTTAACAGTTCAACTCCTACGGAATTATATATGAGGAGTTATTTTAACCCATTACTGCACTAAGGTGGCAATAGATGATTTATCCCAAACACATTGCCATTTGAATGAAAAGATCTCCCAGCTGTGATACAATTAAAAAACAATGTTTTACTTTTAGTTTAGGCCTCAGGGCCAAAAATTTAAAACCCTTGTAGAGGCTGAATATCATAAGGCTGCTTCCCCAACCAAAATAGCCTCTTTTTTTCCCAAGTTTGGTCCTCAAAATTCCCCAGTCTTTTGAAATTTCCCATAGAATTTAGAACAAAATTAAAATTAATGATGATGTTGAATTAAGGTCTTTTACTGCCTTATTACTATTTCCCAGTGCTATTTGCTTTTCTATTTTGAAGAACTTGTTAAAAGTTTGTGTTAAATTTGAGACCCATTTTCCCAAAGTATGCCAAAATCACGCATATTTTCCCCAAGAAAAGAGTGAGGCCCCTTCCCCAAAAATGGTGATTTGGCCCTGGGCTTGTATTTCCTACTGTCTAATTGCTTGTTGTTAAAACTAATCATAAGAATACTGACAGCAGTAATCATTGTCAGTACAGTAATTTTTTAATGCAATTTTGGGGCTGATGTTTGCACAGACATTTGGGGTGTGGAGCTTAAAAAACGCCTTTAAATTTTAAAACCCAAATAAAATGTATATTTGTCAATCCCAGCACATGTATTGATCATTTCCTTACCTGAAGATGTATATGTTTTTTTCTTGTATTGAACAACTCCTCCCCCCCCCCCCCCCAAAAAAAAATAAATAAATAAAATGTTTTACATAAAAAAACACAAGTGATTTGACTGAAGAAGGAATAGGCATGGTTATCAATACACATGGTCTCTTCAGCATGGAGAGCTTATATAATAGCAGGGGTGTTTCAGCTTCCCCTAGAAAATTGCTTTTTACCCCTAATTTATATAAAGTTTTCTTCCTGTATTATTAGAACAGTATTGCAAATAAACTGTGTTAGTTCTCCCAAATATTATGGGAAGAGCCCCTTCCCATACCTGTGGAAAAATAACATGCATCAATGAGTACCTGCTGGCATTGCAAATTCTATCATTTAACTAATTAACTAGATCTAAGTAAGTAATTAACAAGTCAACAACTAACATTTTTGATGAAATGAAAACAAATCCTACTGTTTTTAAGTCCATGACATAATGTGTAATGTCCAAATTTATTGTTTGTAAAATGCACTCAATGATCATTTTTATTACTCCCTAGTGGAAGTAAAAGTTTCCTTTGACAGCTCAACATCAAAGGCACTCACCGCATGTTGATGTAGAAATCTTCCAGTTCAGACAGATTATCTGATTGGCTTATGTCGTAAGACCTGTCAAATTTTTAATGACGAAATATACATCAGTTTCATACATATTTCACCTCTTTGTTATCGGTAATTTTCCAAGCTGACTCTGTCAATGTCAATGACCTAAATTGACTGCAGAGTGTGAGACCACAATATTTGTAACTTTTAGCGGAAATTTTTAGAATAAGGTAAATAATTTTAAATATAGACACATTGTAACTTTTAGCGGAAATTTTTAGAATTTTAAAACTACACCGTTTGCATTGATTTTTCTCTGTTTATTTAAATCAAAAGTCGTAAAGAAATAGATCAGACTTACCTCAGATAATCGTTATTTTCCCGGCAAATACACATAATCTCCCGCATGACAATTTTTCAAATAAATTGTTGATAAAATGAAAAAAAAAATGTCAAAATTTATAGATCTAGATCTGTGACTTCCCAAATTCATGATGAAGGCCTTTTGCACTGCGTTTAAGTTCACGCGCTATGACGATTTGTGTTGTGACGTCATTTTGACACGTCTGCTGTAAACAGTTCAGTGGAATATACATGTACTGTAGTGCTTGGTTATTTTTATGGAAAATACGACGCGTTAAAGAATAATTACAAAATAATTCATTCATGATTGAATGATTATAGAATTTTTTTATTTCTTAAAGGTATCTACTTGCATAAAAAAATTAAAATAAATTTTTTTTTTAAATCAAAGATTGGCACACAGATCTAATTTTTATAAATTTACTTTGCTAGACCACAATTTTTAAAAACAGATATAAAACTTTTAACAATTACAACAACATCACCTTAACCCCGTAGTTGATTTGGCATGTCAACTTCCCCCTTAGTTGATGCGCCGCATCAACTAACCCCTAAGATCACATACAGGGTTAGTTGATGCGCCGCATCAACTAACCCTTAGATTAGATTTAGGGTTAGTTGATGCGCCGCATCAACTAACCCCCCTTAGTTCAACTAACCCTCATTTTCTTATGTTTGGCATCAACTAACCCCCTTAGATGAACTAAACCCCTGCAGCAGTTATTTAAGTGCATTCCAGGTTTAAAAATTATTCCATCTTCAGATAATACCCTGTTCTTCTTTTTTTTCATGATTTGTATCTGAGGCTTCCACTTAAATTGAAGCAATTTTCATATCTGATTAACATGAAACCATCACCACCAAATTTATCTTCCTTATTTGCACTATAATTGTAACTAACATGCACTTAATGACTTATCCCAAACTGAAGAATGTAAAATGTGCGAAAACTCTGTTTTTAATAATCATCAAGAAGTTTAAAATCACGGAAAGACCTTAATTTACAGCAACTATCACCTGACATAACCAGTCCCTATACAGGTTAGGATTATTGTTGATGATTCCAAATCCAAAATTCTGTGACAGCTTTCTTGAAATAGGGAAATAATAAAGTCAGAAATTTATTTCATTGCAACCATAAATGTGTCAAAAGTATTTACCCATATATTAAAAACATGGCTTTATCCAATACAATAATCATAAAGACCAAAAATTGACAGAAGTGACATAAAAGGCTGAATTAAAAGATCTTTTGTTACCAAACGAGTCAATGTCCCTAGTTCATTAAAGCCAAATAAATGATACATTCAAGACCCAAAATAATGACTGTTTGCACATATTCGAGATAAATATTGTTAAATACAGAATTCAGACCTAACATATTTATGAATATAATATTGTAATGTTATGACAATGAATTTTTTGTAAAGATGGACAATGAAGTTGGAACTTTCCTTTTATCAAAAAATACTATGAAGACTTTCAAAAAATTTATTTATACAAGTTACAACAGAAGTTGTCTTCTTCTTTTATCATGTTCAAATAAGACTTAATATTCCCCATTTAATGATTTTTTGTCATTTTAATAGATAACCTCTATTACAACCCCTATATATTTGTAACAGATACAGAAAAATGTGGCAGTGACAGGGTGACCTCATTAAACACCAAGGAAAGTTTTTAATCGAAACTATGTTTAATAAATTGTTTTAATATCAATGGAAAAACACTGGAATATACACCGTGCACAATAAGCTTAGGAATAAATATTGCAAATTAATACATTGATAAGCCTCGCTTACTCTCTATATGACCTCGTATCTCAACGAATTAGACCGATAAATATTTCACTTTATCTCAATTTGTATCAATCATGAATATTAGCAAGTTTAAACAGGACTTCAAGGAGAAATGTTCATCCTGTTGAGTGCACAAAAAAAAACCATCTACACTGTAATTATCAACCAGGAAAGATGTGTTAAAATTTCATTGAAAATGTATGAAATACAGTACTCCACTACTTACCGCTGGATATTTGATATTGAAGAAAGTTTCTAAATTATAATAAAGATTAGAATCAACTCCAACAAGGGGTTTGATGATGGAAACACCCTGGAGGTCTTCCGGGGAAATTTGTGGAGATGGCTTGTGGAGTTTCCGTATTCTGAAATACACAAAAATACAGCACATGATTACATGTTTACAATGTACATGTTTATTTAGGGCAACATTATTACAGTCACATACATGTACCATACAGCAGGCCGCTAAGTTTAAGTATCAAGCCATCCTAGAATATAAGTACTATAAAAGTTACCAACTTCTCAAAAAGAAATCAACTGAGTTAGTATTTACTATGTTCTGTTTTTTTTTTTCCTTCTGTTTTTATGGCAATCACAAACATTTTGCTGATATCTTGACGGTTGATCTAGCTTACATGTGCTCTTGGATAACTAAAATTTACAAAACCTATTTCTTGAATTTCTCGACATGTGACCATCTACTATTCCCACACTGTATCAGCAGTGAGAAACAAATGACCATTAGATTCCATATTCAAGATCAGACGTGAAGGAGCAATTTGCTCTTGTCTGATGACCAGTAACGCCTAGATCACTAATACTCTCTCACTGTTGAGCTAAGAGCAGGAGAATTTAATTGTATATATGGTGTTGACCTTTAACATTGACAAAACAAGAGCACTTGCAGCACTCAGTAAAGACTACAAAAAATAACTAATCCTTATAGTAAGCAGACCATATAATGTATCAGTAATGATCACCTTAGAGAGGTATTGTTTGGTTTTATTAAACTGTCAATTACATACTGATTACACGGTCGATGCACACAGTATATTAATCTTCGGTAGATTTTCGGTAAGTTCCGTGAGATGTACACTGTGCGATGGAATTTAATTTAATTTGTATCTCTCAACTAAGTGCACTGTGCGTTATAGCTCAATAGGGTAAAGCACGAGTTTATAATCTAAGTGCCACACGTGTTTTAAGTTCGAGACCGCGTAGGTCCATGTTTTTTCTTCTTATTAATACATTCAACAATATTGAAGCTATATATGATTATTTTATGTTGTTCGTTTTGTTTTATTATGTTTTACTTAATTTTATTATGTCTATAACATGTTTTAAGAATTCATGTTTAAAATTAAAACGGATTAAAATCAATAAATGTCTTTTCAATGCTGTAAAACACACTACAATTTGTTCCATTAAAATATACGGCAAAAATAAAGAAAGAGTACTAAAACAATGGCAACAGCAAGGATCGAACCACAGACCTCTAAATTATCACGCATTCTCTTAACCGACTGTACTATTTTGAATTAACGAAAACCTTCACATTCAGCTGGCGTGACTTTCAATCCATGACTAATATACACTTCATTAATTCTCGTAAACTACACGGACCAAATCGAAGTGTGATCGAATATTTAAATGAGTTCTATAATGTATGCATAATTGACAGGTCAATAAAATCAGACTATAACTGTGAGGAAATTAGTTTTTATAGTAAACATAATAATAATAAAATTAGTTCAATGTACAAACATTTTTTAGACCATTTTTACCACTCTATCTTAATATGATAAATGGTTGACAGATTTAATTATACATTGATAATACATACCGGTAATACCTTATGGCAATCAATGCAGTCAATTATAAACGTCCCAATTCAAAGCTTGCATTTAAATTGTAATGGTGTGTGTGTAACAAACATTAAATAAACTTAATATAAATGATTTCTTTGACTACAAATGTATTTAAAAAGTACTACACTAATATATTCGAAGATTATAGTTAAATTATACGAGAAACTATAGTCTATAATATATACCAGTACAAGTATATAACGATATTTTGTATAAAATACTGAGAAGAGTTCATCATTGAAGTTGACAAAATAACTACAAGAAGTGTCTAATTCACACCTAATTGGGTAAAGGATTTCTTATATGTGTGCGCAATGTATGTTGCTTTTTCTGTGCATTTATAAATAGATCAGTATGTCATTTATAAGTAGAGAGGTATGCACTTTTTTCCCTGCATTAACTTCTGCATGAGGGAACATTTTAGCCAGGGCCCTTTCAGCAAGAGATCAATATTTTATTTAAGCCTGCGAGTTTCTGCAGATGTTCATGCATGTAAAAAAGCTTATATATTTATATTATCACTAGTATAACATACAATGTACACATATAATATGATTTGGTAATTTTGCATTTGGTCATTCAGGCTTCGCGAAACTGCTGAAAAATTTGCCTGACATTCGGTCAGACAAACTTTCAATTCTTGTCTGACCGAAAGAACTTTTGTCTGACCGAATTTCCCCCCCCAAATATATGTATATGGTAATACCTTGGTGTTTTTTTTTAAAGACATAACTTTTAAAGATTTGCAACATAATTTTATTCCCTTAAATAAAACATTAGTTTATCCAGATTGATGGACTCACAGGCGCTAGTCACATAATCAAATATTTTACATAACCAGTCTATATATGTATATAAAGATATATACTATATAGCCCATATAAAACTTTAAAAAGTTTGTTTCAAGCACCTGTGGATGGACTCTGTTTGGAAATCAAAACATTCATGATCAAAGCGGCCATTTTTCCATTTACCCACAAATTTTCTCGGCGGGCGCCTGGACTCGTATTCTTTTTGTTTCGCTTTTTTTTCTTCATTGGATAGTTTACGATTTTTGCCAGCGTAATAATGTAGTAACACCTACATTTTGGTTATTGACAGTCGTATGTATCAGACACTTATAATGAAACGGCGAATCAAAACTCGTTTTACATTTTTTTATTCAAGGGAGAAAACTCGGTCTTGATCGGTCTTGGATATATCCCGGTATTCGTACCGGACATAAGGTCCGGAACTCCGAAAAAAAATATCGGACCGGCCTGATTTTTGCCGGACATGTCCAACGGTCCGGCAACTTTCGCGAAGCCTGGCCCCGTGTTCACTAAGAAAAGATCAGGATCAGGATCAAGTGATCCTGATTTTATTTTAATTGTTTAATGTTACTTAAATTATTTGTGTTTTGTTGAATTAAATTGTAAATATTCAAAAAGTAAAAATATGGTGATTTGCAAAGAAAACAAACTATTTTGGGATAAAATCAACAAATAACAAAACAAATACAAAAATATTTGGATCAAAATAAGGATCAATTTTAGGATCAGGATCAATATTTGGATCAACTCTAAAATGCCCATATCTTGCAAAATTAACAATTGATTTATTCTAAAATTTCATATACTTGCTATTTCAAGTCCAGTTTTATCAAATTTATAATTAGATATTAATCTATGAGGATAAACAATGAAGATTAATAGAGTTTTTAAATTTGATCCTGATCTTGATCCTGATCCTTAAATCTTTGTGAACATGGGGCCAGGTCATTAGATATTCTCACATAGCAACCAGCTTTGAAATGTTTTATTTTAAATTACCAGTATCTTAATTACTAAATTAGGTCATGCTTCATTAAGCAATTTTTCAACATGGCACCCTGAATCAATGAAACTTTATAAGTTGATAACACAGCATGCTTGACTGTTCTCAGAACAATTCTGTCAAAATCCATGTTAGTTTGAGAGTTATGGGCCTTGGGAGATAACATCATATCATGCTCTCCAAGGAATGTGTGTAGTTTCAACCAATTCCCTTAAATACTTTATTAGATATCAATTTCAACACAATTTAATGTGTGACAGCAATGCCAATGCTCAGGTGAGTACAATAGTTCGCCCTATCCTTTGAACAGTCTAGCAATGTGTGCAATGAACATGTAAGCTCACATGATTTTATCTGTTAATTTAATTTTCTCTTAGCATTTTAGCAAACATACAAATGCCAGTCAGATGCAAACATATCCCTCATTCTCCGCTCAGCTCAATCCCACTGTTATCTTTTGCACTACCCATGGTGAGAAATACTGTTGATGCTAATAAAGATTGACAGTGCATAAAACTAGTGGCAGTAAATGACATTTATATAAAATAGTTTGGTTTAATCACCAACAACATAAAAGCAAGATTTAAACTTAATCCTTTCATGCCAAAATTAAAATATCATAGATGCTTCTAAGGAGGAATTGATGAATGACACCTTTACAATTTTACACACAATACTTACTCAGACTTTATTATTAGTATACTATTATCTATCTCTGAGTAGAGCCAACCGCTCTAGCCAGTGTTATAATTTTATGGTAACACTATTTATAAATTAAATACGTAACAAAAATTTGATACATATTACAATGATACACTTAATTGTACAATAACAGTTGATGACATGTAAATTGCCAGTTCATCTGTTGATCTATATACATGACAAATTCATACCTGATAACAAATGATAATGGAATGTGAACATGAAATGTCAAAAATTTTGATTATTGATAAATCTGTCATAACCTTTATTGATATACAGATCAATAATTACAAATATATTTATGCAATTCGTTATACTTTTCACCATTCAAGAAGAGTCAATGTCTAAAGAATGTTTAATTTGTATTTCTTTAAAAATACGAGATACAAACACATTGACATGTACCCCGCCCACATTTTAAAAAGAGTCAAGATTATTTTTTCGCCGGGAATTTTACCGTTCTCTTTCGGACATTTAAAAATATGTCAATGAAAAACTCACCCATAAATTAAAGCTACAGTGTGTATAAACCATGTCAGTAACCATCCTCCAAGTGCTGCAATTGAGATTGATAATAATATAATTTCCACTACTGACATATCTTCATGACGAAACTGCTAATGGCTACTAATTCGTCCAACATAAATATTTGACATTGCGCATGCGCGAAAAATCCCCAATGTCGCGAACTGATGCAAAATAATGCGAAATGCAATAAATGATGAGAAATCAATGATGTGTAGGCGTACTATAGTTACAGTACTGTAAAGAACTATACTAGTTTTACTCCTTTTATTATATATTATATGTTTTTTTTGTATATAATTAAATGTATATTATAAAACAGCAATAAAATATAACGAAACTATGGGGCGGGAATAATTGAAAAAAACTTTAATCTAACTGAATACTTTGAGAATAGTTAGGCAAAATAAATATGATACGTTCTTGCGGTTGTTATGATATGGCGAAAAAAGAGATCAATATAGGCTCATTGTATACTGAATGATTTAAAAATTTAGTTATTGTATATGGCCCACTGAAGTATAATGGGTGACTTTTGATCATTATTATCATTAATAGGAGTTAACCAGTTATTGTACTTAGTCTTAAGCTGGGTAACTAGATGCGGCCGAGGTAAATGTAAAGTAATTGTATGTGTACGCTTCTATTGATAAAAGTACAAATTATGAAGATACTTTAGACCTTACATCTACTTGAATGGTAAAAGAAATAAGTTCATAGTTATATTCACATTTATTGATCCATAGCAGATATAATATTGACAGAATAAATTTATAAATATATTCGAGTCTGATATAGGGGTTGCCGCTGTTTACTAGTCCAATAGCGTTCCCTTGAACATTGAATATCTCAGACAGTATGCTTATCATTTTTTATGAGATATACCAATAATACCATCCATAATCTAGTCACCATAATCCCCACCATATGTTCAAGCATCACAGAAATATGCACCCATTACCCCTACGTCAAATACAGGTTTCTTCCGACACTCTTGAATTCTCTCCCCATAGCATTGTACTATGGAAAAAAACTCGCTGGCAACATTGCCAACCTGCCAGACTTAGGTCAGTTCAAGCGGGCAGCAGTTGGACTGCAGTATTAGTATTGCTCCCGATGTTTTTAACTATTCTATCTTTTTATTTTCTTTCACTATTTTAACATTTTAACCAAAACTAGAATATTTTTCCAGTATATCACCTTTCCCGACATGTTTACAATGTCTGGACCTTCTTTTATTTCGTTTTTACTAACTATCTGACGCTCACTGATTTCCTGTCTATAACACTCGCGGGAAGGGTTGGAAGTATTCAGAGATAGATACATGTATATATATAATCAGTGTTGTTCTCAACAATGTATAATGACTTCTTTTAATTTCACACAATCATTTTGACAATTTGTCAGAACTACGATACTCTAAGTACAGTAAGGATTTCATATGATTTTTTATACTGGAGTTGGATATGTCATTTATATAGATATTTTGGATTCTGAAAGAGAAATCGAGGCTATATTGATACAATATTAAAAATTGACTTATTTGGACTCTGAAAATGAAAAAAAAGAAGACTAAATTGATAAAATTTTGTCCTAAATGATGTGTATTAAATGTTTTGAACATTTAAACGTTGAAATGTCATTGATTATATTTGATAAGGTGTGAAATAATAAATTAATAATATATATTCTAAAATATTGATACCATATAAGATCTTCAAACGAAATATACGTCTCACACAGTTCTTGTATTATTTTATTTTATTAGTGTATCTGTAGCTAAACATTGTGTTAAAAAGAACTATTTGAATACCTAGTGAAAAGTGCCAACGAATTGATAGCATATTTGTTGCATTAATTAACTGAAAATTCGGAAATTTGGAAGGAAAACCTGCAAAAAAATGTTCAGAACTTTAATCTCAATAATAACAGTAATTTTAAATAAATATTAAAACATGTTATGCATCAGGAGTTGTTCTTTTATTTACTTTCCTATTTAGTTGTTTTTATTTTTAAAATTCCTACACGTATAAAGTATCGCCGACAACTGATTCTACTTATTTGATCAATGCATAACAAAGGACAATCTAGCGGTTTGAGAAAGGCTATTCAAGAGAGAATATGAAATGTGCACCATCTCTCTATCCCCGAGTATGAATTTAAACATTTTCTTCTTTATAAAGAATGACTGAATGCTGCAGGAAATTGAAAAACGGTTATATCCTGTGTTACAAATATTTACTTGTACAACCAGTATAATCGTTTTTATCCGATATGTAAATGGTAACAGACAATCTCAAGGACTTAAACAGGATATCATTAAATCTAAATGAAATTAATAGCCATGCATATTTGTTTGTCGGCTGACGGGCGGCATTTTATATTGAAATGAAAGGTTGTTTTCGTAAATCTTAACAGATTTGCCGATCATATATGTGAGGTGCTCTCTGAAAATGAAATCATCTTTTAAATCACTTAAGGGAAGTGAAGTAAACAATATTAAGCAATAATAATACTGCATTATATATTGGTGAAGAAGATCCGTCACCCAGATTATATAGAACGCGTGAATAAATATATAAAAAACATTATAAATGGCATTTCCGATAGATGTATAAAAATGAAAAAAACAACAACAAAAAACAAACAAACATGTTAGCTGTTGTGGTTCTAAAAACATATAAGGTAAGCAGGCAGGCAGGCAGGCAGGTTAATAAATAAATAAATAAATAATTGAATGAATGAATGAATGAATGAAGGAATGAATGAATGAAGGAATGAATGAATGAATGAATGAATGAAGGAAGGAAGGAAGGAAGGAAGGATTGATTGATTGGTTGGTTGATTGATTGATTGATTGATTGATTGATTGATTGATTGATTGATGGATGGATGGATGGATTGAATGAATGAATGAATGTAAGAATGAATGAATGAATGAATGAATGAATGAATGAATGAATGAATGAATGAATGAATGAATGAATGAATGAATACTTGTAATGTTGACTGAGAGAGATTAGATTGCAATAGATATAATTAATGCTTTTAATGTGTAAATAAATTTAAAAAAAAAACTGACACCAGAGATTTAAATGACCTATAGATATACATGTAGTTCTATGAAAAAAAAAATAAAATGAAAATTTTATATTACGAGTGTATCAAAATGATAAATTTGTAAGTTTTTTTTCTTTTATTGATTCTTTTTGTGCGAAATTTACACCTTGTGTTTTGTATATTAACCCTTTTCATTTATATGGATGAAAATAACAAGGAGGGAAAACGCTCCCAAATTAGTCGGCTTAGCATCCTTGATGAATTATTTTGTCACAGGTTGGGAAAATGTGCCCTAGAAATAACGTTCCGATGCTACAACTGAGCCTACACATTTTTTCCCAACTGGTCTATGTGAACTGTTCTATACCGTCCCATTTACACAAAGTAGTTCTTTTTCAGTTCTTTTCGACTAAAATATTTCTTTCGCGATTTATGCGTTTATCTTCTCACGCGACTGAATACAATAACAAACAACTAAATTATAAAAAGTTGTTATATTCATATCTTTAACACTTTAACTTTCTTTAATAGTGTAAAATAAAAAAGAATAATCAAAAACAGTACACTATTTGTTTCTTTCTAGACAGATATGAGAAAATAGTTTCTAAAAACACAAGGATTATGTTGTGGGCGTAGTAACTTCCGTTACATGTTGTAAAGCAAAAACACATGTGTAGTTTAGTTGAATTTCTAAACTTTCAATAACTCTCTGTGTTAACAAACACGATGGGGAAGGCTAAAAAGGGTTTTAATTGGAAAGCGAGGCAGCAGCCAGATGTAACCATTGACAGATCTTCTGAAAAGGAGGTATGCATGGCCATGAAAATAAAAATCCAAAAAATATCTTATAAATTTCAGAGAATTTTTCATTTCTGTCACTACTCTAGTGTTACTGTTAGTCTTGTTGAGTATTCTGACTTGACACTATGTCTTATATATTAATTTTCAGTCTGACTTAAATTTTTCTGAGTCTTAGCCACATGTTTACGGTGGTCGGGTCGGTACCTAAATATCAGGTCTAGGATTTCATGATATTTATGGACTGTCCGTAAATTCATAGACAGTCTAGAAATTTAAAGATTTTTCAATCCATAAATTTACAGATATTCAATGTGAAATTTGCTGTTTTTAGTTTTACAATAAAATCCGCAGCTTAAGACAAGTTGTTTTTAATTGATCTGTTTATATTTACAAAGGTAATGGGCTAATTTTCATCTTTGTATGATGATTTTGAAATTTTTGTTTAAAAATGTGAAAATTGAAAGTCATCAAACTGTTCTGAATCTTAACATTCTGTTACATTTAATCATATAATACCTAACCTTATTCATTTTAACCTGCGGTTTTAAATTTTAAAGCAACTTCTACTATTTTCTTACTTCATGTCTGTAAATTTACAGATAAGAAAATCTGTAAAATTATGGATCGTCCAAAAATTTACAGACTGTCCGTAAATATCATGAAATCTTAGACCTGAATATATAAATTTCACTTGCATGTGATGTCAATAAATATGTGAGATTACTGTTATCCCTAAAAAACATACAAATTACAATACACACTATGACAAGATATCCAACTCTCTGCACCTTGTCCAGTGAAGTTTGGAAGTCATTTACTCCTTGATTTTGCTTGTGACTTCTACATCTACATCATACTGCTTAACAATCAATACACCGATAAACACTTTCAGAACTAGCAGACGACAGGCTTTTCATATCAGTAGTATTTCGAGTAAAGATAACGGGTTGCGTATCTCACTGTATAAATCACATGTAAAATGGTCTGACATATGGTAGGTTTAGCAATTAATTAAAACACTTTGAAGTCCAAAGATGTGTTGAATTTTATACCGTGACAAAGCTAAGATCCAAAGTTTTCTATTGGTGTAATACATATTAAAATCGGACATTTAATCACAACAAACTAGCAGTTTAAAAACAGGTTATTTTTGTATTGTTTTAGCATAAGCGATATCGATTTTACTCGAAGATAAGGGAAGCAACTCGTTTTTTTTTTTACTCGATACACCTCGGTTATTTACGTAGATCATATTGAAAGTGTTTATGGGTGTATTCTAATTATGACTAGCAGGCGTGTTGTCAGGGAACTGTTATTTATATGCAAATTATATTTATAATTTATTTATAATTACTTGTATAGTCATAATCATTAAAAATGTAATGCTTTTCCTTCTTATAATGTGACTTACTATGTTAGACATTTTCAGTCTCTGACTTCCAAATTTTAGAATTATATGGAAGCCCTGAAACTTGTTCTAAATATGTCACAACTAAACATGAGTCTAGCTGCATAAATGCATAATTCAGATGTCAAATTCAAATCCTAAAGTGGACATGTAAGGGAACACGCATGCTCCTGCACAAACATCTCATTGGTTAGAATTCTTCATTCTAACCAATGAGATGTGTGCTTACAAAGTAGGTCTGTGTTATTATGCATCAGACAATGCAACTGAACAGTTTTCACACACATCATACTAAATAATAACCTGTCGCATATGGCATTGAATTCTTAGAGTTTTAGGTAATTTTAGGTAAATAATAAATTGCTGTTTCCCTGGGGAATTTAGCAATATGCAGAGATAAGATTTGCAAAATGGCATACTGGAACCACTGGCTCGAGCAACTCACAAATTACAGGAGTCGACATCAGGAACCAGTGATTCCAGTACAAAGAAAATTCATGTTACTTTTCTGTGTTTGATAATATAAGTCAAAGTACAGTTTGAAAAGAATTCTCAGATACTTCAGCAAAATGATAGAATCCAATCTGCAAAATTATATTTGCAATTTCAGTTAATACAGAATTTATTTTAGTTCAATTGTGCATGAAGCTATAAGCTTTCAGTGATTTTTCTCGCTTAATTGGGAAGAAGCCTTAAGCCTCTTGATTTTGGGAAAAAATTATCGCTTTTTAAAATTGGCTAATTTGGGAAGAAAAAAAGCATGTTTCAGTTCAGATTTTTGGGAAAACTGCATGATTTTAAAGAAAATTTCAATTGGGAAGAGGCCCTTTTTCGGGGTCTGTTATATAAGTAGGAAAATCACTGAGCTTATAGATACACTCTTAAAATATTCCTGGGACCAGTCTGTAATACATGTAACAGTAAGCAATGAGTGTCAAATTTCTTGCTTAAGGATACAACTGCCTACCCCTGACAGGGTTTGAACCAATCCTACTTGATCACTTGTCCCAAGCATTAACCACTCTACCAGGTGTCATTACATCAATTTTGATATTATATTTTTTAGGTGAAAGTTGATCTTGAAGGTGTACAAATTGACAAAGGTTATGATGAGAGCAACATTTTGGCACTCCCTTCAAAGAAGAGAGAATCTGAGTCCATTCTGCAGAATACAAAAATGCCAAAGAAACTTACAAAGAAAGAAAGAAGAAAGCTTGAGAAGGTCCTTGAACAGAAAGAAAAGAAAGCAAAGGTATGTATGTAAATCCTGAACTAAACGGTTTTTAAATCAGTTTGCTTGTTTTTCATCTTCATATTGCTGTTAAAATTGTCAGTTCATGGCTGTTAACAGAAAGTTTACTGTTAGTGTCTCTTGATTATTAATAAATATTAACCGTTGACTGCTGTTAGCAAACTGATTCTAACCATGCAACCAGTTCTGACCAAATTCAGATGACACATCCATGCTGTCTTATTATGGACTGCCATGTTCACTATTCACTTGGTACATATTTTGAAATGCTCCATTAAATGAGAAATACATATTTATCCAGATTGAAAGATGTACCAGTCCATTTATTTTAGGATATTAAGATTTGTAAGGGCTATGAACATTTAGTACATGTATGTACAAAATATTGAAAATGAGCAGTAAATAAATTTATATACAGTCGAGACTGCCTTAGCGACTCCCTGATTTCAACGACTCCCTGTCTTATCCGACCTTGTTTCAGTACTCCCAACTTATTTTCCTATATAAATGGTCTGAATTTAACGACTCCCTGTCATATGTGACAAGCGACCCTAATTGTCTGGTCCCAATGCAATGTTTTGTCTGATTTAAACAACTTTCACACCTTTTAATTGTCTGTTAATCAGAAATAATACCTATTTTAACACCCAAAGGGCCAAAATATGTCCAATTATAATCCAGTAGCAAACAAACTCTACACACCTCTGCCAGGTTCAATTACACAGTTAACATGTATACAGGTATCAAGTGACGTAGCGTCTGTTCCCTACTGCCAAATATGGTAAGCATGATGCAATCGATGTGTGTGTAATGTACGTAATGACCTGAGTAAACTGGATTAAGACTTGTGTCAGATTTTTTGTGCCAACGGAAGATTTTTTTAGGCAGCATTTTTTTAATTTACCTTTCTATGGCTGCATAATTAATATGAAAAAATATTGAAAGCTTTGGATATGGATATGTTTAACCTTTTAAACAAGTATGATATTTATTTTAATAATTTGAATGCATCAAATTCCAGTTTATTTTATACCATAAAGATTCAATTTAAATCTTAATACAAAAAATTAAATTAGATTTTATATGGTATACATGCGAACATATTTGTTTTACATGGATTCTTATTTTATTTACATGAAAAATTTTAAGAATACCTATGTTTATTAACCAGGTTTTCAACGAAAACCGGGTTATTGTAATGCCGAAGTCGGCGGGCGGGCGGGCGTCAACTTTTGGTTTCCGCTCAATAACTTAAGTTTGCTTTGGCCTATTGACACCAAACTTGGTGTGTAGGTAGCTTATATCAAGAGGCAGCTTGGGATTGCTACCAGGTGTCTGTGATCAAGGTCAAGGTCACTGTTACTATAAATAGAAATTCAGTTTCTGCTCAATAACTTGAGTTTGCTTTGGCCTATTGTCACAAACTTGGTGTATGGATAGCTTATATCAAGAGGCAGCTTGGGATTGCTACCAGGTGTCTGTGATCTAGGTCAAGGTCACTGTTACTAAAAATAGAAATTCAGTTTCGGCTTAATAACTTGAGTTTGCTTTGGCCTATTCACACCAAACTTGGTGTATGGACAGCTTATATCAAGAGGCAGCTTGGGATTGGTACCCAGGTGTCTGTGGTCAAGGTCAAGGTCACTGTTACTAAAAATAGAAATTCAGTTTCCGCTCAATAACTTGAGTTTGCTTTGGCCTATTCACACAAAACTTGGTGTGTGTAGCTAATATCAAGCGGCAGCTTAGGATTGCTACCCAGATGTCTGTGATCAAATTCAAGGTCACTGTTTACTATAAATAGAAATTCAGTTTCCGCTCAATAACTTGAGTTTGCTTTTGGCCTATTGTCACCAAAATTGGTGTATGGATAGCTTATATCAAGAGGCAGCTTGGGATTGCTACCCAGGTGTCTGTGATCTAGGTCAAGGTCACTGTTACTAAAAAATAGAAATTCAGTTTCCGCTCAATAACTTGAGTTTGCTTTGGCCTATTCACACCAAACTTGGTGTATGGACAGCTTATATCAAGAAGAGGCAGCTTGGATTGGTACCCAGGTGTCTGTGGTCAAGGTCAAGGTCACTGTTACTAAAAATAGAAATTCAGTTTCCGCTCAATAACATGAGTTTGCTTTGGCCTATTCACACCAAACTTGGTGTATGGATAGCTTATATGAAGAGGCAGCTTGGGATTGCTACCCAGGTGTCTGTGATCAAGGTCAAGGTCACTGTTACTAAAAATAGAAATTCAGTTTCCGCTCAATAGCTTGAGTTTGCTTTGGCCTATTGACACCAAACTTGGTGTATGGATAGCTTATATCAAGAGGCAGCTTGGGATTGGTACCCAGGGTGTCTGTGATCTAGGTCAATGTCACTGTTACTAAAAATAGAAATTCAGTTTCTGCTCAATAACTTGAGATTGCTTTGGCCTATTGACACCAAACTTGGTGTATGGATAGGTTATCTCAAGATGCAGTTCTAGGGATTGCTACCCAGGTGCCTGTGATCAAGGTCAAGGTCACTGTTACTAAAAATAGAAATTCAGTTTCTGCTCAATAACTTGAGATTGCTTTGCCCTATTGACACCAAACTTGATGAATGGGTAGCTTATATCAAGAGGCAGCTTGGGATTGCTACCCAGGTGTCTGTGATCAAGGTTAATGCATTTAGTTTTCCATGTTATAACTTGAGTTTGCTTTGACCTTTTGACACTGAACTTGCTGAGTGGCAGCTTTGGATTGCCACTTAGATATCTGGGTACAAGGTCAAGGTAATTTGCTTACAGATAGAATTTTCAGTATCTACTCAATAACTTCAGTGCACTTTGACCTATTGATTGTTGTCACATCAAAACTTGGTCGTTGAAAACCTGGTTTTCGTCGCATTGCGGCGCTTCTTGTTTGCAATTGGTTTGATATTATTCCTTCACACAGTTATGTATGTTATGTCACAATGGTATATAGACAGATAGATGGTATTTAAATTTAATTTTCTTTGAGACTGTATTTAGAGACTCCCTGTCATATGTGACCTTTTTCTGAAGATCCCTTGGAAAGTCACGTATGACAGTCTCATCTGTCAGCTTCCCCAAATTTCCAGGCTTGCCCTCAATACAGTTAGCAATGACCTTAGATTTTTTGGTGTCTTTTCTCTCTTTCAAATTATTGAACCTCTTTCAAATAATGGATTGAAAATTTGTTTCTACTGTAATGGCAATATTTATTTGATATTGTTTTAGAGAGCAGATGTACTGGAATCTCTGGCTCTACATCAGGCCAGTCCGGATGAGATGAACCAGTTTGTTAGTATAGCTGAGATGCAAACTGGGAAATTAAAAAGGTTGGTTAATTTGTTTTTTAAAAATTCAGAGATCGAATTTTCCACTCTTCCTTTCGTAATTACAAGTAGAATTTAATAGAACTTGATGCAGGACAAGTCGAAAAATGTTGCCTGCACATTGAGTGACTTAGAAAATATATTTTGATGCCTAAAATTGTCTTCGTTCAGTATAGAACATTTATAAATCATTCAAATTATATTAACAATTTTTATATAAGAATTTGGTACATTAAGTTTGGTAGAGAAAAACATGTTCTGTTACCCACTGGGCTTGCCCTGCTGTATACTAATACTATTATATTTAAAAGGAAATCAAATAATTTTTTTTAAAAAGTATATAGATTTCTATACTTATAAGTAAAATTTTCATTCATTTGTAGTCACGCGCCACCATTTTTAATGAAACTTAATGATAATAGCTGAGGTATTCCGAAAACAGAACAATTGCAACTTTTCGACTAAGGAATCATTGCAGTGTTCCAATTGAAAACAGAAGTGGTGCATGAAATACCGAATGACACCTCTAAAATGAAAAATGTTACATAAAAAATGTATGGAATTTTTTATCTGACTTGCTTTGCCTACTTTCATTTAAAGGTTTATTTTATTAAGAAAATTTGTTAACTCTTTTTGAGCATTTAAGTTTGATTTCATATTTCTGTAGAAAAATTGAACAGACTCAAAGTGACGTAAGTGTAAACACTATTGCTGGTAGTAATAAGAAAAGAAGGAAAATGATATCTGAACAGGAAATAGAGGAGAGTGACGATGAGTCTATTCATACCTCTGACATGTCTACAGATGAAGAGGATTCAGGGGTGATAAGTGATGATGAAAAAGAGCACTCAGGGGAGAGAACTTCTGTAAAAGTTGAAAATAGTGGGACAGATAGTATGAAGAAAGAAGATGATTCATGTTATAAATGTGAATTGAATAGAGGCACAGATAATGAAGCCAAAGAGAAACAAAACGACAAAAGTGGGAGAGTTATTGATTCAAATGTTGGGAATAGTGGTGCAAAAGAAAATGTTACAATTGTGAAGACAAAACATCATGCCAGAGGGACTTCTGGGAAATGGACAGTGAGTGAAATAAGGCCTAAAAAAGATGAAGTGACAAATGATAAAAAGGTTGAAAAAGATTCGAAAGTTGATAAAAGTGACATAGAAAAATCTAAAGATAAAGTCAAAACAGTGGAAAGTATAAAACCAGTAGAAACAGTTATAAAATCAGAAGAGGCTGTAACAAAGAAAGTTGTCAATATCCCTGTGGAAAGAGAAAAGCATATACAAGTAAGATTGTTATTTAAAATACTTTTTTAACTTCGTATGGGAGTTATCTCATTTTATTCCTGTCACAATATACATACCTAGTGACGATTTTGTGACTGATATAATGGTAGACACATAGACAAGTGTACAAAAAAATATATATTGAAACAAATATATTTAGTTTCCTGTATTAAAATTAAGTCAGTTTTGAATGAAGTATATGCTCGCCCATATGGTTAATTCCGATGGCAAGGGTAAACAAACCAAACAGACACATGCATGCACACACACATATCAAAATCATAATTAGACAGTCATTTTTGAAAGGAAACTGTCCAGAGTATTATTCTAAAAGATTATTGAATTTTATAGGATGGAAGATTAAAGCTGCCTATTTTAGGAGAAGAGCAGGTGATTATGGAAACAATCAATGAAAATCCTGTGGTGATTATCTGTGGTGAAACAGGAAGTGGTAAAACTACTCAAGTACCGCAGTTTCTGTATGAAGCTGGGTATGCTCAGTAAGTGAACCATGATACCTTTAATGGCCATAGAATAACAATGAACAATCTTTAGGGTGACTAAATCATTTAGCTTTGGCATTATGTACAGTTATCTTCAGCTTTAAATGTGTTGCGAGATAGAACTTTTGACCAAATAGGGGAGAAAATGTATAAGTCAGGAGAACCCTGGAAGGATATTCTGAGGTTTGGGTTTTGAGTTGCGATCAGGCTGCACAACATTTTTCTCACCTTGTGACAAATGCATTGAAGCATGTTAATGTAAAGTTCAAAGATCAAATGTCTGTGATATGCCATTATAAAGGATAATCTTATGTTTCAAAAAGTATTTTAGTTTTTTGTAACCATAGATATGATGTTTGTTAAATTATGAAAATGTTACTTTTGTTTCAGTGGAAGTGGAACTATCGCAGTTACAGAGCCGAGAAGGGTGGCAGCTGTCAGTATGTCAAACCGAGTAGCCACTGAAATGTCACTGTCAAACAGGTATTCTATTCATGTCAAGTTCTTTTTCTTTTTGTAGATGTAATATAGAGGGTGATGCAGACATATGGGGGACAGAAATCTGCTAGGAAATAAATAACTTCTGTTTGTATTTGTAATTATATGCTTGAATAAGTCAAGTAAAATTGTTTATATGGGGCAAATATCTTTAAAAGAATTATTCTTGAAAGTACTATATAATTAAATATTTAAAGTGTGTAAAAATTGTTTCTTTGAACAGAACTACAATTTTTTTTGGAAATTTTGCAAATTAATTTACATTTTGCATAGTTGTCTATCTGGTAAATATCTCTACTTGAAATGTTCATTGAAATTTGCCAGTTACATTATAATATACTTGCATAGGTGTATGAAATTTTTTATTTTGAGTCAAGCATCTGTAATACAGGTATATTTGTTATTTATTCCTGATCGATGTCTGTTTCTACAAGAAGATTTTTTTATATATTTACATATATAATACTGCTTGTTTGTAACGTCGCGTTTCATTAGACAATCTTGATGTTTATATAGTTTTATATACACAACTACTGTCAATTTATGATGATATCCCACATTTTTCTCTTAAAAGAAAGTTTGTTGTATCATAAATTTGTTATATTGTCGTATATAAACAGTTGTTTGCAAAAAAAAAACCACCTCAATTAGCGGTTCGGGATATTTGGGCCTTATAACCTGCAAAAAAAATCTTTATAACTGATGATTTAAAATTTAAATATTTTGTTTTTTATAGAGAAGTGTCATACCAGATAAGATATGAAGGAAATGTGACACCAGATACAAAGATCAAGTTTATGACAGATGGTGTTTTACTGAAGGAAGTACAACAGGTATATAACTATTCACTATTTGATCGTATATATAAATAATCATTTTATAGTATCTTAAAGAAATTTCAATATTAAAAATGCTAAAACTGAAATCCAAATAGTTCCAGACTTTTACAATATTTACCTCCCTTGCCAAAAGTGGCAGCCATTTTTTGGGGTAAATATTTTGTATACTGTAATTGACAAAATATAAAAAAAAAAAATATATAAACAGCCAATTTACGTGAAATGTCAAATTCTGTTATACTACTTACGCAGTAAAATATTATTGTATTATTGTATTAATATAAATAGCACCAATATGTAAAAGATTTTTATCAGTCTTCATGAAGATGATAGAATTATGAGAGATTTTTTTATTATCTAAAGCATATGATATACATGTATTTGAATGAAACCAAAAATGGCAGCCAGGGGAGGTAATTGTCAATAGTGGTTATAGCATCATCAATGCTTAAAGTAATATGTGAATTAAAAAATATATAGTGCCAAATACTTGTAGTACTAGGAGAAACATAGTACTAGGAGAAACATGATTTTAATTTTGATTTTTCAGGATTTTTTGTTGACAAAGTACAGTGTTGTGATAATAGACGAGGCTCATGAAAGGAGTGTATACACTGATATACTGATTGGTTTACTATCAAGAATAGTTCCTCTAAGACACAAAGTGAGTTATTTCATAGTATTAGGTCTCTATTGGTTATGGGTGCTTACTTTGAAATTGCTTGTTTGATATTGGTATTAGCTACAATGTTGCATTAGATGAGGACTTGTTAGTTGTTACTGCTTGTAGGAGTGTGGTTCTACTTGTTTGCCTGCTTATGATTTTGTTTTAGCTTAACAAGAGCTGTTTTTGTATGTATGTATTCTAGGCTTAATGAGATGCATTGCAACCTCTTAAGTAGTTTTTGTAATGAGCCTGTTTTGCTATAGATATGGTAAATGACCATAAGCCAGTGACTGAGATATTTATAAAAGTAAATTCTCAAATACTCATACAAACATTGATACTGTTTTAATGACAGGTATAAACTAAAATCAGTGTCACTTTCTGACTTTCAACTTTCACAATTTCCTTAAGTAGTTGAATGTTGCAAATAAATCTCAGATTTCTGTGTCCCCCCCTATGTAATGAAGACAATTCTACAGAATTTGTGAAGTTACTGTGTCATAAATTAGAAAAAAATATCTCATCTTCTATTTATAGAGAGGGAATCCATTAAAGCTTGTCATTATGTCTGCCACATTGAGAGTAGAAGATTTTACGGAGAATAATAGATTGTTCTGTGTGACACCACCAGTTGTCAAGGTAATATATATGTAACAGTTTTGCTTCTTAAGAATTTGATTAAAAACAGTGTTGCCCCTGACCGCTGTGGGTTCGAATCCCGACAGGGACTTTGGATTCTTTCATGTTAGGAAGTTACCCTGCTAGTTTATGGAACATATCGATTGTTCTACTCAGGTGCCCGTTTGTGCCTGAAACAATGCACAGAAGGCCACCTTAGGTCTTTCTCCACCAGGAAAGCTGGAATGTTGCCATATGACCTATACTGTGTTGGTGTGATGTAAAACACAATCAATCAAACAAACAAACAAAACAGGGTTCTTAGCAAAGTTGTTGTTAACGCAGATCACATTTTATATTCATTTTTCATGTGGACTTCACAGTGTAGTTTAAAAAAGACATAGATATTGGCAAACAAATTATACAGCACAGATTGACACAAAATCTTCTGGTTAATTGGTGTTATAAAGATAATTTTCAACTTATTAAAATTGAAAAAAGAATTGCTTGTTTTTGAATATCAATTTGAATCATAACATGAAATATTGATGTTTTTCTAGGTTGATGCAAGGCAGTTTCCTGTAACAATTCACTACAATAAGAGAACACCCTTGGATAATTACCTCAACGAAGCTTACAAGAAGGTAATTATTTACTGAATAATATTGTTCCTTTAATAAGTTTATATAACATTTTACAAGAAATTTTCACTTTGTTATGACCATTGATATTATATTTACTTTAGCTTGATTGTGTGATGAAAGTTCAAAACTTATTTGATATGCTCGAAAGTTCGAAACTTTTGAATTGCTCGAAAGTTCGAAACTTTTGAATTGCTCGAGAGTTTGAAACTTATTATGTCTCCCCCACCTCGGGGGGAGACATATTGTTTTTGCCCTGTCCGTCCGTCCGTCAGTCCGTCCGTCCGTCAGTCCGTCCGTCCATTCTTCGTTTCCGGACGATAACTAGAGTTCCTTTTGACCTACAGCTCTCAAACTTCATAGGATGAATGGTCTTATTGAGCGGTACGTTACGATACCGAAATCAACTTGATTTCGGTAAAGTTACCGAAATCAACTTTTCATTACCGAAATCAACTTATAAAATCACAATTAAGCGTTTTATTATATTTTTTTCATTATAATATATTACAATAGGTAAAGTTTGACTTTCATGCAAAAATCAGTTCGAAATAATCATTAATAATGATATTAGAAAAAAATAACTAAATATCAAGATTATTCCCTAATTTGTCACAAACCGAAATATATGTTACAATACCGAAATCGACTTGTAAATCACAATTAAGCGTTTCTATTATAATTTTTTCATTATAATCTATTTCAATAGGTTTTAGTTTGACTTTCATGCAAAAAATCAGTTCGAAATAATTAATAATTATGAAATTAGAAACAAATACCTATATATCAAGATTACTTCGAACCGAAATATATGTTACCATACCGAAATCGGCTTGTAAAAGTTTAAATAAACATTTTCATAGATCTTGTTTAATTAATTAATATAAAATCATTCTAACTGAACCATAAACAAAGGAAAATAATATTTAATTATAAAAAATGATGATGTTATAGACGGATATGTATATTATATCATGATTATACTTCCCTTGTTATTAATGTGTTGCATTACCGAAATCAAATCAGATTTCATTTCAAAGATGAGAAAAACACCTAAAATATTTGCATGAATTTCAGAAGTCTATGAAAAAGGTATTTGAGTTAGTTTTAAACTTTGAATTCATATCGCTTATTTTCAATGTTTAGTCAGGTATCATTGCAGCGTATCATCTCTTTGATGTTTCTTAATGATTTCAAAATACAAGATTAAACAAAACTGTGCTTGAAGTTATCCGCCTAATTTAGATCACTATTAAAAGAGTTGATTGGAAATTATCACAGTATTTAATTTAAATCCAATGATTATGATTTGATTAAAATAAAAAGACGTAGCGGTAGCCATTCATCATAACACCTTTACTAATAAGGAGCAAGTATACACGTGCTCGGGAACAATGGAGGTGTTAGTTGACATAACATACTCGTTAACCGCAATCTTTTAATATACATCGGCGCATGGAAACTTTAAAGTATCCAAACAACATAATTAGACATAATTTTTTTACATGAAATTAAAGCTGCTTGTCTCCATTAAGACAAAAAATACATTACAGTTTAATATAAAATGACGTATAGCGACCATCCTGATATAATATATATCAAAAGACTTTTTTTATAGTTCTATATTATAAATATTTCAGATCTATTAAGCTGGTAAAAATATAATTTTATATTAAATAAATTGTCAAAAGACCTGTTTTAACTAATTTGTAGGGGTGGTCGCTAAACGTTTCCGTAGAAAACATTTCGGTATATGAGACAAGGTGCTTTGATTTTATTACTACCAAATTGCCTATCAGTGGTTCTAAAAATGTATGCAATTTTTTGATGTCCCGGATACTTAACTACATATTCTACTTATTGAAAAAGTGTTAAGTCATGATTTTATGTTGATCGGTTTAAAATCATTTTAAATTAAATATCTGTATACTGTATTATGTAAGGTGTAAAGTAATTAAGACAGGAGGTACAGTTGACATACAATGTATGTTAAAGATAAAAGATTATAATGAACCATCTGTTTATTTTAAACATTTAATTAAATGGCTAAAATAAGTTTAACTGTTCAATAAAAGAAAGACACAAACTTTCCAATTGTACTGCCTGATACATTATACAATTTTTATGGAACATTTTTAGAGCAGTCGAATTATATATCTGTATTCAAATTTATAATAGAAAATCATAAACTTCCGTTTGAAGTTGGATATTTTTTCTTCATAAAACATAAACATGTACAAAATTTATAATTATCTTTAACTCATATTACAGAGTATTTTATTTTTCCATCATAGTCCGATCATAGCTTTTTAAAAATACGATTTGATTAGAAAATTGTTATGCACGACAATCACGTGCAGATATATAACATGCTAATATGGCGGTATCAGACTTTTTCTTAAATCATTATATACATTGCATTCTAATATGAAATGGTATTCGTCTTCTAAGACATTACATGAAAAACATTTTCTATCATTTAAAGGTGTACTATTTGGTTTAGTCCATTTACCTGAGTCAATGTGCAATCTATGCGATGATACTCTTAACCTAGTGAGATCTTTACAAAACCGTTCAACATTGATATTATTTAGATATGGTTGAATCTTAAAAACAGAAATATGTCTATAAAATAGAGCTCTACTAGAGTTATCTAATCTACTATCTACTAATTATATACATAATTTAAACTTCACCGCTGATTTCGGTAATGCTATACACATAACGGTTTGTTTAGAACAAAGGCTAGTAACTCAATAATTACATTTTTGTTAATAACATCATTAAAATAAAATATTTTCAATAGATTTTTTAACTGAAAGTCTATTTCACTATTTTTCATCAAATAATGAAGAAATAATAGCAATATTTTAACTAGGTTGGTTTTTACGAGTTGATTTCGGTAAAGCTAAACACATAACGGGTTGTTTAGAACAAAGGCTAGTAACTCAATAATTACATTTTTGTTAATAACATCATTAAAATAAAATATTTTCAGTAGATTTTTTAACTGGAAGTCCATTTCACTATTTTTCATCAAATAATGAAGAAATAATAGCAATATTTTAACTAGGTTGGTTTTTACGAGTTGATTTCGGTAATGAAAAGTTGATTTCGGTAACTTTACCGATTTCGGTATCGTAACGTACCCCTTATTGAGCAGATGATCCCTATTGTTTTTGGGGTCAGTAGTTCAAAGGTCAAGGTCACAGTGACCGTTGGTCAATTTCTCGTTTCCGGATGATAACTAGAGTTCCTTTTGACCTACAGCCCTCAAACTTCATAGGATGATTGGTCTTATAGAGCTGATGATCCCTATTGTTTTTGGGGTCAGTAGGTCAAAGGTCAAGGTCACACTGACCGTTGGTCAATTTCTCGTTTCCGGATGATAACTAGAGTTCCTTTAGACCTACAGCCCTCAAACTTCATAGGATGATTGGTCTTATAGAGCAGATGATCCCTATTGTTTTTGGGGTCAGTAGGTCAAAGGTCAAGGTCACAGTGACCGTTGGTCAATTTCTCATTTCCGGATGATAACTAGAGTTCCTTATGACCTACAACCCTCAAACTTCATAGGATGATTGGTCTTATTAATCAAATGATCCCTATTGTTTTAATGGTCAGTAGGTCAAAGGTCAAGGTCACAGCGACCATTGGTTAATTTCTCCTTTCCGGATGATAACTAGAGTTCCTTTAGACCTACAACCCTCAAACTTCATAGGATGATTGGTCTTATTGAGCAGATGATCCCTCTTGTTTATGGGGTCAGTAGGTCAAAGGTTAAGGTCACAGTGACCATTGGTCATTTTCTCATTTCCGGATGATAACTAGAGTTCTTATCAGTGAGGACATTTAACTATTATTGATATATCAGTGATATATCAGTTGTCTGGTTTTATATACTCTGTTCTTTTTTGATCTTTCCACCCTTATGCAGTCATTTCTTCCCCGCTGAGCGTTCAATGCTACATGGTCACAGCAAGGTGTATTACACGCATTGTTTTGTTTGCTGATGTATTTTTGTTTCAAGTATCTACCAGAGAGGCTTCATTGTGAAAACGAGTGGAGTCATCCCAACACACTACAGTTATCATGATTTTACATACATTGTAATTTGAGTTGTCTTTCAATAGTGTAAAAAAATCTGACAATATGAACGTTTGTTTCAAGTATCATCAAAATCCTTTAAAGGTTTGAAGAATTATGGAGCAGACACAATTTCATTTAATTTCATTTGTGAAACTATATATGATATGACCATCAAGTGCAATTTCGTTTGACGCCCGCCTGCCATATGCTGATTGAATAACCAGGATTTTCAAAATTGAATACCTGGTTAAAAACAAACAGTTTAGGAAGCATCTTCTCATACAACCTTAACAATAGAAACCATCCATAGACAGCCTTCATTGAAGTGACTACCGGGTATTTACATTATCTTATCTCCATTTCCATTCCTGTTTCCATTCACAGTTATTCTCAGCAGTGGGGGAGACATGCGCTTTTTTACAAAAGCATCCTCTAGTTTGAATTGCTTTTGGTTTTGCTTTGTAACCAGTTTGACCTTGAGATTTTAAAATTTTTTCTCTGAATTCCGACTCAAACCTGTGATTCCACAGATTTGAGGCAGATGGATGAATCTCTAATTTACTGCACATGCCTGTCAATATCTTAAATATTATTCATAATTCATTGTTATGTTTTCAGCTCTCTAAGTATTCAACTTACACATTTAAAGATTAGCCCTCCATTGTCACATGGCTGTGCTATGTTTATTTCAGTAATTTATCAATCTCTTGCATGTAGCTGATTAAAATTCGAAATAAGTGAAGATGAATTTGTCTGGAAGGACTGCTACAGGTTTATATAAGGTCAATGGTCTTCAGGTGAAGGACTGAACCATAATGAGCTTGTAAACAAGCAGTCATACTAGTATTTTCTCAAATAACGGTCACGGTGAAAAACGCTGTCTCATCAGGTAGTTGATATTTACCAATTTATTATCCTTACGTCCTGAATGTACCCAAGATCATAGAGGGAGGGGCTTTCAATGGCTTGGTATTTCAGAAACCTTTCTGACATGATTTTCTGTATCATATATTTCAGACATGTAAGATTCACAAGACATTACCGGAAGGTGGTATACTTTTGTTTGTAACAGGCCAACAGGAAGTGCATACTCTGTGCAGAAAATTAAAACAGACGTTCCCATTGGATAAAAATAACCCAGGAACAGGTAGGAAAACAAGAGCTGAATGTAAGACGGTGCCCTTAACTGTTGTAAGAAAAGGGGCATAACCATGTAAAAATGTAAATCAAGAGTTATGGGCCCTGTTCTGAGTAAGATAATCAAAGGGACGAACAGTGTGAAGTTTCAACCATTGACTTTCAGTAGTTTTGGAGATACCAGCTTGCACCCTATTCCTAGATTAGTTAAGCTAAAGATGGATTAAATAAGTAAATTATATACTTCCGAAATTTGGTTTCTCTGTTTTAAAGGGATCTTAATGATAATCATTGTTTATAAAAAAAAAATGTATTTTTTCGTTATCAGGAACAATCTCACATCAAAGGAAAAGACATAAACATGGTGATAAGAATAAAGAGGCAGAGAAAGTGGAGTTACCAAAAATTAACCTAGACAAGTATATAACATTTTTTGTATTTAAATATATGCTTTCATATCTGTGACCTTTGTAACTAATTTGACATCAGTCAGATAAAAGTATTCAAGTATTTGAAAGATCCTGTATTAGTCTAAGAATACAGGGTATAAAGTTAAGGTGTCTTTCACCCATTACAGTTGGTGCAACGTAAAACCAAACCAAAAACAAATATTACTAAAAAAAAAACTGGGACCTCCATGAAATATATTCTGTAAACTTTATTATACAGTTATTCAGTGGCCCCAATAGATGAGGAAGCTGAAATGGAGGGCGGCTCTGACCTTGACCTTAGTGATGATGAGAATGACCTTGGTAACCATGATGATGTGGATGATGATGACCTTGGCATTGAAAATGTTAAGGTCACTGAATGCTCACAACCACTATATGTATTGCCACTATATTCATTACTATCTACACAGAAACAAGCTAAGGTTAGTTATTGAACTTCCTAGTTATAAATTATAATAGTCTTATGGGATGAATTATTTTCTTGAACTTTATTACATTTCTGTGTAAGGTCATCGTAAAACTTCTAAGTCAATAAGTTTCTGCCAAAATCTTATAAATGCCTAAATCTGAGTCCGCCTGCTTAGCTCAATAAGAAGTGCATGGGATATGATTGAAATCCAAAGGTTGCTGATTCGATCTTTTGGGGCGAGGGGTAGTTTCTCCGTGACAATTTATCTCAGACATTGAGTGTAATGATTATTTGTTCCTCACCACTAATTCAGAAATCATGTTGTATTAGATGTCAGTCACTTGGTTAGAAATGGGTAATTGCTGGTCAGTTATTCAGGGAAGCAAGTTAGGTTGACAGACTGCCTACATATGACGATTGTATCAAAATTATCATCAAAAACAAATGAACAAACAACTATAATTTGAATATAAGATGCACATTTCGAGAATGTGTTACCTGTAATTTGTTGATGTGCCAAAAGTTTGATAAATTGGGATGTCAAGTTGGAATGTTGCTTTAATGATATCAACATTATCACTTTAGGTATTTGGTCCAGTACCTGAAGGTTGCAGGCTTTGTGTTGTTGCTACTAATGTAGCGGAGACTTCACTCACCATACCTGGCATCAAGTATGTTGTAGATACTGGAAAGGTATGTAGTATTGTTTTTTTGTTCTTTTAACCAACCTACTTTCCTTTTTAACACATTTCGAGTTTAATTGACATTTTCTTTAAAGGCCCATTAGGCGTCAGAAATGCTTTTATTTCTATTTCTCAATATCGTTTTGTTTTTGGTGTCCTGTTCAAAGTGGAATACAAAAAACATCAACAGTAAGTTAAAACTATGACAAACAAAAAAGCCCGTTAGGTGTCAGAAATGCTTTTATTTCTATTTCTCAATATTGTTTTGTTTTTGGTGTCCTGTTCTGATTTCTTAAAGTTAGTAATCGGAAAATTATCTGAACCATCTTATGTTTTTGTTGCTTTTTAGCAATAAGTAAAGTAATATTGATTTAGTATTTTGTATGGAAGTCGAAATACTACTTTGTTTACATTTTGCTACTTTTTATGACAAATAATTATATATTCAGCACTTCTTATGTATGTAACATGCTCTTACACCATGTCTGACCTTTGTTAAAAAATGGAAAACTTGTTTCTGAGGCATAATTTGCCTTTAAAGCATGTGCGTGACATCAGATTGCGGTGTCAAAAAATTGACTGTAATTTTATCTTGGGAGTGTATGTGCTTTTCAGAGTAAGACAAAGTTTTATGACAAGGTAACTGGGGTGTCAACATTTAGGATCACATGGACATCTAAAGCATCAGCCAATCAGAGAGCTGGTAGAGCAGGCAGGGTGGGGCCAGGCCACTGCTATAGGTATGTTGAATTAAACTTAAAGTTTTGTGTAATGCACAGTGTTAATTGATGCAAGTAATAACAAAAACAACAAAAATTTGTGCCCCACGAATAATAATGATATTACAGTATAGAGGATATTTATTGTTTTGATCATACTGAAATAATTTGCTATTTGGACACAGAGTATTTTGAACAAAGTATGTAGAGAAATGTTGGATTTGAATTAATTTTATATTCATAGATTTAAGCAGTTTGACTTATAGTCCTGTAGGGCTGGGTTGTATTATGATTATATATATTGTTTTGTGATTATTGTCAAAACACACAAACACAAGTCACTATAAGAAATGATTATCTTATCTTATTCTAGTATAAAAAACTACAGGATTCTCTCTTAGCCTCCCAGCAATATATTATTTTTCTGTGTTTCTTTTCAGGTTATATTCATCAGCAGTGTTCAATGACGAATTTGAGAAATTTTCTCCAGCTGAAATCACTAGAAGACCTGTAGATGACCTTGTGCTACAAATGAAGGTAAAGGAGCTTAACGTTGTTTCACATTCTGAACACAACTCTGTTGATTTCTCTTTTTTTCATATCGAGAATTTGGTGTATACGAATTTATTTTTAGTTTGATCGAGTAGGAAGCTTAAAGATTACAGACATACTCACAAATCCGTCCCTGGAATCAACCAGTACTGAGCAATAAGTGTAATGTTTCTTGCTCAGAAAACAACAGCTTGCCCCTGACAGGGGTTTGAACCCGTGCTAAAAGCAATCCTTAGATTACTTATCCGGTGCGTAAACCACCTGGCTGTGCCACTACTATTATCAACAGTTTATACAGTGTGATGGCATTTTCCAACATCATAATTATGCAACATTACCCAAGTATTATGAAAATGCTAATGTAATTTATATCTTATGTTGAAGTTTCGAATTTGCCTGATACTTGGCTAATGTCATTGCATTTTATTTATTGCATTATAATTTTGTATTTGACTGCAAAAATATCTTATTTTCTCTCACTTTATAATTCCTTTACTGAATGAAATATTATGTAACATTTGTATAAACTGCAAAAATAACATTTTTGTATTAACTTTCTTATTTCTTTACTAAATTGAATATTTAATAGCATTGAAATGATAATCATTTGTTGAGTATTGCATCATATCAACTGCTTTTGGTAATATTTTCAGGACATGAATATAGAGAAGGTGATCAATTTCCCATACCCCACCCCACCTGACAAAGAGCAGTTACAGGTAGATCTATATAGTTTAGCAGTTATAAACTTATTTGTACTGAATTATTCAAACTATTTAAGTTAGTAAGTACACTGACTAACTTGCACTGAGTTACATTATATTATTTCATGCAAGGAAGATAATTCAGATACAGTAAAGCTTAATGCAGGTTGTAGGTTTTAAGCTTGTGCCTGAAATAATGAATGAAGACGCCTCCACCATTACAACTAGAAATTTACTATATTATATTATCTTTGACAGCTGTTACGGTCTTAAGACCCGAAATCATTTGCTCCTCATTGCTTTAGGTTTTTAGTCCTGCTAGGTACTTTGAAATCTCTTTGTGAGAAAGATGTCCAGCTAGCTTACGGAATGTTGGTGGTTCTACTCAGGTGCCTGAAATTATGCACATAAACGGTATTCAACCATCAGTATTAAAAAGTTGCCAGCCAATGACCTTTACAAGGTCAAAATAGCTTTAAGCCTAACCAACCAATCATAGACAGTGAAAATTTCTACCAAGTGTATACTTGAAAATATTTCATGTACTTTTCCTACAACAATATGGGAGAAGTTATCATATGACCCTAACTGTTTATTCTTTATTTTAGGCAGCAGAGAATCTTCTAATTAGTTTGGGAGCACTAACAATACCTGCAGCACCCAGATCATTCAGGGAGTCAAAGAAAGGTAGGCATTAACTCATTGTGTTCTAGCAGTGTGAGTGATAATAACAGACCTATGTCACCAGTATAGAGCCAAGCCAGCCTGTGTATCTGTCCAGTTTGAACAGATGATATACTGTTGACTGCTGAGTTAAACATTTGATATTGAAATCCCTATAGCTACTATTGGGCAGTTTGAAAAAATAGGATAGGTCCATTATATAAATTGAAGAGGGACAGGGTTGATAATATCTTTTTTTTGCATCTTTAATAAAATATGTTTGAAAGTTTTAAAGAATATTCTCTTTTGATTGTTTGATACAGAGGGCAGTGGTCACTGTAGTTTACCTATTTAGTTGTTGAAATTGTAGTGATGGTCTTGCTTACACATCTTTGTAGTGTGGTCAAACTATTCAGATCTGTTAAAGAAAAATACTACTGTTTTAAAATGTTAAAATATAGATGATCACTCTTACAGACTAAGTATGCTTTTCTTGAAACCCCTAAAACTTTAATGGATAGTTCCAAAGCAATAGTAGAACAGGTTTGATGCAAAACAATTAGATTAAACATGTTGAAAATTGTTCAAAATTCTGTCTTTTTTGAAATTGATGAATTATGAAGACAAAGTGGAACAGGAGGATTTTGAACAGGAGTCTTTGCATCTCTTTACTCCAGCAGGTGAGGTGGTTTTGACCCCTGTTGTTGCTTAAAGCTTATAACACCAGAGGTTAGTCCAAATCATCTTTCCTGTTTCAGTGCTATATCACCTAAATTGTATTGGTGCGCCTAAAAACCAAACCAAATCATACAGAAGGGGTAAAAATTATTACAATAATTGTTGATTTATACCTTATAAAGCAGGAGAATGGGAGAATTTGAAACAGAATGGGTGAAAATTATTATAATAACTGTTTATACATTCTAGAATCTGTCACAACAATCACACCAGTAGGTAGAGCTATGGCCTGTTTCCCGGTTTCACCGCGATATTCTAAGATGTTAGCCATGGGGCACCAGCAGAATTTATTACCTTATGTAGTGGTGATTGTCTCCGCACTGTCCGTGCAGGAATTATTTATGGAAGTTTATAGTAATCCACAAGATGAAGGTCAGGTAAGATAAAGATTTACCAAATTCTGCCGCATATTCCTATGGTATATATTATTGTTAAACAAATTTCGTAATGAAATCATTCTAAGTTACAGAAAGTTTAATGATTGGTTTATGAAAGTATAAGGCATACATAGGTATACAACTTGCACTACATTTCACATACTAGTCACACATTGTTTTAGAGTAATAATTTTGTCTCACACCTTATAGAATGTTACCAATGAAATTCCAGCGTTTGCACCATTTGATTTCCAAATATAAATCATTTTTGGATCCATTTAATTTTTTCTAGTCCAAACTATCCATATCAAACTTTGTATTGTACTACATCTTGCCTAGTTTTCATGTCCTGATTACAAAAATCTAAATTAAATTGCTATTGTACTTAGTTTTAACAAACAGCACCTGTTAAACAGAAGGGACCTGAAATTCATTGCCCTACAAGTTAAATGTTTCTTTTGGAATATCAGGTGCAAGGTGATGTTTGTTATTATTGATTTTACAGGAAGAAGAGTTTAGACAAAGATTGATACACCAGACTGAGATCAAGAGGAGATGGGCGGGAGCTGTATGTATATTGTATTACTTATATTGATATATCTTGATAGTAGACACATTGAAAGAAACAGATCACTTTGTCTCAAATCTCTTATAATGGCTTTATCCAATCAAGTTATCAGCCTTGCTTTTTTAGTCTTCAAAGTAAGATATTTATTAAAATTCTAAGAATTGACAGTAAAGAAATTAGTATTTAGGTTAAACTGGATCCATATGTATATACACATTAAAAGTCACTGTTATTGAAAGTATGTAAGTTTACAATTGGTCAGATTATTAACAAACTTTGCATTCTGGCTTTGTCCAAAAAGTAATATTTCAGCAATTGCTTACCTTGCCTGGTCATATAAAAGACTGTTAAAAATCTGTCAGCAATATACAATTTTACATTTTTAGGGTCATTCGCTTTTACTAGGAGATTTGATGGTGATGTTGAAAGCAGTAGGGTCCAGCGAGTACGAGGGTGGGTCACCAAAGTTCTGCGAGGCTCATGGTATAAGGTATAAAGCCATGAGGGAGGTTAGGAAACTGAGAACTCAATTGACCAACTCTGGTATGAATATTTCTATTTTAATCTCCAGCATTTTGATCATTTTGAAATACTTACATCTTATTTCTATAATTTTTTAATGGGAAAGATATATTTTTATAACAAATTTGTTGCAGTTTTGCATCACTAGGTGCCATTTTTTTCTGGTGGCCTTCAATGCCATGAAAGGATTTTAAGCTTACATGACTGTAAAGATTACTTGTTGACTTAAAACCACTTGCCGTTCACCGCTGTAAGTTCGAGCGCAAGCGTCTTCAGATTCTTTCATATGAGAAAGCTATCCAGCTAGCTTGCAGAATGTTGATGGTTCTACTCAGGGTGCCAATTTGAACCTGAAGTAATGCACAGAGCAGACAGAGGGGCGCCCAAGGTCTTTCTCCACCATATGTATGACCTATACTGTGTTGGTGCAATGTATAAGCCACTAAAAGATAAAAATAAATGAAAAAAATGAATGTACAGATTATCACTGGTGTGTATTAAGGTTCACTTTTAAGCTGCACAGGGGTCTTCTGTTGGAAAGACATAAAATATATAAATGAATAAAGAATAAAATTATTTATTTATGTAATATGAGTGTAAATATACATTTTAGTGAATACAGTGATACCTGATGCCAATGTATGTGTGGACCCCAAAATGTCCCCTCCTAATGATACCCAGGCTAAACTATTGAGGCAGATTGTCTTGTCCGGGATGGGTGACCATGTAGCAAGGTAGGTGCAGGCTCTGTTGTTCTGTTGAAGAATGATTAACAATTTAATCCTGTGTGTGGAGACAAAGAGAATTAGAGAACACATGGTTGATGTTGGTATTGAGAAGGTTTATCCGGTGAGCGAGAAAGTGTATCTTTAGCGCACCAAGATTCACTTTCGAAGCGAATTGGATAATCCTTCTCCTATCCGGACATCAAACAAGTTTTTGATTTATCCTACTTTTGTCTACTTTAATTATGTTTTTAGATTTTTAATTGGTTTCATTCTTACTTTATCTTGGATAAAACAGCGTCTATATGTAGTTTTGTTTTGCTGTTAACCATGTGATGTCCTCATAGGCTAACCATGTGATGTAATGACTGGAGATAGATAAGTTTATCTGGCAAGGCTTTATCGGATAATATAGACAGTAGCAAGATAATTCACAACTTTCCCATTATGCTTATTAAAAAGATATCCTGACAGAATTAAAAAATGTTGGTTTACTTTAAACTACACTTATACCTCTCAAAAGTTGGCAGATACTCTTAAACTTGTAGGTGTGACTTAAAGTCGTCTTACAAATTTCCTTTTTTACTTCAGAAAGATGCCAGAACTTCCTGCAACAAATCCAGATGCTAAAAAACTTAAAAATGCTTACCAGGTAATCGTCTTATTCAGTGTTAAATGGAACTTTGAATCACTTATGCCTTTTAAATGTGCAAGGTAGGGGAAACAAGTAAAACAAGAAATATGGCATATGAGCTTCTCAGTTTGAATTTTAAACCTAAAATCCTATATAAATTTTCTAAAGGGATTTAATTTATGGTTGTAATATAAGTAATAAAATGAGTTTGGTAAATATGAAACAGTTTAAACAACCACCAAGGGGTAGTGATAGTTTTTATTATCGGTTCCATTTATGTTTTGCAGTGTCCAAACTTAGAAGAGCCAGTATTTATACATCCAACATCAGTTCTTTACCGAGAAAGACCAGAATTTGTTGTTTATCAACATATAGAAGAAACTTCCAAATTATATATGAAAGGTAAAGTTTATATTTTAAACCTCTAACAAAACTGTTCAAATTATGACCTAAGTGTCCAAACATAGAGGCGATTTGTTATCTTGAGAGTTTATATGAATGAAATACAAAATCTGGAAAGCTTTATGCAATGTTTAATAGGAACATGGTCCGCCAGCTTAACTCAATAGTGAAATTATCAGATTATTAACCCAGGGGTAGCTGATTTGATCCCCTTGCCAGGCAGAATTTTTCTATCACATTGAGCCTAATGAACATTTGTCTCTCGCCGCTGATTCTTAAGTCATGTGAAACTAGTAATCTGTTACTTATACAGAAATTGGTAATTACCTGTAAAGCTATATATGGTAAAAATAAAGAATAAGAATGAAGGGACCAGCAAGAAAATGTTGTTTTTTTTTTAAATTGAAAGACTGTCATAAAAGCAAACATTAAAAAATATGATGTAGAGATTTTTCCAAAGAAATACTCGAAGAAACTGGCTGTGAAACCAAACAAGAAATGAGATTGAAATATAGACATTGAAAAACTAGAATTTGCTTTATAAATTAAATATAGCAAAGACATTCAATTTCAAACATGATGTTTATATTTCAGGTATCACTTCAATTGAGCCAGAGTGGTTGCCCTTGTTTGCTGAAAGTCATGTGACCCTCTCTAAGCCAATGGAAGAACCACCACCAAGATATGATAAGGTCAAAGGTCAAGTGAGTACTATTTTCACATCATTTAATTGTTACACCTGAGGAATTATTTTTTTGACAGAGGGTTTTCTTGATCATAACTTTGGCATCATTGGTAACAGTTGTTTTATGTTTTCTCAATTACAATAGGAATACAAGTAATTGTTTTTAAAAAAAAAAAAAGACGCATAAAAGATGCATCTTTGTCATGTGTTATGGTCAAACTGGTGATATGTTAAAGTCTTTTTTTGACCTTTCAAAGTTTATCTCAGAATATGTTTTATTCTTTAGGATACTTTTTGAAAATCTATTATTGAATGGGTTTGGAATAAGGTATTTAAAGCTAAATTAAAACAGAATCTTTTAATTGATTTATGACAATAGTGTTGGAACTTTTTGCACAATTCACGAATTTTGTTTAGATTTAGGGTCAATGTTTATATTTCAGGTCATGTGCCACATGTCTGGAACATTTGGTAACAGAGCCTGGCCGATTACTCCAGTGGAACTGGAATATCCAAGGGGTATAGAGAAAATGAAGTGGTTTGCAAGATTTCTGCTCGAGGGAGAAGTTATAGCAGAACTGAAAAAATTCACTCCTGACCTGTTGTCCCCACCTGCCACAATGATTAAAACATGGGCAAAGTATGAATTATTTCTTCCTATCATCACCTTTGTGCAGTATCTGATTAACTCCAATTAAATTTAGAAGGACTTATTCCATTATTGCACTAAGGTGACGATTTTATATAGATATATATGAAACTGATAAAAAAAATATATTTGTAAAAAAGAAAATGAATGAAAGGTAAGAAGCTGTTTGATTTATATTTGTTAGGTGTTTATGGAAAATTCATTTTTGGCAAATAAAATGACATGTTGATTTTTTGGGTTATTCACCTTTTATTTATGCATTAACATCTGTAGAACCACAGGAGATGCTTTTAAAGCATATATATTGATGCTCAAAAAAAGGTGCATTAGCACTATTCTTGCATAAAAGTACAAGTCTATGTAATTTTGTGTTTTGTAATATGTCTTTTAATGCTTGAAAATTTAAGTTTATATAGATATAGCAATATATTAACATTAAAGACAAATAAACAAAGTAATATAAAAATAATATGTTGGCTAATAAGTGTATAATATGTATTTCAGGCTTCAGCCGAGGACAGAGACATTATTAAAATTGTTGATCTCAGAAAGAGTGGATTCTAAAGATACTTTACTTCAAACTTGGAAGAAACAACCAGATTGTGAGTAACTTTATCTGTAACCTTTACTGTCCTGAATTTGTGAAATGGAGTTGCCCTGTTTAAAAATTTGGACCAGTCCATAAGAAGTTTAAGGGTTTCCAGTTTAAAAATAGTAAAACTGAGTAACCAAGTGACTGGAGTCTGGTTGGAATAGATAAATATCATAAATTGTGTATACATTTGGCACCTGCTATTTGTTTATAGGTTGTCTGTAAAACTTGTGCTATACTTTTGTTTATGGATTATTTATGAAGTTGGTACCAGGTATTTGTTTATAGATTGTAAAGTTTGTTCCATGTGCTATATATTTATGGATTGTTTATGAAGTTTGTACCTGCTATTTGTTTATAGATTGTCTGTAAATTTTTTACCTTGATTGTAAATAAGTTTGTACCTTGCTATACTGTATGCTCATAATGTGTGAACCTAGCTGAGAAATACACAGTTAATTTGCAAATTATTCTTAGGGCTTCACATGTGTTCTGTAATATTTTGGAATACATATTATTATATCATATTTTATAAGCTTTTCTGGTCTTTTGTTTCAGATCTTTTGGCAGCATTGAAAGAATGGATACCAGAATCTAAACATTTAGAACTGTCATTGAAATGGCCACCCAAATAACTAATGTTGTTTTATATTATAGGTGTATTGTTAATCGATTAAACTATTTAAATACATAACTTTTTATTTTATTTTTAATTTTTATTTAAGGAAGCTATATTAAAAGATGGTAGTAGACAAACTTTGTAATGTCAAATATATGGTACAACCTTTGAGGAGCAAATTACTTTAGAAGAGACAAAGACTTTGGGTGTGACTGAGAGGTGATGCTCCAGAAATAGAGTTAATTGTGAAACCTTACTTTAAGAAGAATTGATATTATTTTTGCAAGGTGGTTATAGGTGTACAGACAGCAGCTCTCTCGGTTTCACTGTATAATCATATTTTGTTGATAACATCAGTATAATTATAATAGCCTCTTAATTGCCCCATTGCACTTTAGGATACCATGTAGTATGAAAGTAAGCCCCTGTCCGCTGCTTTTAATAGTCTTGTTCCTCACATTGGTACTGAAAGGCATTGAAATTATCCCAGTTACTTCAAGAAAAGTATTTTACCAACAGCTGTCTATCATATTTCCTGTTGGCTTTAAAATTGAAACTTTACTATAAATATGCTGGTTGAGCAATGAATTGCCTATGAAAGGTCAGCCTATAGAATGCTGCATCTGTATAATGGAGTTCTTCCACCAGTATTTTTTCTTAAAATTTGAAATTTGTGGTATTAAACTACGTAACACGTGCTTGTAATCGCAAGACAGGATGCACATTGAATGGTATAGGCTTGCAAGATGGGGTACAGTGATGTCGGTTATCTTCTGTTAGATGAATAGGCCCAAACCATCGATCCTGATAAATACTGGCGACTACGACCCCCCTAGGGTTACAGTTTTGTGAAATTTAAAATATTGCATTCATGCATTACCATGCAATACCTTGTGTTTGAACGTATCCTGGTATGTTATCATGTTCTATTTCATGCAATTTTTGTTGAAAATTTAAGCTATGCAAAGGACTACTAGGATGTTTCACTTTGCAGTTGGGATTGCATGATAGACAATGTAACTTAAATGAAGTAATTAGTACAGTTGTTTTGATTTAGTACTTTGTATGAAAGTCAAAACTCCACTTTGTTTACATTCAATGTTACATTTCTGACAAAGAATTCCACATTCAGCGCTCGATTGATGATTATCTCTCATCTTTTAACCAATTATGAACAACTCACTTTATCTACACAATGAAAAATATATTCATTTCTGAGGAATAATGTGCCTTTAAACAAACGTGGCATATCTATATATAACAGCGTCAAACAAGATAATAAATTGACTAGCATTTGTTATTTAAGATCTCGAATGCGGAATTATTTCTTTCGGCGTAAAGATTTGCTTCTTTTTGCCTCTGTGTCAACGGTAAGAATGAGGGAAAAAAACAACGAAAAACGTAAAACATATAATGCATTTATCTTTATTCAAATATGTAGCAGAATGATAACATAAAGTGTTGTCATTTTTACAGTAATAAGTATATAAACATAAAACAATTCAATACACGATGTTGTTATCATTTAAAAATGTCGTCTGCCGCTTTCGTCATAAAACCGTCTGCAAATGTCACGTGACTTCACGCAGAACCAAAAATCAAAAATGCGAATCGCTCGCAGTCAAATTTTCTATTCTCAGTCTCAGTACATTTCTGAAAAGAGAAGTGACACAATATTTTAACCAACAAAGCAAGTTGTTTACATGTTCTAGATAACAAAATTGTTCACAATCAAATGCACACTTTTATATACAATGAACAATATTAGGATTTATATACAATATATTGACCTTTATTCCGTATATTTTTATCAACTCCATGTTTATGTTTTAATATCATACCGTATTAATTGAAGTCATTCCCCGGTTACATGTCAACTTTGTTAGAGTCTGGAATAAATCATATCTGCATACAACGTTTACTTCCCTTCTAGTTAAGTTACCCCATTTGCAAATGATAGAAGGGAGATAACTTTGGGGGGAGTGAAAAAAAAAAACAAGAAAAAACAAAACAGGATAAAGCATTATTACTTACTCCATGACCTTCTTCCGCCATCCATGATCCCACCCATACCGCCCAAACTGCTAGTTCCCATTGAAAATCCTCCGAGCCCTGCTGACATTTGTCCGCCGCCAAATTGTCCGTGTCGACCGCCAATAAAGCCACCTATTTGCAGAAATATAATCAATTTCGAAAATTAGTTGTATATAAAGATAAATATTTGAAATAAAAATAATATTTTCAAATGATTACGTAAAACCTCAATTTTTTAAACTTGAAGTTGTTTTGAATATGACATGTAAATAATTGTAAATAAGTTTTCCCGAGGGTAGAAAGAACTGGCAGACTTCCAATAAAAAACTTAAGACCTAGACAAACCACAGCGTAAGCTTACCAGATAATCCTTGCTGCATTCCACCGATACCACCAATTCCACCACCGAATCCTTTATGCATTCCACCTAATCCTCCACCCAAACCACCACCAATTCCTTGCTGAAGCCCACCAATACCACCAAAGCCTTGTTGGATTCCACCAATTCTACCCATACCGCCACCAAATCCTTTATGCATTCCTCCGATGCCACCGCCAATTCCTTGCTGAAGCCCTCCAATACCACCGAATCCTTGCTGCATTCCACCAATGCCACCGCTAAATCCTTTATGCATTCCGCCGAATCCACCGCCAATTCCTTGCTGTAGTCCACCAACACCGCCTAATCCACCACCAATTCCTTGCTGGATCCCGCCAATACCGCCTATACCACCGCCAAATCCCTTTTGCATTCCACCAAAACCGCCTCCAAGTCCTTGTTGAATTCCACCAATACCTCCGCCGATACCGCTACCGATACCTCCACCAATACCTCCACCGATACCGCTACCGATACCACTACCGATACCTCCACCGATACCACCACCGATACCAGAGCCTCCGCTGAATTTATGGCTCATTCCACCTCCTATCATACCACCAGAGAGTCCACCCCCAATTCCTCCTCCAATTCCTCCGCTACCGCCTGTAATAGAATAAAAGTTCAACATAAGTTGCATAGCAATTATTTAATTCTTAATTAACTTACAGTTTGCACACTAAGTCTTGCATATTTGTTATTGAGTTGACTGTCTGCATAAACAGTATAGGTGATAAATAAACGTTCTTCTCCTTCTTGTTGATAAATAACCACTGAGTCTGAAGAGGCATTACATTAGAAGTAATGTAAAGTTTGACGCCCGGACTAAGTATTAAGCATACGATTAAAGCACCCCGATTCCCTTTCCACAACTTATTGCAATCGCATCTTCCCGGCTCTTTCCGTCAAACTTCGGATTATTATAATAGTTACGTTATACCTTCTTAAGATCTACTTTCAACTTTTGCACTTTTAAAGCCAAAGAAAATCCATACCTCCAAGAAAACTCCCCGAGTCGTCAAACCCATTATCTGCATAATTGCTGACAAACCGTCCATTTACGAAGGAACCTGCAAGAGCGTGCAATGAATTACTTTTAAACACACTTGTAATTCATTTACAAATAACCTAAAAAGAATCATCCATAGTTGCCAGTGCATTTGGACATAATTCTGTAAATACTAGAATGTTTGGAGTAAATTATGCAAAATATTCGTTTGTCAAATTTTATTAATAATTAGCGGTTAGCATCAACTCAAATAAGATTACGCAATAAAATCAACTCGAAAATTTGTTAGGCAGTGCTTGAACATTTACAATGTATATTTAAAAGCATGTTCCAATATTTTCTTTTAATATATGGCGAAGGACAAGAGCAATACATACAAGAAAATTTGGCGGAAAGTGACCTGTAAGATGAATTTTGTTATCATTTTGTTAACTCGATGTGTTGTAAAACATTACAATAATACATTTATTTACCTTTAGTTTTCTTTTGTAAACTCAACATTATTAATGTGCATGTATAACTTGAAAAATTATTTATTATATTATTATGAAATGAACCGGCGAGCGTATGCTGGTGATGGTCATTCTATGTACATTATTTCGTTGCGTAATGGTTCATGATGATTTGTGTAATTGATTCGTTATTTTTGAATTTTGAACAGTGCGTTAGATAAAAAAAATCAAAATTAAGCTAACGTCAGTATGGAGCCTTGTATGACTTTACCGGCGGCAAAGGTAGGTTTAAGGGTTAAAAATAAGTTAATAAATAAACAAAAATTAAATACAATTTAAAATATAAAATGCACGTACCTTTGACCATTACGAAACAAGCTACTGTTACGACAGAAATTAGCACATAAACACCCATTGTTATTTATTGTATCACTCCGTGAAACCTCTCTAAATCCTGCAAAATATTATACATATATTATTAAGTTTCGCCATTAAAAATAAAACTTCAAAGCAAAATTCCCATACGGAGGCGTTTTTTTGAAAGAAAAATGATGAGTTGAATATATATATGTGAATGTTTTCGAATCAAGTAACCGCGCACTGTAGCTGTGCTCTTTTTTAACGCTATTTAGTATGTAAGTTTATACAAGAAAACAAAAAATGTGTAATAAATGTATTCTAAATATATTTACTATAAAATAATAACTATCAAAGGAAAAAAATGCTGTGCTAACCGTTCACAACAAAAAATACAATTTGAAAAAAAATCTACTTAATACAATAATTATAGATAGGCCCTACTTAATGCACCTCTACTTTATCTTAAGGATTTCAATATTTTTGTAATTTTTTTTGTCGATTTTTTTACCATTAATAACTATTTTTTATATTTAAAGAATAAAAACCATTCAAAACTCAATAAAACAGAATGAAAATGGCAGTAATTCTTGTTATCGAAAAAAAGAAGAAAATAATAATAAAAAAAAACGAAAAAAGAAATGAAAAATTATACATGTATATAAAATAACAAAAATATGTGTCCATACCTTAAATGCACCGTTCAGTGGACCTCTGGTAACTACATTCAGAACTTACCAGCTTATATAGTGTCCGCTCCAAATAGTAGAGGTAACATTCATAAAATATACAAACCAATAATTATTTAACATTAACATGACAGTGTATTACAAACAACAATTATCGTACATGTATATTTATATTTATTATACATGTAACACTGTTTTTAATGATTTAATATGCTTACGCTTTTACGAAATGTACATGACGGCCCAGTTGTCAACGGTATCCTAGGTGACAAAACAGTTGTGATGCACTCTGGGTAAAAGTTGTACAACATAAGTATACCATAATAATTATGTCATTATCTTCATATTGTCTTAATTATGGTAAAGTTGTGTTTTTTATTTTTACATATTTGTGTTGTTGTTTTTCCTTCACAAAGGTATACCGCATGGTAACGATTAAATAAAATCCATTGCCGGTCATTGCGTGCACTTAAAATTCAATTATATCTGGGTATTTCAAATAGAATTTTTTTGGAAGACCCCGATTATATGTACTCATTTGAGCGGCATTTGCATTTTTGTATTTCGAGAGAAAAAAAAACGCAAGCAAAGATATAACCAAAGACACTGTCCTGATAATTGTTTTCAAATAAACCACATCTCCCTAAAAGGTAATATCTAGAGGATATTGAATGAGTGTAAGTTCAATACTGAATTTATTAAACGAGTTAATAGAATGCGAGCCTTTATGAAGACGGGTGTGGACATTTCAACCCGTCTTCCGTAAGCCTCTCGTGAGAGTGTTATGTTGTGCAAAATCTGACTATTATTGCAAAAGCCTTTGATAATTACATATTCGCATTCATATTTCAATTGATAAAAAGAGCGGGACAGTCTTTTTTATTAAGGCATTTTTCATATTTTATCTTAAATTTTTTTCATTATTAATTATTGGTCAGTTATCACTGACTTATATAAACATGTTTGGCTAATTCATAGACAATTTATCTTTTTATGTGTATGTTTTTCAATGGTTAATGGCTCTTGAAAATGGCTCTTTTAATTCTTTAATTCATATCTAATATTTCAAAAGAATACTGTAAAAAAGATGATAACCATCAATAAATGTTACCGGGGCAACAAATTATGACACAGACATTATTTTGAAATTCCAGGAACATTATATTAATAATCAAGCTGGAAAAATTGTTGCATGAATATATGTAAACTAATACTTATCTAAATATGTGTCTTAAAACAAAACTTAATCATTTACTAACGCAAATGCTTAATATTATCGTCATTTTGTATCATCAACAACGATACTTTTCTGTCATGCACAGAAAGATTCTGTTCCAAAGCGTTACAATATAAAGTCAAATTCATTATTCAGCGTTATATTTTCTAATTGCTCTCTCGTACCACGCCGGAAATTCACAAGGTAGAAGACTTGTAGACTAGGAGTAACGAATAAGACAATTCGGGCAATGCGAGATGAATAAGATATAACGAATAAGACGGCACAAGCATGAACGATACTTTTATCGAAACAGCTGCTAATGTCTTGACTTTAAGTCGAGGAGAGTGGCTCTAAGTAAGCAGGGATGACGAGGAAGGGTACTAGGGTGCAAGAGACCATTGCACGCAGTGACGTCCTTTGCTTGACACCAAAAACCCTTATCAAGGCTATCGCCTTCATTACTGCCACAGGTAACTTAACATTCTAGGTCTCATTAGCTGTTGAACAGTGACCTATTTTTATTATTTTCCTTGGCTAATACTCAGTAGAAATTACACAGAGATAAAGTATCACCTCTTTGTGCTCTTTACAATTAAACCTTCAAGGTCATGGCTGGTGACTTGTCCGGGTCCTTACTCGATAGCCAAAGCTACTTCTTGTGCCTTAATAGGCGGATTATACAGATACTTTTCGTGTAATCTGGCGACTTTTTAGCCAAACTGGTTCTTAAAATAAACACGAGTGCCATTGTCACAAAACACGCCAGTCATAAATGCTCAGTCATCTAGGACTCATGATATTGAGCATTTAGTGATGAGCATGTGACCTTGACTACATGAACCTAAATTTTGCCACAACACTATATGTGTATGCTAAACAATGCTGAACATTTATGTGAAGTTATGTAACAGTCCCTCAATGCATGTACAAGTTTGACTACATCACCTGCCCTTAAGTGTGACCTTAACTTCCGACATACGAGTCTGATTTATGTGTGCAACACTACATTTGATGACAGTGGCAATTTGCATCAAATAACACTTGCTTGTAGAAATTATGCTGGGGACAAAATCTTTACAACTCTGGTGACCTTCACCTTATTATTGATCTGGATTATCATAATAACTACTCCATTGTACAAACGTTTTTTCAACCGACCTTTCACCTCTGTGACCTTGACCACAGGGACGTGGCCCTGTATGAAGTACTCAACGTAACAATGATAATCAGATGTGCCAAATGATGTAAAATCCCTTTTTGCAAGTACAGCTTTTGATACGAATTTTGGTTAAACTGTGATCTTGACCTTAGGCATAGAGTTCTGGTTCAAGCTCTAAACACTGTCTCCTGGTGTTTTTCATTGTATAAAAAAATACTCAAATCTATCTCATCATGCTTGAGGTATGCACCGGACAAAGCCAAAGCCACCTGTCTGTCAGCCATGGGCATTTCATAATGCAACACTATTTCAAACATGCTAATAAAATGGACAAAAAGTGAATTTTTCATTTTTTTATTCCTCATTTATATCACATATATATTTTATTTCTTGCAAAAAAAAAAAATTCATCAATTAAAATTGATAAAATTTCATCTCAAAATCTTTAAATGGTAAGCTTCTAAAATCTGACAATAAAATAAATATGGACATCAAGTGACCTGAAATGTTAAGACAGTATCATAGGGAGAGAAAAAGGCAAATGCGGATCTATATCTCACAAAATAGGTAAAGATAATATTATTGTAATAAAATCTTTATTATAATCTAGGTCTGTCTAATTCTTCAGATTATAAAATCATCTTGTGCTTATTTATTTGCTGCGATGAACTAGAACACTTTAAACAAGAGCTGTCCGTAAGACAGCGCGCTCGACTTTTTTATTGCTTGCCAATAAAAAAAGTTTTTGCAGTAAAAGGCAATACAAGAATCTCTGTATTTTTAAAGTGAACAATGGCCATGAGCATTAAGATATTTAGTGAAGAATTATTTTACTGAATTGTGTGATACCCTTGAACACTGCAGGTTCAGTGGATAGGAATGAATTTTTTTAGATTTTTTAAGTTTTTTAGTGCTTGCCTATAATACAAAACATTGACAGTTAAGGGCCATAATTCAAATAAAATCTTTGACAGAATTACCTTCTCCTGGACATGTTTGGGAATCATGATTGTAAACAAGTATTCCAACTTTCAAATTAATATCTCAAACAGTTCAGTCAAAAAGTGGACTGGTACTAAAAACTTAACCAAGATTCTAAGTCGATAAAAGGCCTTAATTTTTAAAACAAATCCTTGACAGAGTTACCTTCTCTTGCGTACAGATGGGGGTAATGATGTGAAATAGCATTAAAAGTTTCAAAGCAATATCTCAAAGGGTTAAGGCAATAAGTGGATTTTACCCATATTCAATGTATTTTCTAAGTCAAAAAGGGGCATAATTCTGTCAAAAACCTTGACAGAGTTATGTCCTCTTGTCTGTTGATGAAGGTCGTGATGGTAAAACAAGTATGGTCAGTTTCAAAGCAATACCTCCAATGGTTTTTGAAATAAAGTGAGGTGGTACAAAAACTTAACCAAGCTCAATACACTTTCTAAGTCAAAAAAGGGCCATAATTCTGTCAAAAACCTTGACAGAGTTATGTACTCTTGTCTGTAGATGGAGGTTATGATGGTGAACAAGTATGGTAAGTTTCAAAGCCATACTTGTAATACTTCTGAAATAAAGTGGGGTGGTACGAAAAACTTAACCAAGGTGTGACGCCAACGCCGACGCCGGGGCGAGTAGGATAGCTCCCCTTTTCATAGAAAAGTCGAGCTAAAAAGGGAGCAATTTACATATAATAAGGATACATATGGTAACTCTTGTGTGTTCAAATTTTATATTTGAAAATAATGGTAATTACAATGGAGTCTCATTTTAAATGTAAAATAAATAACTTTTGAGTACACACAGAGAAGATGTTACGTTTTTATCTAGGTAAATGAAAACATGGGGTCATTAAAAAAGGCAGTCCTTCAAGAAAGGACCAAACTAACTTCATCTGTAATAGGGATTGCAGCTATCCAAAAATAAGCTGTGCATTTTTTATTCAAACTCGACATATTCAGTAAAAATTTCCAAGATTTCAATAAATTTCTGCAGTAAAAGTATAGTATATCTTGAAATATTATAATACAAATTTTCAAGTTATTTGGTGTTTTCAACTTTTCTTTTAAAGTTTTGATCCCTATGAAATACTTTTCTCTCTATTTCAGGTCACACGATTCTCCGTTTTGGATAAAAAACATTAACTAATAGGACAATAGAAAATAAATGATATGTAAATAACATCTAAAAATGTTCATTTTGCTAAAACTTTACAGAAGGATATCAAATGGTATTCTAAAATGCAAAGAAATCCTATAGGACTGTTTGGCCACTACCAGCAGAACGAGTTACATATCATCACCTTGGTGCAATAACGGGTTAACTCCTATTAAATTTATAAGGACTTAACCCAATAATGCACTAAGGTGATGATATGTAACCGGTATAAAATCAGGCCAGCCTGTACATCTGGCATGGTTCGTAACTAAAATTACATAAATTATAGCTAAAATATTAATAAATACTATCTAAAATACTTTAAAAACCGACATTATACACAAACATGGCAAAACACTTTGCATAAAAATTTTATGAACACAGAAATAAAGAAGTGAAGCTAGAAAGCAAAGTTAACAATCTGCGTTAAAACTGTAAAAACATCATGTAACAAAATAAGACTAAAATGAATAAAATGAAAACAAAGCAAAAATGGACATTAACAAAGTAAGTAAAAGAAGGTTAACAAAATCTAGTTGCGCGAATGGTTGACTATTGGCAACAGAAGTTCGTTATAACAACCCAATTTTCACTTAACCGTTTATGTAACATTTGCATTTTTTTTATGACTTGATCAATATGCAATGAAAACAAAAATATAAGTTTTATCAAATAGGTGCTTCCTGATTATGACAAAGGTAAAAACATGACCTTACTATGAGGAAATATATGGGAAAATTTATTTTTAGCCTTAATAACCATTGTAACCCTCCCTAACTTGAAGGGTCCCTACACATCAAATATTTAAAGATACAATTCAATGCAGGAAGGTACTTTGGGGAATGGCAAGTGTGAGTGAATGATGGGAAAATGGAGGGATAGGAAACGGAAGAATGGAGGGATAGAAAGCTGGAAGGAGTCATAGAGGGAAGAATAGAGGGACAGACAGACAAACTGCTTCATCGTATGATTTTGGTGAGCATAAAAAAATTCAAATGTGAAAGTATCAAAAATGATGATAAACATGATGTAAAATGGCACTGTTTAACTCATGTGACCTTAAATATGCTGGTTATTTTTATACTAATATTTTAACCTGCAGAGTGATCAGCCTTTGCCATCAGTATACAGCCATGGCAGCCTGCACATTTGTGTAGTCTGACCAGCATTTACACTGTCGACAAACTAACTTCCTTTTTACCTGGATAAACCAAACAAGAGGGACATGATGGCCCTTAGGTGGCTCACCTGTATAACTGGCCCCGGAGCGGGGCCAGTTTAAACCCCAGGGATTTTATCTGAACTAACTTGGAAGACACCCATTAGAAGATGTTTCATGATGTTAAGTTTTTACTACACATGTATAATGAAAAATAATGACCTTCCCCTTTCCCTCCCTTCCCCCACCCCTCCTCATCCCCTCCCCCCTGGCAGGGCCAATTTTCACCCAAGGGCTTTTATTTGAACAAACTTGGTAGACACCCATAAGAAGATATTTCATGCTAAACATCCAAGCTCTTGCTCTTTTGGGTTTTTTAAAAGAAGATTTTTTAAGTTTTTACTATACACATATAGTTAAAAAGAATGACACCCCTTGGGCGGGGCCAGTTTTGACCCCGGGGCTTTTATTTGAACAAACTTTGTAGACACTCACTAGAAGATAATTCATGCTTAATATGTAAACTCTAGCTATTTTGGTTTTTTCAAAGAAGATTTTTTTAAGTTTTTGCTATACATATGTAAGGAAAATCAATGACCCCCGGGGCGGGGCCAATTTTGACCCCAGGGCTTTTATTTGAACAAACTTGGTAAACACCCTTAGAACATGTTTCATGCTAAATATCTTAGCTCTAGCTCTTTGGGTTTTTTAAAAGAAGATTTTTTAAGTTTTTACTATATGCATATAGGGAAAATCAATGACCCCGGGGCGGGGTCAATTTTGACCCCAGGGCTTTTATTTGAACAAACTTGGTAAACACTTATTAGAACATGTTTCATGCTAAATATCTTAGCTCTAGCTCTTTGGGTTTTTTAAAAGAAGATTTTTTAAGTTTTTACTATATGCATATAGGGAAAATCAATGACCCCCTGGGGCGGGGCCAATTTTGACCCCAGGGCTTTTATTTGAACAAACTTGATAGACACTCAATAGAAGATGTTTCATGCCAAATATCTAAGCTCTAGCTCTTTGGGTTTTTTAAAAGAAGATTTTTTAAGTTTTTACTATATGCATATAGGGAAAATCAATGACCCCCTTGGGCAGGGCCAATTTTGACCCCAGGGCTTTTATTTGAACAAACTTGATAGACACTCAATAGAAGATGTTTCATGCCAAATATTTAAGCTCTAGCTCTTTGGGTTTTTTAAAAGAAGATATTTAAAGTTTTTTCTTTCGGTTGCCATGGCAACCAGAGTTCTGCATGGAATTAAATTCTTTGAACAACTTTCAAAGGTGACCACCAAAGGAACATTCCTGTGAAGTTTGTTTGAAATTGGCTTAGTGGTTTATGAGGAGATGTCATTTAAAGTAAAAGTTTACGGACGGCCGGACGCCGGACGAAAAGTGATCACAAAAGCTCACCCTGTCACTTTCCCTGTCACAAAGTGACAGGTGAGCTAAAAATAATATTGGACAATTCAAAAGTGGAAGCTGGACAGGTCCATTTAAGGAGTTCAGCAGGTTACAAGTTAACTTATATGACACTGATTGACCTAATATTTATTCTGCAAGTACATTTCAGCATTTCCTATGTTGTAAAGCGACCCTGCGTCTGCTGGATTAATTCCCGAGACTGTGAGATCTTGGGCACGAGAAAGGTCTCCATGGATGTATACATAATTGGACAAAGGAGGTAAATCATGAATTATCGTCTCCATTTTTGATGTGTCAGTTTGATCATTTACTACTGTCGGAATCGAATGTTTGTCATCAAGATCAGAAATATTGGGCGGATCCATGTAACTTTTATGCCTTTTCGATTTTTTTATTGAAGAGTAAGTGTTATCGGCAGTTTCTTTCACTTTGTAATCAGCATACGTAAGATTATTGGCATTGTTCATCGTCATATTCCCGTCTTGACCTATTTCCTTGTCAATTGTCGGAACTTGTTGTAAGGCTTTCCTTTCCTTTGCTGTGGAAATTAGTTGGCCATCTTTGGTAATGACGTCACCCGAGTCAAAATTGGAATACTTCATTTTCAAATTGACAGTATGTTTAGTTACAACAATGAGGTCGTGAACTGTACGTATATGTTTGTCAACGTTTCCTTTAACTCCAGTCCTGTACTGACACACCGGGCAGGCATACGGCTTAAAATCCTGAAAATTTATATAAAATAAGTTTCTAAAATTTCAAAATACAAATATAAATATAATACGCAAATAACAAATTTAAACACTGTGTAAGAAAAAATTCCTTAAAAGTTCTTACACAAACAGTTTCGTGTCATAAGAACAGCATTTTCGAATGCTGTCCATAAGGTTCTCATGGATAACGTATGAATAGCGTGTATGTAATGTACAACTGATGTATAGCCGGCATGTAAAAAACGTATGTGTGGATATGTTAACTATGTCAACGTATGTATAACAACTTTAAGTCTTTCTTTTTCAGTTTATGTCCAGCATATATGACTATACAGCTGTAATATAACAAACAATTTATTCAGGTGTGTACACTGAAAAATTTTGAACATGGTCAAAATTTGTTTCTGGTCTATGCCTGTAGGAATGAACATATTAAGTCCAAAACATATGTGTAAATCTGCATAAGAGCAATTTTTCTAAATATTTTTGAAACGCTAGTATATGTTATTGTCATATGCAATAATGCGTCAGCCCCTTTATTTGTAACGTGTTACAAGCATAATCAAATAAATAGTGATCTTGCTATAAAAGTAAGAAAGACAAAACAGTGTGCTCATCATAGTTTTAAGGAAAAATCACAGCATGGTTAAAGTCTATGGTGACTTTCAAGTAAACTAATAAAAACTTTAACATTAAAGGCAGAATTCAAACCTATAGGCAGAAAGAGACAGGCAGTCCTGAAATAAGTAAGGTGAATACACAAAGAGCTATGCCAGCCTAGACATCGTTGCAGCCTAACTGGGCTGATCAATTTTAATATTCTCCACCATAATATGAGCCGCGCCATGACAAAACAAACATAATGGGTTTGCGACCAGCATGGATCCAGATCAGCCTGCACATCCGCGCAGTCTGATCAGGATCCATGCTGTTCGCTTAAAACCCTATTACAAGTAGAGAAACTGATAGCGAACAGCATGGATCCTGATCAGACTGCGCGGATGCACAGGCTGATTTGGATCCATGCTGGTCGCAAACCCATAACGTTGGTTTTGTCATGACGCGGCTCATATCTTGAAGTATTAATGAACTATTCCAAACCCAATACTGGGCAGGTCAATGAGTACTGCCACCACAATATATTGTATATATTTTCAGATAAGTAAGTGTGAAATATAAGCATCAACTTACCTTGTGAGTATGCATAAGTTTAATATGTTTATCAAGACCTATATTGTCTGTACAGGCATAGGCACATCCCTCAAAATTGCACTTGTATTTCTTCTCTGAAATTATACATTATATAATTTGTTAAACATGACTTCTGTTTTGTAACTTCTTTTGTAACAAATTTTAGATGACATGGCTGCGTACAGTTCGGTAAATTTTGTCTTGTCAAACATTGTCGTGCAAAGTCTAGCAAAAATGTGAACTTGCAGGATAATAAATCCCTCATATAAATTTAAGTGTATGGAGTCATAGCTTTCTCTCTATATAAATATAGCTCTGTGAGAACCAATATTTTCATTAATAAGGTACTGTAAATATTTCCATATGAATAACAACAACCACTGGATGGCAACAAAAATGGTTAATAACATTATGTCTTCAACAAAAATTACTCAACAGACTCGATAAATATTGGCATTGTGCCAGAATTAATCTGTTCTTTCTCAGAGACTGCTCACATACAGTCATGGAGTCAGTGATACGGAATCTTAAACTGAGAGTCAAAAATTAAACTCAAAACTGCACCCGGTAACTGCATGACATCAGAATTTAAGAAAAAATGGGTCAAAGACAGAAAAGGCCGGAGCATTTGTACACCAAATATCATGAGGCTGTGATGTTACGAAAAAACTTTACCATTGACCCATTAATGTTGAAAATTTAATTCAGTGGGTAAACAGGAAGTGGATTAGCTACACGCCTAAAATCGAATCCCACGGTATGGGACCATGACTGTGTCAATGCTGTATGCAAAATATCAAGAAGCTGTGATTAGTAGTTTCTGAGAAAATGTTACGAAAATTTCCTACCATTGACCATTAATGTGAACAGGAAGTGGATGAGCGAAAGACCTGAAATCAAATCCCACGGTATGGGACCATGTGTCAATGCTGTATGCCAAATATCAAGAGGCTGTGATAAGTAGTTGCTGAGAAAACTGTTATGAAAATTTCCTACCATTGACCATTAATATTGAAAAATTTAACTAATTTAACTAAGTGGATAAACAGGAAGTGGATGAGCGACAGACCTGAAATCAAATCCAACGGTATGGGACCATGTGTCAATGCTGTATGCCAAATATCAAGAGGCTTTGATAAGTAGTTGCTGAGAAAACTGTTATGAAAATTTCCTACCATTGACCATTAATATTGAAAAATTTAACTAATTTAACTAAGTGGATAAACAGGAAGTGGATGAGCGACAGACCTGAAATCAAATCCCACGGTATGGGACCATGTGTCAATGCTGTATGCCAAATATCAAGAGGCTGTGATAAGTAGTTGCTGAGAAAACTGTTACGAAAATTTCCTACCATTGACCATTAATGTCGAAAAATCTAACTAATTTAACTAAGTGGATAAACAGGAAGTAGATGAGCTGCAGACCTGAAATCAAATCCCACGGTATGGGACCATGTGTCAATGCTGTATGCCAAATATCAAGAGGCTGTGATAAGTAGTTGCTGAGAAAACTGTTACGAAAATTTCCTACCATTGATCATTAATGTCAAAAAATCTAACTAATTTAACTAAGTGGATAAACAGGAAGTAGATGAGCTGCAGACCAGAATTAAATCCCACAGTATGGGACCATGTGTCTATGCTGTATGCCAAATATCAAGAGGCTGTGATAAGTCAGGGCACTAGACAACTTTTGGGGACAGGTACCCATACCCTCAGAAAGGGGAATTTTGCGTCATTTTAAGACAAAAAGGGGAATTTTAAGTCATATATGAGTTCTTTAAATTTAGGTTTTACACTAACTCTTGGCACTATTTCCTACCATTACTTACAATAGCTAGTATATTTATTACTATAGACCTAACAAATAAAACATATAACATGAAGTTGTTCTTGAAGTAGGCTATCTCACTGTTTTCTTTATTGTTTTCTTATTGCACTTGACTGACTCAGACATCAATCAGAGGTCCAGATATATGTTTTTGGCCAAGGGTTAATATACCACTCAAATTCTAGAGTGAGGGGTAAAATGCAAATTCTGAAAAACATAAGGGCCTGGGTTATATTAAAAGCTATAACAAGCATAATGCATTTTTTTATGATAAAAAATTAAAACTGACAGTTGCTTTTGTTGTGTTTTTTTTTTAAACTTGTACAAAAAATATTGATTCAGTGCAACAAGCTTTGGAAAGGCAGATTTTCCTAGGCAAGGGTATGTTAACTTGTACCCAAGTTATGGAAACACAGCAAAATTATTTTCTATTATAGTCATTAATGTTTTCTTTATTTCTAATGTTAAAAATTTATCACACTATTTTGCAATCTGCACTGGTCAGTTCTTAAACTATTTTCTACATATTTCTGTCTGTTCTTTAGAATGAAACAATTATAACAATGAAAACTGAAATAAGAATTAAATAAAAACAAACAAGAAAGCTTTTTGACTTTTCTAAGAAAGGTATTGGTTTCAGAGGAAATTGTATGAAACTGTAAAACTGGGTACGGAAATAATTGGTACGAAAATATTTGAGTACGAAAATGCAAGAGAAATACGTTTTTTCCAACAACAACAGACAGAAATTAAAACAGATTTGTTTATTTTCTAGCAGAAGTTTGACAATGTATGTATATTCTCTAAACAAATTGAATATAAGGTAAACTCCTACGATGATAATCTGCCACATTAATTTTGTCAATAATTTTACGGGAGTTAACTCCCTTCTGTACACTTCCTGCTACTTTCGGTTTTAACATAAGCGTTGTTGACTACTGTTTTTTAGTTTTCAGTCCATTGAAAGTTAACTATATTTTATTTGTATGAAATCAAAACATCACCTTTTTCTTAAATATCAAACATTAACACTACAATTTTTTTTTTTTTGAGGGGAATTTTTTACTGAAATAGGGGAAAAAACCATATGATTTTGAGAGGGGAATGGGGCCGATATTCGGCCCCAAAAATGGCCAAACGAGTGCCCTGCAAGTAGTTGCTGAGAAAACTGTTACGAAAATATTTTCCCCGCCCGCCCGCCTGCCTGCCCGCCGCCCGACATTCACCATATTATAAACCGGATTTGCACCAGTGCAACCCGGCCAAAAATGTTTATCATTATAATAGATGATATTAAAACTGTACTAACCTCCATGAAAGCTAACATGTCTCCTAAGTTCACTCTTTGTACTGCAGCCTTTTGAGCAAATTGAGCAGATGAAATTCTTTATACCTTCAAAATAAATCAGGTAATATATTGAAAACTTCAAAGTTGGAAGAATTATTATTAATATATTTTTTGTTGTTGGGTTTTACGTCACACCACACAGCATAGGTCATGTGGCAACATTCCAGCTTTATCGGTTGAGGACAACCTCATGTGCCCTTCTGTGCATTATTTCAGGCACAAGCAATCACCTGAGTACAACCACTAACCAACACAGTTTAGGCCATATTATGCCAAACTGGAAAGATGATTTTGCCAAACTTTGGTTGTTACAAATTTGAAGCAACATCAGGGGTGACGGTCAAAACAACCCCAACTGCTGGAGCAAAGATATATATATATATATACTTCAATAATTCGAACCCATTAAGTTACCTCTTGCTTTCACACAGGGTTAAACTCGGGCTGCAATTCTGATGCCTCAACTGGTAGAGGCATCCCCTCAGCCACAAGGCCACAATACTGCTGTGAAACCAGTAAACTAAACAAGTTTGACAGCTTGCATAAACGAAAAAATTCAAATATCCCTAAAAGGATTGGAACCTACTACTGCAAGGGGTTAAGATACAACAGGTAAAATAGTTCCTACCATCATGTCGCTCTCTATGTTGTTTTAACTGTTGAGACTTCATGGTACTAAATCCACATATATCACACACATACCTGAAAAAAAAAAATAAAGATATTCAAAATGTAACTTTGTCTACAAGTCATACCAAATCTAATTCAGAGCATTACAGCACCTTTAAACATTACATCATTCTGTTAGATTATTAGATTAAGCAATATCTCAGATACTACCAGTGAAAACAGTCTCCCTATTCGGTATTTTGATTTGTTGGATGCTACCGATTTCCAATCAAAAAAGACACTGGATCAATCATGCACTATTTCAGTCAAAAGTGGGCACTATCAACCAAGGCAATATACCGTATACCAGTATCGGTAAATGAATTAAATGTAGTAAATATGGAATGTGTACAGTTAGTTCCGTAGGAGAACTAAAAACCGTCTGCAAACTAGCTGGATGGTTTGATCTAGAAAACAATTATAATGAAAGAGGTCCGACTACACTTTTGCCTCATGCCTTAAGTAGGAAAGTATGTGTAGCTTATGGTTTGAATGATGAGGTTTTAAGTTCTCTTAAATTCTTAAAGCCTTAAAATTTTTTTTTGATTACTATGTGTAGGTTCTTTAAATTGTTTAAAAAAACAAGAGGGCCATGATGGCCCTGAGGTCGCTCACCAGTATATAGCCCCCCCCCCCACCCATAAGAAGATTTTTCATGCTAAACATCTAAGCTCTACCTCATTGGGCTTTTTAAAAGAAGATTTTTTTTAAGTTTTTACTATACACATATAGTTAAAAACAATGACACCCCTGGGGCGGGGCCAATTTTGACCCCAGGGCTTTTATTTGAACAAACTTTGTAGACACTCACTAGAAGATGTTTCATGCTTAATATCTAAACTCTAGCTGTTTGGGTTTTTTCAAAGAAGATTTTAAGTTTTTGATATACACATATAAGGAAAATCAATGACCCCCGGGGCGGGGCCAATTTTGACCCCAAGGCTTTTATTTGAACAAACTTTGTAGACACTCACTAGAAGATGTTTCATGCTTAATATCTAAACTCTAGCTATTTGGGTTTTTTCAAAGAAGATTTTTTAAGTTTTTGCTATACACATAAAAGGAAAATCAATGACCCCGGGAGCGGGGCCAATTTTGACCCCAGGGCTTTTATTTGAACAAACTTGGTAGACACCTATTAGAACATGTTTGATGCTAAATATCTTAGCTCTAGCTCTTTGAGTTCTTTAAAAGAAGATTTTTTAAGTTTTTACTATATGCATATAGGGAAAATCAATGACCCCCTGGGGCGGGGCCAATTTTGACCCCAGGGCTTTTATTTGAACAAACTTGGTAGACACCTATAAGAAGATGTTCATGCTAAATATCTAAGCTCTAGCTCATTGGGCTTTTTAAAAGAAGATTTTTTTAAGTTTTTACTATACACATATAGTTAAAAACAATGACACCCCTGGGGCGGAGCCAGTTTTGACCCCAGGGCTTTTATTTGAACAAACTTTGTAGACACTTACTAAAAGATGTTTCATGCTTAATATCTAAACTCTGTCTGTTTGGGTTTTTTCAAAGAAGATTTTTTAAGTTTTTGCTATACACATATAAGGAAAATCAATGACCCCTGGGGCTGGGCCAATTTTGTCCCCAGGGCTTTTATTTGAACAAACTTGGTAGACACCTATTAGAACATGTTTGATGCTAAATATCTTAGCTCTAGCTCTTTGAGTTCTTTAAAAGAAGATTTTTTAAGTTTTTACTATATGCATATAGGGAAAAACAATGACCCCCTGGGGCGGGGCCAATTTTTGACCCCAGGGCTTTTATTTGAACAAACTTGGTAGACACTCACTAGAAGATGTTTTATGCCAAATATCTAAGCTCTAGCTCTTAGGGTTTTTTAAAAGAAGATATTTAAAGTTTTTTCTTTCGGTTGCCATGGCAACCAGAGTTCTGCATGGAATTAAATTCTTTGAACAATTTTTAAAGGTGACCACCAAAGGAACATTCCTGTGAAGTTTGGATGAAATTGGCCTAGTGGTTTATGAGGAGATGTCATTTAAAGTAAAAGTTTACGGACGCCGGACGAAAAGCGATCACAAGAGCTCACCCTGTCACTTTGTGACAGGTGAGCTAAAAACATAACAAAACTTTTTTTATCTAAATAGTGTGTTATATGATGTGATAGTAAAAAAAAAGTAGTCAACTGCAAATTCTATAATTCCCTTTAATATGATGTGATGGAACCTCCACTGATTCAATAATGTGTCTATACCAGCAGTAATATAGTAAACTAAGCATTAACTACAAATATAAATATTAACCAATCACAGCCAAGATTCATATTCACCCCCATTCAGGTATCAGACAGTGCATGGTTGTGTAGTTTGAATGTTAGTCATGAGCTGGTTCTATAGATTGAGGTCGCCATAGCTAGAGCATGCCTATATACATGTACATTGTATCATTTTGAAACTAAAATTGTTTTAAACATACATTTTATAATTGTCTGGCAGAGGTTGTTTATGAACTTTAAACAGATGCCAGGCCAGGTCAGCTTTCTGTAGAAATTTCTCCGAGCACATGTGACACATCTCTGTCCACGATGACTCTCCCATGTGATACCGCTTTACATGTACCTAAATATAGAAATGATGAAATAGTGTTTTACTGCATGTACACAAACATTTTAATACAATTAACTTACAACCAATAAAACAAGGCATTTCACGATTAAGAGTTATCAATAAAATGTTACAGTATTTTTGAAAAAAAAATTCATGATATTTGAATAACATTCAGCGTGTGTTCACAAACTTAATGTATATGATCTTTTTTAAAGCAAATAAACATAGTAAATATTCCCTGTTTGTATGAAATAAATTTGTTTCTTTGGAATGTAATTTTCAAGCAGAAATATAAATAAAATCAGAATTTGATTCTGATTTAGTAAGACAGGGCCAGGGAATAAGGGATTCCTTTTTATTGTCACAGGTCCAGGGATGAGGGTTACTCCTTTTGTTTCTGTCACAGAACCAGAGAATAAGACATATCTTGAGTTACTGTCATAGGCATCTTGAGTTACTGTCATAGGCCCAGGGAATCTGGGACACTTCTTTTGTTACTCTCACATGGTCAGAAAATCAGGGACATTCCTTCAGTTACTGTCACAGGGCCAAGGAATCAGGGATTCTTTTAAGTTACTGTCACAAAAGTAGGGAATCAGGGACATTCCTTAAATTACTGTCACAGGACCAGGTAATCAGGGACATTCCTTCAGTTATCGTCACAGTCCCAGGTAAGTAAGTAAGTAAGTAACGACTTTATTTAATGAGGGAATCAGTGACATTCCTTTAGTAACTGTCACAGGGCCAGGGAATCAGGGACATTCCTTCAGTTACTGTCACAGTCCCAGGGAATCAGGGACATTCCTTTAGTTACTGTCACAGTCCCAGGGAATCAGGGACATTCCTTCAGTTACTGTCACAGGGCCAGGGAATCATGGACATTCCCTCAGTTTAAGCACAGAGCCAAGGAATCAAGGATTCTTTTAAGTTACTGTCACAAAACTAGGGAATCAGGGACATTCCTTTAGTGACTGTCACAGGACCAGGGAATCAGGGACATTCCCTTAGTTACTATCACAAGCCCAGCTAATAAGGGTGCTCCTTCAGCTACAGTCTGCTTATGACTATTACCAACATAATTTTATTCCCAAAATGCTATTTCCACAAAAGAGAAACATATGACGAAAAACATTCAAAAATGCTCACAGGCACTCATCTTAATCGTATCTTAGGTAATTAATTATTATGACACTTACTTGCAGTCCACTCTGTTGGTTAAAACTTTCTCCACAATAGTCACACTTCCACGACTTTGAGCCAGTGTGAATGTTGAGATGGGTCGCCAAAATGTTCGGTAACTTAAAAGCTTTGCCACAAAATTCACAAATATGTGGCCGTGCATTACCATGACGACTTTTCATATGCATGTCGAGATTGTGTGGGTTAGCAGCTACATAGTTACAGCCCTATAATTATAAATGGATTCTTAATTTAATTTGGTGCCCCTACAGCAGTAAACTGACTTCTCCCCTACAAAGTTACTTCTTGTACATGTACAATGTATATGTACATATATACATGTCAAAGAAGCAATCCCAATATCAAAAAATTGCTGTTTCCCCCAAATGGTAAACTGGCTGCATTTATTGTGAAATTGTATAATTACCATAAACTTTTTTTAAGGAGAAAAAATTTGTATTTTGAAATGAATTTGAAAACCAGTCAATTAATTAAATACATATCTATTGGTCAAATTTATAGACTGTGTCTGGTAGATCAACCAATAAAAACTCAGAAGATGGAGACTGGTCTTAAAATTCAAATTTATTTTACCCTGTAAGGATTGGATTATAACTATGTAGCCACTGAACCATGCAGTCTGAACAAGCATGTGACAAAATCACCATAAAACATAATAACATTAGCACAAAATACATAAATGTGAATATTGCTTAAGTAAAGCAAAAAGAAAAATGATTAAATCATGTATAATTTGAATATGAAATAATGTTTACATAGAAGTATGTACCTCAATAGTTATATATTTCTTGACCAAAAAAAAACAAACTTTATGAAATATTACATTATTAATTATTCATATTAATGATTTTTGTTTGCGTAAGTTGAACCACTGATCTTCTGTAAGTGTCAATAATACATGAAAAAAGTCATTGGTAAAGGAGAGCCAAATTATAAATGAGTAAAGCAACCTCAGGGGTCAAAACCGCCTCTTCTGCTGGAGGTAATTTAATTGCCTTTTATGATCAACCAGGCATTTTTATGTCTCAGCCATTGATGGAAACCCCTCTGCCACAGGAGGCGTTTGATTATGTAAATGTATAAATTTTCATATTTATCAACCAGAAAGGCAATACATTACTTTGTGAATATATTTCACAAAACTAAATGTCTCAAACTTTCTTTAAGTACATACTACAAATTATATTTAATTAGGAAAATAAATGAAATCAAACTTGCCTCAACACTGCAAGGGCTGACAGCAAATGTGATGTTCTTGAAATCTATTGGTGTTCCATGCTTGCTGTACTCATGAAAAATTTGCCTCTTCTTGCTAGTCAAAGTTTTTGAACACATAGAACATGGAAAAGGTTTTCTTCTCCTCTTCTTGGATTTCTTTACTGTTGGATCATCTCTTTTCTTTCTAACTTTTTTCTTCAAAACTCTACCTTCGGCATCAATTCTTTTTATATTACCATCATCAGCGGTCAAAGAATTTTGTGACTCATCAACAATATTACTATCATAATCATCAGTATCACTATCATCATCATTACAATCTTCATCATCATCCTCATCATCTATATCATTAACATTATCTTCATTTTCTTGCAGCACATTTTCAGGTTCAAAGCCAGTTTTTTCTATCTTAACAATAGCTTCAGCAGTTTCTTCAACTTCATTAGAATCCATTTCATCACCATTATTATTAAGATTATTTTCTTCTTCTTTAACAAGATTGAATTCATCTTTCACATTTTTCTCAGCTGCTTTAGTTATCTTAACAGGTACTACCTTTCTGGAAGATGCTTTCCTTTGTTTTGGTTTGTATGCTTTCCTTGTTCTTTTAGGCTTATCAGTGGCTACCTTTTTGGCTTTTGCATTAAGTTTTGGGGAAATCTCTTCATGCATGGTTGCTGCTTTACGTTTTTTCCTTACAGGATTGTCAGTAACAGTACCTGTTGCAGTTTCATTTTCAATAACATCTGTTTCAGTATCGTTTTCCGTGTGTTGTTTCTGATTTCCGAACTGTATGAAGAAGTTACAAGCATCTACTGCAGACTGTAGATGCAGTTCATCACAAATTTCCATAACATTTCCTACTGTATCCCTAGAAACTTTTAACTTACTTGAATATAGGAAATCAATTACAATTCCTAACAATTTCTCATCAAAACGAGTAAAGTCTATGCAGCATTGGTCAGATGCAGATTTTTCAATGCATTGATGAAAGTATGGGCTGGCGGCCTCTAGAACAACCTGGTGGACTAACATTGTGCTGTTTTGGCAGGCAATTGTGACATCACAGAACATTTGATCTTGGCGTAGAAGATTCAGCTGCTCTAGTAGATGCATGGAGTAGGAGGGAACATCAATTATCTCCATTTTTATTTCAGTTACCTGCACAAATATTAAAAACAATTAAATCTAAATACAAAGAGCAATGTACATGTAAATCAAATTTACCATGATTCATACCAAATGAAAGTTAGATGTACAACATCTTTCAGACACTTAGTCAGCTCTTAGTTATAGACATCTGTGCCCATTAACTTTGCTTTCAAAAAAGGAATCAAAGTACTGAAGTACTGTACAGGTGGACTGGCAATAGGGCTGCAATGATATTTTAGATAAACGAATATGACAGGGATTTATTGGTATTTATTAGTCTTAAAATGGCCAGATTGTGATTCATAGTTATACATGTAATAACTCAAGTTAGATCAATAAAAGTTTATGATACATGTAACTCTTCCAGTTAATTTATAAACCCTTAAAAAACACCTTTAAATACAAAGAGCAACGTTCATGTATTAAAGGCAAATTTAACGTAATTTATACAAAATGCAAGTTACATGTATGTAAAGTCTGCTCTTAAATTCTTAACCATAAACATATTACAATATAAACAATATTATGTGTTTTGGTTCGCATTACAACTAGTGATGGAAATCGGATGAAATTTGTCCCAATCGATCATCGGTTCAGTCGGATGGGACATAATCGATAACTTTTCGAATAAAGTCGCGTTTAAAAAGAAATAGGGAAGTAACATTTCTTCCATAGGCACTTGATTATATTCAGTAACATGAACTTCATTTAGCACTTTTCAACACAGTTTTAACCTTGTATAGTCATAATTTTACGAAATAGCTTTTATTTTTCAATGTATGTCAAATAATAACATTCAAATCACATTACATTACTATTGTTTACATTACTTATTGATTCTGTTTAACTCCAAATTGTCTCTGACATTATTTTTTGCGATCGGCGAGGTGAAAATTACCGTCAGAATAATTCCCTTTGAAACTTTAAACATTTTCGACGACGTCGCGGAACAAATTTTTATGAATCGATTATTGTCGCTTTACATAACAGTAAGTGATTTTCGGCGACTGGCGACAATCGGAACATCACTAATTACAACACCTTATGGTAATAATGCCTTAATATTTTTGTTCATGTTATAAACGCCTTTAATTATAACGCTTTTTGCCTTATATGTTTCACACTTGTATCAAGTAATTACGCCTTTTTATTCAGGTTGTAACACCTTTATTCACATTAGAACACCTTTTGTTTCCCAATATAATGATTTCTGATTTACATTTATGTAATTCTGCCTTTCAATTTGCATTATTACGAATTTTGATTCTCTTTGCGACACCTTTTGTTTTACATTATATAATTTATAACGCATTTTGTTCCACTTTCAATCTGGTTTGTGCTATGCCTTTTGATCACGAATCACGTTACTATGTCGTTTTGTTAGCGTTATAATCTATTCATCTTTAAATGCCTTTTGTTTTGCTTTATAACGGTTTCTGATTTGCGTAATTATGCTTTTCATTTCGCATTTCGTTTCACTTTAATCAGTAAGTCTGCAATTTGGTTTGTGTCTGACATGCCTTTTGATTTGCGTTATAACGCCTGTATTCATGTTTATTAAATGCTTTTTATTTCGTGTTATGATTTGCATAATTACAACTATCACTGAGCATTATTAAGCCTTTCGTTTCACTTTCGCCTTTTGTTACGCTTTCACGTTATAATGCCTTTTGTTTCGCTTTATCAGTTAAAGTGTGCCATGACTGCCTTTAGATTCACCAATTGCTCGGATTATACGCCATTATTCATGTTTAAATGCCTTTTGAAGACCTGCATGCGAAAGCAAAATATTTAATTGAACCTTCTATGCAACAGCAACCCCACTGCTTCGCTATCTCACTTTATATCCGCCCCTGTATAAACTTTTGATATTGTGCAACGTAAATTTTGTTGTTTATTCGCAATTGTACTCAGTTGTTTTAGATTGCATATTAAATCAAAGTCAAAATAAAGACAGCAAAAAGAATATCATAGATAAATATATCTTAAATAATCTTTAAATCACCCAAAATACTCCTATTTACCAAATAATACTGCAGAGAAAATATATCTAACCAGACGCCATCTTTTTTACGATTACAATAGGTGTCACAGTAATAAGCTTCCCGTTAAATTAGTCCTACACTCTTCCTTTCCGAATTTTTACAAGACATTTTTTACAAATAGATCTAGGCCTATAACAACAAATTAACCCATTTCAGCATGTCTATATCTTAATTTACAAATGCTATATGACCCATGATTAGCAAATAAGAAGATAAATATAGCGTTTTGGCCTTGCGATGGACCATGGCGGGCAAACACGTCTGTGTGGTGTCGTGTCGTATATGGCGTGTCATGTATTATTTCAGCTCATGTCAAACATCGTGTCGTTATAATTCTATGTCACGCTTTTATTTTAAAAATAAACACACGTCGTTAATATCCGACACGACTCCTGATAATATATTAAGCAACGTCGTGTAGTTTCCTTTCAGCCATGACACACGACAAATTAATAAAAGATCACATGACAACGCCACGCAATTTAATAAAATGGTCAGACACGGTAGATGCAATACAGTTAACTGTTGTCTTTAAATAAGCGGGGGCGCGGGGCGAAGTTTTATTTATTAAACTTCGTTCCGCACCCCCGCTAATTAGCATGTTTTCGCTCCGCGCCCCGCCCCCTGCCCCGTGGCGAAGTTTTATTTATTATTTATTAAACTTCGCCCCGCGCTCTCGCTAATTAGCGTGTTTTCGCTCCGCGCCCCGCCATTTTAACTTGTTAATTCTCGACTTTTCGCTGGGTCGCGGGGCGAAAACACTAGTGGCACAAATCAGCCACCATATGATATTTTCCAGAAGGGATCAGTAGTGAATCCATAATTTGGTGGCCCATCGTGGATAAGGATGTCATGAGATACTTTTACCCAAAACAATACAAGAAAAATGTGTCGGAATTATTAAAGAATATGTTTCTTGGAAATAGATAAATATTAGTCTATGTCGCTCTTGAAAGACAATACCAGTGATACGTAATTTGTCAAAGCGATTGTATTGCCGCATTAGGATCTTAATCGTAAAAACAAATAAAATAAAATATCATCTATATCTACTAACTTATGTAATATATGACATGGAAACTTAAATATAAATAAAATTGCTTTTTCATTTATCACATATGTATAATGTATTTATTACAACTACATACATATAAATATGTTTGCAATACAATGTCTCCACAATGTTGCGTGCACCAATTAAGACAGAAAACATGTCGTAAACTAAATCATATCATATAAAATTGTCAGTAAGTACCACGTGGTTTTTAAGGGAATCACGTGCAATTTTATAGGCCTTTATAGTTTTCATACACCGGTGAGATGGTGTTTAAACTGAACGAGCGCTTAAATGGTCCATTCTGTGAATTTATCATGTACTGTAAGTATTCATGTAAGTACAAATGTAAGTATAAATGTACTTGTATCATGTCTGGTAAGCTAAGGACACATATTATGCTTCAGAAATCCATATTTCTTAATTCTTTAGAAATGTCAAACATGTGTTTAATAATGTTTTAATTATGAATTAAGAACGTGTTAGATGTTTAACAACTGAAGAAAGTAGCACTGAGCGTGCAGGAATGTGTCATAAAGGTAGCAAAATGTAAACAAAGTAGTATTTTGACTTCCATACAAAACACTTATTCACTTTTATTATTACAATTGCCAACAGACCAAAAGAATTAAAAGGTAGTTCATCTATTTAGCAAATAACTAGTTTTTTTAACTATAACAAGATACAAAAAATAAAAAAAAAAATTGAGAAATAAAAATGATAGCATTTCTGAGGCATAATGGGCCCTTTAATCACATTTTGAGAAAAAATGTTCATGTGTTAACGCCTTCTTTTCACAATTTCAGTTGAATGGTTAAACTATTTTATTTATTTATTTCTTCTTTTTTTTTGGGGGGGGGGGGGGGGTCCAAAACACACTGTAGCTACTTGGTGTATTATTATACCTTGCCGTTGAACGAATAACGTCTGTCGGAGAATATAGGCAATGCCGCAAGATTTAAAACAGGGAAGAAAATAGTTAAATTATGGAAGAAAAAGAACGAATTAATACCGAAAGTTTAACGAAAAGTATATTTAAAGGTAATATATTTGGGTTATGATTTATTATTAGAAATAACTGTAATAATGCGTTATGTCCTACGTTAATTGTCTTCTAGTTGCAAGGGTTTTGAAATGAAATTGTCAGAAAGATAAATTGATAAATTACGATTATGAAACATTATATGAAAATGGTTCGAATTTTGCATTTTGTATAGCACAAAGCCAATATCAAATGACTAATTTATAACAAATTTAATTTGTCAACATTAAAAAAACCACAACACAGCTTATATCAGTTAAATAATTTTACACTTGACTTTTAATTTAAAAGACTTTTTTGATTAATTTAAGATTTGGCATTTTAGAATAGATTCTACATTTATATCAGTCATGTGTAAGTTATTTTAATGTACTAGACTGGTATAATTGCCGGAAAAACGATCAAGAGCAACACAGAAGTGATTCAACGAGACATCAGATATCAGACTGAAATAATAAATGAAAACTTTGTATAGTGTCTAGTAAAGTAGATCGGTGAAGACGAATGAAGTAATTAAAAGTGACCTTCATCCAAATATTGTGCTGAAAATATTTGATACCCGTATGTGTCTGTGTAGTAGGCCCATAGGCACCGTTGTCATGAAGTTTATTATAATGTTATTGATATACTAAATGTCAAAAATCGCAAGAAGGTTAAAAGAGTTGTTTAAAAGAGGATATAAACGAGAAAAAAAATTGGGGAGGGGGCAGGGGAGGGGGATGTAAAACTAGGGAACTGGAAAACTAAACTGAGACATGTTATATGCTAGATATATGGCTGCATTGAACTGCTCTAATAGTGGGAGTTGGGATATGGGGTAGGGAGAAGGTCACCTGATGTAAACAGTCATAAGAAAGAAAAGGTATTTGTAGTTGTCTGAGGTTGCTGTAAATAAGCCATAGCCCAGGAGATGGGACGTCCGGTGGTATTGACTTCAAAACACTTGTCCCTCACCGCAGGGACTTTGTATTCTTCCACTTCGGTGTTTCTACTCAGGCACCAGTTAGTGCCTGAAATACTTCACGGAAGGGCACCTGAGGTCTTCCTCAACCAGTATAGCTGGAAAGTCTCCATATGATTAATACTGTGTTAATGCGATGTACCCCATCCACCAGCTATATAGGGCGTGATGTTCGAGAGAGGGGAGTTAAGTATTTTTCGATGAGGAGAGCAACGAGACCGTACTTCATGACAATTAGTATATACACATTACTAGTGCAATTATACATATGCACATAAGGCGAATTTGCGATTTTCAGTGATTTAATTTTTCTTTGTTTGTATGAAAAGTTTCTTTCTTCAGAATTTAGATTATCCACCCTTCACATTAACTTTAAATCTCAGATATATTTGAGTTTACATTGTCATGCATTTTTATAAAGCAAACATATTTTTGTTTTTAGATATCCTCATAAGTCCAAACAATGATGATGTAATTATTCCAATCAGCGCCACTTTCGACAGAGTTGTTTTACATATTGGTATTGGAAATGGACAAGGAATCTTTATAGAGAAGCCTGATGTTAAAGATTGGAAAGAAATCAAAACATCATTCAAACATGCTACTCAGAAGTTTATGAAAAGAATCTATAAAAGAGACGCGAGAAATGTGGGTGCTATAGAAATGAACCTTGAAGAATAAAGAAAGCCTTTGGTCGAAGTTAAAGATAAGTTCATTGGAGACATTTCAAATAGACAAGATATTGACAGATACTTGCTTAGGTATGTTAACTCATTTTATGGTAAGACAATATCGAAACCTGCAAAAAGATTGTCAAAAACTGGACTCCTGTTAAGACAGGCTAAATCCGAGGGTGTGAACAGTATAATTGATAGCATGCATGTCGTCTTGGAAATGATTTCTATATCAGACACCAGAAATATTTTGTTACCAGAACCAAAGCACGATTTTCAAGACCCAACTGTAACAAGTTTGAATACTGACATGAATTTTTATAAACGCTATTAATCAAGTTTAAATGCAACATTAGCCGCCACTTCATACGATAAAAAAGCTTTCAAAGCAATTGATAAAGCTTATCAAAGTGAAATGCTAGCAATTTTAATTGATACTGCAGTAGGTAATCGTATTAGTCGGGCATATTTGAATTGTTTGAATACTGGATTCCAAACAACTGAGTCATATTTGACTTATGTAAACGACATGGAATGGGATGCAGATTTTGTTAAGTCAATGCAAGACTCTCTGATGTTTAGTAAAGATGCATTGACAAAACAGGCGGAAAAACAAAAACCAATAAGAGACTTCTGGAACAGACTGATACAAGAAACAATACAAGAACACAAACAAGAAATAATATTCCATTTTCAGAGCAGCCCGGCTCCATTGAGAAAAATATTATAATTGTTAAGGATAGAGATGGCTTACTCGCAGAAAATGCACATTACGACAAAGCCTTCATTTCAGAAGTTGAAAAGGTGAATATCCAAAATATCGACAGTTGTAATAAAGATATTAGACAATTAGGAGGAAGAATTGGTAGACAAAAGACAAATGAAATCAACGCTGATTCTCCTGATAACGCTGATACAAAGCTGCGAAAAATAGATCTTGTGGAGAAAGAAAGGGCATTAGACAATGATCCACATACTAATAATGTAGTCTTAGACAAAGTATCAAATGACAAAGTTATAGACTTAAAATTATATAAAACAAATAAAAGCATTGAATCAGTTTATGCAAATGTAGGCTTTATACCAGATGAGACAAGCATAAGAATAAAAGGAGAAGAAACAGTTGTTGATATAGAATCAATAGTTATTACAGAGCATCATGAAGTAAATGTATCAGAAGAACGGAACAGAATCGTTTGTATATCTATAAATTAAGACGAAGGAAATGAAGAAAAAGAAGACGATGATGATGATGATGATGGTGATGACAAGTGTGGTATTTTGACAATCTACAAAAAGAGTGGTCTACACTGTGAACTAAGCAAAGTAAGTATTGTATACTCAGATGAACGATGTTTTGAACTTTTTTGTAACGAATATGTAACTCTAGATGATTTTACACTTAATAGAAACTCTCTTTGAATATTTAGTAATAGCTAATGACGGTTTCTATGGAAACATACAAAGGTAATACAACTGCTGTCATTCGTTTTAATCATTATCAAAGAATAAGAATTGAGCAAACTAGAATACTATCATGCTATTCAAAACCAGTCCAAGTATTTAAATGTCTTGTTTAATATAAGTAAAGACTAAAACATATGTTCTGATGACAATACATGTATGTACCTTACAATCTTGGTTATAGAAGAAAGATTTTAGAAAAGTAGTCAAATAATGTGATGTTTTATTTTGTATTTACAGATAACTGTAGAAGAAAATGGTGCAAACAAGGGAGACTTCGAATATAAATTCTTTTCTTTTTCAACTTTCATTAGATAAAACTGTAATCAAAATAAAATTAGTTCTATTAAAAGCTGATGTTTAAAAAACAACAACAACAACATGAGTTAGTTTTATTGTCATTTGTTTGTAACCAGTTTTTAAAAGGAATGGGGGTTAGGGGGAGGGGGATTCCCACAAAGTTAAGTAACATTCGTACCAAAATAACCCGTTATCTGTTGAATTTCTTAAATGGACTTGTCTAGCTTCCATTTTAGGAAGTCTTTGGAAGTGCCCATTATCAAATTATGGGATTTCAAGAAAACGTAATAGAGCCTCGCTATGACACCTGTGATTTGCATCATGAACGATTATGAGTTTTGTAACTGTCTTATTTTGAAATGTGTTTGCTATATCAGATGCCTTCAGACTCAAAGCGGCCTTCAGCTTTCCTAAAGGTTAAATATGTTATTTTTAGATAAATCGAAATAAAAAGAATAAAGGTGGGAAATGAAATTACGTGGTGATAAAATAAACAAACAATAAGTAAACCACTTGATGCCTCTAATCTAAAGGTCCGATCTTTTATTTACATTAGAAAAGCGGCACGATCATTCTATTTTTAGAAACGAACGTATAAGTATAAATATTTCTGATTTGTGTATGTTGATATTTCGTTCAACATTAAATGATTGTTTGGCATTAATGTACATTGTACTATAATGTGCTATTAATGCATTATTGTTAACAGCAATTTTTACTGTCGACATTCTTCTTAAATTGGTCTGTGGTCAGCAATATCGTTTGTTTCCACTACTCTTGACATGGGAAACCGCGAGAATTCAATCTAATGCAGAATAAAGATTAAAACCACCGAAGTTCCATGTTGATATCTCTTAAAGGGAAAGGCAATGTTAGAATAAAAACTTGATATTAATAAGTTCTTCATCAAGATATATTTCTGTTGTACCAGCGTGTACACCTTCTATACTGTAAGTGGGTGTAATACGTCATAATTGCGATCTCGTCTGTCTCGCGAGAGTGAAAGAACGCCAAAATGGCGGCGCCCATGAACTTATTTCTCAAGTAAAAAATAGTGTCTTTAAACACAAATTTCTCAATTATACGGTTGATTTCAACAGAAAAAATGTCATGGTAGTTCTTTTAAAATGATTAATATTTATATAAGACATACATCAATCCATCCATTCCTATTCCTTTAAAGCCTTCAAGTTATGTTCTGAACATACTAATTAAGAGCAGCAACACCAAAAGTGTTTTCATCAATGAGTTAAGGATCCTGTGCACTGCATTTGTCCTTAGAAAAATCTATCCATTTAGTTACCAAATATTGACCCAAAATTATGCTCTGTGGCAAAAATAGGTATGAAAAAATTACATACGGCAATAACTCCAAATTATGCAAAAGAAAGACAGGTTCTTAAGCGCTGCATTTTTTCCCCTAATTAGATCTATCCATATATGAAGCTTCCGATACTTTTTGAGAAATACCACAAAAATTAAGTATGAAAAAAGAAGGAAAAAACAAACATCCACCTATGAAGTTTCTAACTGATATCCCAAGATTTTGTTTTGAAAAAAGTAATGTCCAGACAACAACAATAACAACAACCCCAACCCACAAAAAACAACAACAAAATTTCTGCCGAATAGATTTAATGTCCTACTATCGCTTTTAAAGAAAAAGAGCGGGCACAGAATTTTGAAATTGATAGAAAATGACTACGTGTGACATTGACCTTGACCTGAGGAAGGTCAAATCTTTGCTCTGCACATTCTTCTAAGTATGGTTAACATTTCTGCCAAGTAGTTCCAATTTCCTTCTTTGGTTCAAAAGATGCAGACCGGACACGAAAACTCCTATATAAATCTATATAAATCTATAAATCCCTAGGGCTGGGTCAATTTTGAAATTAGGAAGCCCGAACTTGTGTTCTGCACACCGTCTTAATAGAAGTAATATTTCTGCCAAATTATTTTAATTTCTTTCTATCGGTTCAAAAGATACAGGGCGGACACAAAATTTTGATATTGATTTTGAATGTGACCTTGACATTGAAAGATCAAACCTACGCTCTGCATATCGTCTCATTATGGCAAACATTTCTGCTAAGTAGGTTCAATTTCCTTCTACCGGTTCAAAAAGATCGGACACGAAACTTGCTAAGTGACGGACGGACGGACAACAAGGTGCATAACAATATACGCCGAGATATTTTCGGCTGTATAACAAAAAACAAACCCATGGGTCATTTTAAAGGATTTTGATGAATATTGACACCTTCCCGTTATTTAATGACCCAACCACGTGTGAAAAAATGACCTTTGTTGAAACTGATCAAATACAGCAGGGCACAGGATAGTCTTAAACATTGATAAGTGATCAACACAATATTGTCAAGCATACCTATATAAGATCATACACACGAACCAGCAATATTTATGTATTCCTTTCAGATTTTTAAGTGATGAATATTAATTCATTTTATTTAAGTTGCCCAGGGGCTAATAACAATTTACAAATTCATCGTCAATAACTCATAATGGACAGCTATAGGGTATTTATGAAGTGGACTACATGTATAAGATTACGTACATTGCATGCAGAATAATGTATATTTATGTTTTTCCACTGTCAAGGGGAGTGGCCTGTCAGTATTAAAGTGACTGCCTTCTACTGATGTTAATGTTTAAAAGATATCACACTAGGTAAAACTCATCTACCCCTCTAAATGTACTGATCAGGGGAAGTAACCGCTGCAAGAAGTGTAGTGTATCAGTAACAGTTACTCCCCCGAGATAAGAAACCGTTTACTTTATACTTGAGTAGCACAACTTTTGTTCCCTGAGGAATGTAAAACTATCGATTTTCACGCCGAAAGATATTAATTTATTATTTATATCATATAGTCCTTCTAAACATAATGTTAAGAGAATATTTCTAAGGAAAGAGATATAAGTGAATTTCAACAGTTGATATTACACTGGTGTGCTGGTCATGTTAGACATAAAGTTGTACATTGGTCTGCAAAGCTATCTTAAATATAAAATCTCATCTGCTATTGATTTAAGATCCGTGCAGATTTGTTGCAAAATGAGCCGCGTCACGACAAAACCAACATAGTGGGTTTGCGACCAGCATGGATCCAGACCAGCCTGCGCATCCGCGCAGTCTGATCAGGATCCATGCTGTTCGCTATCAGTTTCTCTACTTGTAATAGGGTTGGTTAGCGAACAGCATGGATCCTGATCAGACTGCGCAGACGCGCAGGCTGGTCTGGATCCATGCTGGTCTTAAACGCACTATGTTGGTTTTGTCGTGACGCGGCTCAAATATTGTGAGCGTTATCCTACTGACAACAACGTTTGTTTTAATATGAACAATTAATATTTTTACATTCAACTTATGATATCTACATTCTTCCTTTAGATAATAATCAAGCTTATTGCTTCAGTACTTTTTGTATATATAATGCAAGAGTGAGAAATAATTTCATTTCAGCTTCTAAAATTCACTTAATGTTTATATCATATGATGCTTAAAGGCCCATTATGCCTCAAAAATGCTATTATTTTTATTCCTCAAAATCCTTTTATTTTTTTGGTGTCTGGCTACCACCACCCCCCCCCCCCCCCCCCCAAAAAAAAAAAAAAAAAAAAACAACCAACAAAAAAAAAAAAAATACAACAACAACAACAACAACAACAAAAAAAAAACACAAAAAAAAAAACAACATTCGATACAATCAAACAAACAAACAAAAAATATGAAACAAAGGAGAGCTTTGGAATTAATAATTTTCTTCAGAATCAAATACAATTCATTTATTTTTCTTCAAACGATAATAGGTTAATTTGTTTATGTGATTTAGTTTTAAGCGTATATTTAATAATAAGTGGCCATATATTAAGGATGTTACCACTTTGTGTATATTTCCCTTTAAGCGATAGAGGTAGACGTTAACAAGTCGTAATAAGGTCACTTCGCCTTAAAACCTGGACACCTTATCTCATTAATGTACGGAAGCCTTTTTGTGGTATTGCTATCTTGTTCGATTGATACGTGACTACGCTATAATCGTTGCCATTCCTTTATATGTCAAATAAATTCATGTATTTTTACATGGAAAACTCTTTAAAAATATGTTTATAGAAATGCCAAAATGTTCGTACGATTTGAAAAACTATAAATTTCGTTTTGACTTGTGTAGGTTTGACGATATTTGGTTTACCACGACACGTATTCCGTAGAAAAGATACGACGGTTCACTATGTCACGATACGATTTTTATTTCATACTCATACATTTTCTGAACAAAGATTATGAAGACTGGTTTTATTACATTTGTGCGTAAGATTTGTTTTCTGTTAGTAATTGTAGGAATAATTTGTGTCGTCTTCGTGAATATTCAGTTTAATATGAAAGGATATTGGTTGATGCCGACGGCATTGTCATATTCATTCGAAAATGTCAAGAATTTTATACGGAATAGTAACATTTCTAAACCGGAAGTTGAAAAACAAAGCCGCAGACGATTAATAAACGTGTTTGAAGGTGTGCAAGTAAAGAAAAAATCTGGGAAATTTGCAGACACGGTAATGCAGTTTTCTGACAACAATACAAGAATTGATGTAGATAGTAATAAAGAAACTGAGAAGGAAAATCGCAAAGTTAACATTCTGTGGTACAATAAACCTGCATGGATAGATCTTAGTTTTGCAAATCGTGTTTTGCCATCTGATTGCATTTACAGAAATTGTAGAATGTCAGACGACAAATCAGATATTCAAAAGTATGGAGCCGTGGTGTTTACATTAACACAACAATTAGACATCATACCCCCTGTGGTAAAAAATGAAAGAAATGGTGATCAAGTTTGGATATTTTTCGGTTTAGAATCGCCAGTAAATCACAAATTAATAAACTACCGACACAACAGTTGGATGGATACTATGAATTGGTCCATGTCTTATCGTTTGGATTCGGACATATTTTTTCCATATGGAATGCTTGAAGAGAGAAAAGAGGTTCCAATAAAAGATTATAGTGCAATATATCATCTAAAGACCAAACAAGCTGCTTGGTTAGTGAGTAATTGCGGGGCACCAAGTAGGAGGGATGATTTCGTGTCGGAGTTGAAGAGGAGTGGCTTGGAGGTTGACATATTTGGTGTCTGTTCTGATAATGTATTTCATAACAGAGGTGACATGACTAAACTTATTGACCAGGAGTATCAGTTCTACCTGAGTTTTGAAAACAGTTTATGCCAAGATTACATAACAGAGAAGTTCTTCCGGTATTATAATCTTAATGTTATATTGGTGACCAGAGGCGGAGCGGATTATGACCACGCCCTTCCAAATGACACTTTTATCAACTCCGCCCACTTTACTACTGCACGAGCATTGGTTAAGTTCTTACATAAAGTGGGTTCATCGAAAACCCTTTACACGGACTTTTTGAGAAGGAAAGACAAATATTTTGCCCATGAATTGTTTACAATGACAACGGGCTACTGTAGTATGTGTGAAAAACTTAACAACCTGAATAGAAATAGAAGAATGTACGCTGACCACGTGACTTATATACACGAAGAAACCTGTTGGGAACCATCAGATATACAATCAATAACTACACAATTCAACTACAATGTTGTTTTAATAATAAGTCTACCCGTTTTATTTCTAATATCGTTATTATTGTGTTATTTTGCAAGAAATCATGTACATACTTCATTTTCTAGATGTTTAAGAAAAGAATGACACGAATTACAAAAGCTACATAAAGTGTTCATATATCTATAGTTTATATCATTAGTTAAAAAGCTTTTTTATGGCTCTATATAAACTGATGTTTGCATTTGTAACCCAAGTCGCTAGACCTCTAAACAACTGTGTTCAAGTCATGTCCCTTATAGGGTAAAATGTCTTTTGTACTTAATTAAACTGAAAACAAAACTTTATATTGTACGGCACGATGAGTTGGCACAGCACATCACTTGCTATTTTGTAAGCTATTCCAGTAGGACCACTTTACTGGTGTAAATTATTGAGACGTAAATTTTTAACAGTTAAACCATGTGATTAATATATTAAGAAGTGTGATGCCTGAAGTTTCCACTTCACACTTAATTCTACTCAAATCCTCTCCGACAGACAAAGTGAAATAGCATTTCGCACATGCGCATTCTGCATAGGGTAAAAGGCATTAACGAAAGAATACATTTTATCAGTATTACACGTAGTAAATACACGAAAAAGAAAAGACAACAAACAAACAACAAAAACCATTAACAAAAAGTTATAGTTATAATTATTTGTTTGGGTCGTCAGACCAAACAAATAATGGTAGCGAAATTTCAGAGTCTAATGCTGTTAATTGCAAATGCCGAAAGTAGTCCACTTTATTGAAGCGGTTACTTCCCTTTATATGTACACTAACGCCGAAAAATTCAGGAGAGATCACTGCGTAAAGATGGTCAAAGACAGGCACATTAATTTTCAAGCAAAATAATTCCCGAATGGTCGAAGATTTCTAATATTGTTTTATTGTATTTTCTGATCGAAAATAAGTAAATACAAAGCGGACATTCAATCTCTGACACAGAAGTTTACGACAAACCTAACAACAAGTAGTTCTCAAAACAGCTTAAAACTAGCGATTTAAAAGAAAGAAATATTTTTATTTTGTTACAAGTATCCAACTCAAAGTTTAGAAATAGCGTTGGCTTATAGAATTGTCAATAAATGCACAATCACAAATTACGCGGATGAATATGATTTTATCAATGAAAATACTATTTTTAGCGATGTCGATTACCGAATACTACACAAACCGAGTAGTGGAATATATAGATTCTACATGTCGGACTGTTTGGGCGAGAAGATTTTCGCTAAATTATTTACTTCAATTTTAAACAACAGGTTTATCCTGAACAAAATACCTCGAAATTAATAAGGATTACAAACCCGAAATGCAATGGAAGTTCTAAATTTAGAATGACTTGATGTTTTCAGACATTGTTGAATAACTTCTCCGTGGTGCAGGGGTAACGCGCTCGCTTAGTGAGTGAGAGGTCTGGAGTTCAAATCCCAGTCGAGGAAACTTTTTTTTTAATTCTTTTTTAAGTGTCTTAAGTGAAGTAGCCATGGTATGCAAGGATAAAGTGTAGCTGTCGTAAAAAATGAACATAAATGATATTTTGATGCAACTCTAGTTATGCAGAATTCCGTATGTATCAAACTCTGGTGCCTTGCAAAATGAATTATAATACATAAAAATAAACTTATACAGGAAAATGCATACAGATATACAGTACGTATTAGATTGCAAAGATCAGAAAATACCAGAGAACTTGCAGCCCTTTGATTCTTTATAAATATACATGCTAATAGTAAGCTCCAGGATTATTTACATCTGTGTTAAACAACAGTTAAAGTCGTTACACGCCCTAATTTAGAATAATATGGTTTTCTTAAGGCCGTCCACATATAAATTCACCGTGGCTAAAGGGTTTTCGCGCTCGCTTAGGAAGCGAGAGGTCTGGAGTTCAAATCCCAGTAAAGGCAACTAATTTTTTTTTCAAATTGTTTAAGTCAAATAAACATTGGATTGAATATCAGTGTTGCAATTAGTCTTATAGCCAATTTACTACAATTAAAACGCTGGAAAGCATTGGTGGCACTATACATATAATCTCACAACCTGTACCTTTCTTACACTCTGAGACCCAAACAAATTCAGCGCCTTCTGTGCTTTGATTATGTTAGTTTTAGAAAATGTAGAGTATGATATTTTGTCATGCATATGCATCTCTGTAAATTTCTATAAAAAAAATAATAAAAGTAAAAAAACAACTTTATGTTTTGATTTCTTCTGTTTTTATTTGTTTTTGGTCGTCAGACCAAACAAATAATGGTAGCGAAATTTCAGACTCTAATGCTGTTAATTTCAAGTGCCGAAAGTAGTCAACTTTTTTTGAAGCGGTTACTTCCCTTTATATGTAACACTTAGTCCGAAAAATTTAGGGGAGATCACTGCGTAAATATGGTCACATGACAGGCGGATTTATTTTCAAGCAAAATAATTCCCGAATGGTCGAAGATTTCTAATATTGTTTTATTCTTTATAGATAGATATACATGCTTATAGTAAGCGCCATGATTATTTACACAAGTGTTAAACCACTGCAGTTAGCGTCGTTACAAACCCTAACTAGAATAATATGGTTTTCTTCAGGCCATTAACATGTAAATCAACCGTGACCGAGGGGTTTGCGCGCTCGCTTAGGAAACAAGAGGTCTGGAGTTCAAATCCCAGTTAAGGCAACTCATTTTTTTTCAAATTGTTTAAATTTGTTGCAATTAGTCTTATAGCCAATCTACTACAATTAAGACGCTGGAAAGCATTGGTGGCACTATACAAAAACAAATTGTTTTATAATCTCACAACCTTCACCTTTCTAACATTCTGAGACCCAAACAAATTCAGCGCCTTCTGTGCTTTGATTTTTAATATGTTGTGTATAACTTGGGTATAGCTGACTGTACTTGCGCATTAACTAACAAAATATATAAACAGTCATATATCGTATAAAATACATTATATCAATTTATTGGGTATAATTTGCTGTCTACAAACACAACACTAATGATAGAAATTATGGAACATTTACATCTTATACATATTTAGATCTCTTAAATTTAATTTTTCTTTTTCGGATATATTGACAGTCGGTTGTCCAAGCACTGAACGATTTAACTTCATACGAAGAAAATAAGACGGGAAAAGCGCCCGGGAATGTTCCGACAGGAACAGTGCATGGGGAAATAATTTTCTTCAAATGGACTTCGTATGAACGAAGAAAATTTTATACATCAAAACTTTGACTAACATACTTTCCGCAATCACGCTTATGGGCTTGTACGGTGGCACAAAGGTGGCACGTGTGTGAATTTATTTATCTCGTGCACACGAGATACAAGTACCTCGTGGCCACGAGGTAATTAACTGATGCGCATGAGATACTATTTCTACTATATACATAGCGTACATAGTATCTCGTGCACACGACTTAATTCCTCGTGGCCACGACTTAGTAACTGTTGGCCACGACATAGCACATGTATCTCGTGCGCACAAGATAAATAGAAACGGACAAATGCCATCCTTATGCCACCGTAGGCTTGACTAGTTTGTTTTGCATTGCAAAACTTAGTCTGAAACAGCACGATTTCATATTGCTCCTTTATTCATAAATCTTCTGACTGACTCACACAAAAGGCTAGTATAAATGAAATGAACGCTTTATATACAGAAAGAACAAATCCCCGGACTAAAAACCGACCATGCCACGTGGAAATCTCACGGACATATTGCTTGGATTAGGGCTTTGGTACTTATATTGTGCAAAGAAGACCCCTCCAAACTTGTACAAAATCGAATCGGCAACCTAATCAGACCAATAGTGTTTTAACTGTAGGCTACATAAAATGGTACTTTTACACTTTTTATACAGAAGGAACAAATTGCCGGAGTAAAAAACGACCATGCCACATCGGAAATCTCCCAGATATATTGCTTGGGTTAGGGCTTTAGTCCTCATGTTGTTCAAAAAAGACCCTCCAAACTTATACCAAATCGAATCTGCAACAGAATCAGTTTCAAAGGTAGGCTAGAGAAAAGTGTGTCTATACACATTATGTACAGAAAGAACAATCGTCAGTTCAAAAAGCGACTATTTACGCGGGCACTTCACTGTCATTCTCCTTGCGTTATAGCTTTAAGCCTTATATTGCTGTGAAGAAGATCCTTCAAACAACTAAAATCTACTGAATCATTTCTTTTTAGGTACGTAGCGTTCATCCTAAGGTTATATAGAAGAAATCAAATCGCCGGTCTAAAAAACGACTATGCCACACGGAAATCTCCCGGATATGTTTCTTGCATTAGGGCTTTGGTACTCATATTGTGCAAAGAAGATCCTCCAAACCGACTGCAGCATTTTCAATTTTGTCGTTTTGGACTTTCTTTAGGGTTTCTTTTTCTCTCATCAACGTTGATGGAACCCCTTTATCGACTAAGTTTAAAAAAAAATTATATGCGTAAATATCACCGGTTTATATGATAGACCGATGTATGGCCCTAAATAACTGTTCGTACATGAAGTTAATAAGAATAACAAATTTGAATACAAGAGTACTGTTTAATAAGTTTTGTCATAATTCTTGTTATGCAGAGGCACGTTAAATTATCTGATATACATGTGATATTTAAAGGGAAATATTGACCCGAGATATGATATGTAAACTGTCACGTCATTGTGTTGTTTGTTGTCCTCTATCAAGTTTAAGAGATAAGACTGTTGAAACGTTCAACTACACCATTTGAAGACGGTTCTTTTGGTCATTAGCTGCGTTTGATAACAAAATAGGAAAATGTTTATAAAAGGGTTGACTTTATTGGTTGTGGCGTGTATTGGTGCTGAAGCAATGGTTTGCTTCCATGGTATATGTGACAGACTTCCTACAAGAGAGCCACTCACCGGCTGTAAAGGATCCGTGATTAAAAATGGAGGATTTTGTCACTGTTATGATGTCTGCGCCAAGGTAAAGTTTAAGTCAAGTGATGTTAAAAATGTGTCTGTAAATAAAGCTTATCTATTGAAGACATCGGTAAATAAAGCATTTCTATTGAAAAATATATTAAATAAAGCTATGCATATTATTTTTTTATTAAAAAATATGTACACACCTCGGGATGAAAAAATGGATCTTAAGAAAATCAAATTTTAAGAAAAAGAATCTCATTATTTACAATTCGGACTAGGCTGCAAAATATGACATTTTTTTTTACTTTATTCGCTTCGTCAAAATTCGACCGCATAACTTATAAAGTAAGATATATTTTGCATATTTTATCAAAATATAGGTTATTTCGGGGAATAGTAAGTGCCTTAGTTTCGATTGAATCTTTAAATTTGTATATGTGACTTCATATTTACACAGTTCATAAAGCGCCAGCGTGCGTTCTGGTAATTAGTACAGATACTAGTTACAATAAGTCATGTATCTGCATGGAAGTCGAAGTACAACATGTAGTTCTTTGTCTACTTTTTGCTGCCTTTATCACAAATTATTTCACATTTACCGTTATTTTCTTCAACTAACAAGTATCTCACATGTTCTAAAACCACTATTTCAACACATGTTTCTCCATTATACAGAAGAAAAAAAATTCATATATGCCTTAATGTGCCTTAAAGTTATTCACTTGGGCTTGATTTAATTATGATATAGCACGGCTATTTTGTTATTCGGTTTAATATTTCTTATAAACCAGTATTGTTTAACATTTCATTGGTAAAATTAAAAGTGAAACAGCTCATTACGATTTCTTCGTTTGTCTCACCATGTCATATTTGTCAAAATGGGATACATATACCTATACATAATGTATGATATTTGAATTGTTCTTTACTCAATTGTTCCATTAGAAATATGTATATGTTATAATATGACATCGCTATACTAAGGGCAGATTTACATATCATTTTATTGATTTTAAGCAAGAGGGGGAGACTTGCCAATCACGTCCCATTAGAGGCCGGCCAAACCTCGGTACCTGTGACACCGGGTTGGTGTGCGACGCTCAAGAACATATGATCATAGGCGCAGGAAAGTGTGTTAAATCAGAGGAGACTAACGTGACTGCACCCAAACAAGGTATGTGTCATGTGCTAACATAGTTTTTTTGGCGTTATTTAACTTAATTACTAGATCTGCTGTCAAATTTATATTAACAAATGAATTTCGTGTTGTAAGAGCAATATCTAAGGGCTTCTTAAGAATGCAACAATCAATTAAAAATTGGTGACTATTTTGTTTTGTTGTAGGTTGCGTGATATATTTTTTAGAAACAATTTATATACATTGATGATGTCCTCCATTCAGCTAGCTGTACATGCATTGCCCGTCGCTTAATTAGCACCATTAATAATACCAAATTCACGAAAGTGTCCATATCATTTCGAATATTTGCGAGCTTTAAGTTTATTAATTTTGAAAGGTTTTGAAGAATTATGATTGTTATATATTTTCTATCTGGGAAACCATATCTTTAAACTATCGATGGCAGCAGTTTCTCGCTATCTTAAAGGGACCACAACAGGCAGGTGTTAAATAGGGTCAAAATGTTTTTATCTTTGTGAAGGCTAAACTTCATTTTCTAAAATTTTTCATCATAAGTGCGGTGTTTAAATGCATGTTTATTCAATTATAAGTTTGCGCGGTGTGTCTGTGCGCGCGCGTGCGCGCGCGTATGAGTACGTGCACGCATGTGCGCGTGTATGTGAGTGTGTGCGTACGCTGCGTGCATACAGGGAACGGGTTTTGGTAATAAAATGTCAATCCCGATTTCTTGCAATTGGCTAGTAAATGATAATGACCTCGTCTTTCCTTTAGGTATGTTTAAGAGATGCAGTACTCAGTGAGTTATTTTATAATTTAGTATGTATGAAGTAAAGCGATCATATTCATTGACAAAAGTCATTGAACTTCTTAACCTATTCATAGTTGAATATCACGGTGTTTTTAAAACAGTCTTATTTTACAGACAGATCGACACGAACGCTATGTGAGCAGAAAAGAATCTCCGCAATGATATCGATGATTGTTTACAGAGGGCAATGGTTCCCAAAATGTGACGCCGCCGGTCTCTTTAAAGCTGAACAGTGCGATAATATAAGTAAGAAACATGTCTTATACAACACTTAACCTAATCATATTAATTTTTGTAATTTCAAGATTATATTTTATTATTTTAAAAAAGATTTAAAGAGAAATATGCCCGAAAGCAATTCCGGTAACCAACATAGTGGAGCGATTACATTTTTGTCTCGGTAATACAGTACATGTACATGTTATACCATATTCGTATTTTAGCTTCAACCAAAGACCGTCTTCATATTAAGCTTTTACAAATTTTGTTCAGTTTAACCAAATTCTATGTGATCAGATGTACGTTTTTATATAGTTTAGTTTAGCGTATAAATTTTGAATTCTGCTTAAGCCGGTGCTAGGGGTGTGGACAGTAGCTTGCACTTTTCACTACCGTCAATGAACAGCCTCAATCAAAGGGAACCTACAATGTTTTCACTTTTGTCGTTTGTCTTAAGGAATTTTATCTTTTCTTATTAGAGGATAGAAATTTAAAAAAAACACTAATACAGAAATTTCTCCTCGATCCCTATTAGAAACAGTTAGTTCTTTATTGTGGAAGATGCACAGTTAAGTTTAAATATAGTTATAAGGATTTTAAGCAGGTTATATGGGCCTATATTATACGATTGCTTGCTTTTACAACCCGAGCCGGGAGACGAGGGTTATATTGCAATTAACCGTTAATGTACTACCATATAACCTACCAGGAATCTTTATAACGAATTTATAATACTACAAACTTCGTTTTTAGGGGGAAAAAAAGTGAGATTTCTTCATACATTTACAGCAGTCAAGCACATAAAACTTTATAAACGTCACAATTGTCCAATGAAAATCGACGTTACAAACGTACAGTTGATATCTGCTAATTACCAATGTTATTATTTTATATTTTTTAGACCGAGTTTTCTGTGTGGGAACGTCATACGGGGTAGTTCGGACGATCCAAAAAGGTGCTCGTCCGCCAAACTGTTCTTAAACAAGTTTGTCGATAAATTAAATGACATAAAAAGGAAAAATAAGTCATGTTTTTTATATTTTGTTATAACTGAAGTCACTTTTCATGTCAAAGAAATGATAGTTATTATGGATTTTACCAGTTTACGTCGTTATTATGAATATTTCTAAACAGTACTGTTGTAAAGTTATTTGCACTACGAATTAGAATAATCACATCAAATCAGCAATTTCCATATGATCTCTGTTCGTTAGTCTTATATTTTCCAAATTTTGTTCTATTTAAAGCTGCAAACCTACAAATGTGCTAGAAAAATTGTGCTTTTTTTTGAAAAGTAAAATAATATAAGATTCAAATAATTATTTACATGTTATGTGCGATAAATGACTGATTTTGCAGTTTTTATCACCATATTTCTACTGCGTTGCTAAAGCAGAGAGGGCTTATTTTGCATATTTTGACATCTTTCTTGTATTTAACGTGGATCGTAAGTGCGGTTTGCATTGTGTAAATTACTTATTTTACTTCATTTTTCATAAAAATTAGCATAAATCTTGAGACATGCTGCTTTCTTACTTATTTCTAGTCATATTAATGTCTGTATTTTTTCAGCTTGCTTTAAAATGCCAATAATACGTTTTCAAATTATTGCGCTTTTTTCCTTTTTCCTTAACATTGATCTGAAACTTGTCTTTTTCATTTAATTTCAAATTTACATCTTAATTTAAACAGAACTCTTATAATTTACATTGAAAAAAAATATTCTGCCATATTTCTATGTGAATATTAGTTGTTATCCAGGAAGAGGAACTATATATAAGTTTGCTTATGCTTTTCAACTATATGTAATAATTGTATACATATAAATTATAGAAATTGATAAAATGTTAAAATGAATATGTTTAGTCAGCAATAAAACAAACACGAATAATATTTGTATCATCATTAATTACACATTGTAATCAATAAATTGATTAACATTTGAATTATTGCTATCAAAATTGAAAATTTTATTTTGAAAATATTCAGAAAAATTAGAATTTGCAGTGATGAAAATACGATTCACATTGCCTATACATGCATAGCATATAATAACTTGCAAAATAAGCGTTTAATATTATTTATTAAACTTTCTTAGATGTGCATATCATATTATTTTTTTTTCATTTAACATTTCCTGAGTTCTGAAATTACATCATGCATTTATCTTTCTTTGGGATACCCGAAAGAATCCATTTTCCATAAATAAATAGATAGGTTATCTCATCTTGGGATGTGAAAATGTAATTTAGATAAAATTATTTGGAACGCGATATTTGAATTATTCAGATAACAATGTGTATCTTTAACTTAAAAAAACGGACCTGAAACCTACTAATAACGTTTCTTAATAACATTGGTAGTCATGTAAATTTCAATATTTGATATACATGTATATGCATTAAACAGCACATACTTAAAATGAACATTAAACAGTTATAATTTAAATATAATATATAGATCCCTATAGATGAAGTTGAACATAATTGACAATGTCTTGAATTGTATGTTTGGCTATTCCAAGAGTCAAAGGTCCTTCTACAAATGTTAAAGCATTATGAAATGATGTTCTGTGATTGATTAAATCTAAACTAACTCCGGCGTCTTTTAAACGCTGCGCATACATTATACCGTCGTCTCTAATGAGGTCATATCCGGCTGTCATAATATAAGCACGTGGCAAATCTTTAAACATCTCTTTATCCGCCATTAACGGACAAATAAGTGGATCTAACATTTTTCTTTTTAAACAATCCGGTGTCTCTTTCATTCCAAAGTCAGTTTTCTGAGTCAAATCTTTCCTCTTTAAGTCTTCATCAATATACTTCCTGATCAACCATTTTTCGCCATCAACAAATGACGCATATTTAGATGACTTTAGTTCCGACGACGTATGCCTGTTTTCTATCATATTTGAAATGTACTCACTTCCGCACCCGATATAGTTCGTCCAAAACACAATTTGCATTAAGTTATTGACCGTTTTGGAGAAGTATTTTTTATTTGAAATCACAGAGGTTGTGTTATATGTAAACATTTGAAAAACCGGAACTAGAAGGAGTTGAAGTTTGATCTTCTTCTTTAAGCGCAATGACACACTTGCAGCCAAATTACCGCCAGCACTATCTCCGCCCACAGCTATTCTATCCGGATCAATCCGCAAATCTTTTGACTTCTTAACCACGTGACTAATCGCTTCCAGGCAGTCGTTTAATGGAGTTGGATATGGATGTTGTGGACTAAGTCGATAACTGAAACACAGAGTACTAGCTTTTGCATAATTTGAAAATAAATACATTATGCGTTTCTTCTATATATCCATGTTTGTATAGACAATAAATGCATGTATATACTATGCTCTTTTTAAGGTAAAAAACTTGTATTGCAGAAATCTATAATAATTGAAATTCTTACTGAATATGTCTAATTTGAATAAGATATGCATGAACTGTGTTGGGAATCTGTATTCCTTGTAAATGGTTATGCTAACTGTGTTCCTTTCTTTAAAAATCATGCATTTTAATGACTATGTAATAATACTGTGTTTTATATAGTGTGTAGAGTTTAAAAAGTAATGTATCTTCCCTGTGTGTACTCAAGATATGTTAAATTAACATTTAAAGAGAGGCTGTAAGCAATTTATTTTTCAAAAATTTTAAAATTTTTAAACATGGGGTTTACCCCTATTTAATTTTTTTTTTTTAAAAAATTAATATTTTAAAATGGAAAATTTTTTTGAAAACTTTTTAAAAACCCCAATTTTTTTTTTTATCAAAATTTTTGCCCTTTTTTATTTTTTAAAAAAAAAGGGAAACATATTTTTCTCACTCTACTGAAATCACCACCACACCGCTGTCACGTGCTAATTTCCGTGCCAAGGCATCATACGATTCTGAAAAAGATGGAGTTTGGTCAACCCAGGACTTTGCATCGAACCTCACTAGGGCTACGACAATGCTACCATATTTGACACTAGCTTTGGTTAGTTCAATGAAGCAGACTCGAGAATGCTTCAAATAGGTTCTTTAGTTACCACTGTGGGTTCAAATCCCGACAGAGACTTTGGATTGAGGAAGCTATCAAGCTAGCTTATTGAAAGTTGACGGTGCCTGAAACAATGCATAGGAGGGCAACTGAGCAGGGAGTTTTCCTCCAAACTAGTTTAGCAGGAATGTGAACATACATGAAACCCAATTTACTGTGTTGGGATGCAATAACGTAACACCCCCCCCCCCCCACTCGAAACAAAAAAAATTTCTGCGATAGCGAACAGTTTAATTTCTAATTTAGAAATGCTTTTGTTCTAAATGAATATAATTAATGCCTGATAAAAAGGAATAAGACGAAAAGGCTGCAAGTACATCCTTACCTATTGACATCAATGAGAACCCTCCGCCATGGAAATAGAAGAAAACTGGCCTTTTATCTTGGTGTAATGTTGTCTTTGGCTCGTACATCCTCATTTGGATTTTGTTTTCATCAGTGTAAAGGTCGCTGATCTGAATAATGCATATAATAAGAGATGTCCGTAAGACAGCACGCTCGACTTTTCTCAGTGCTCAACAGTAAGAAAAGGGACATTACTCTGTAAAAGGGTAACTTAGATTTATTGGAACTGCACCGTAAAGTTTCAACCCATTGCCTTCGCTTGCACGCAAAATAGTAAACGCCTACCCTAACACGGACACCGGGATTAGTACAATAGCTCTCTCTATTCTTTTAATAGTCGAGGTAAACAGTAAACATTTGAGAATATCAACTAAAATTTTCTTTATTGATTCTGCAACAAAATATATGTCGCATCATTTTCATAAAAATTAATGACCTATAAAACATACAATTTAATGTAAACAAACACTTTCTAGCATACGTTATAGCATATCATATTCTTGCATAAATGTGTCGGTTTTTTTTACTGATTACATGCAACAAAGTTGTTAATTAAGCAATTTGTGTTATCCGTGTACATTTATATAGCACATGCTTTCAACAATGTCATTTGAAAAGGTGAGTAGAAATTTCTGAAAATGACAAGTCATAAATCGTAGATACGTGTAGAATTTCTATTAAAGACATACTTTTATTTCATTGCATTTATAATGAACGCTTTAATTTGTATCAATATTTCACATGGACTATTACCTGTAATGCCTTTTCTTCCCTTTGAACCCAAGGTTTTCCGGTAGTCATAAGAATTACAAACTTATCAACTAGCCATCGATCCATCACTGAAAATGGCTCTATAATGCCCAAAGCTACCATTAGTCCTTTCTAAAAGATAAAAAATTACTTTACCGCGGATGTTTCTAAATTCAAAATTTCACATTTTTTTGTGTTCAAATATGGCATTCTGCTTAAGCCGGTGCTAGAGGGCATGGACGATAACTCGCTCTTTCCGTTACCAGCTTTGAACCGAGTCTGCAACATTTCAAATGGTCGTTTTGGACGTTCTTTAGGGGTTTCGTTTTTCTCTATTTTACTGTAGAAAAAATAACTTAATTTAGGTTTTTATAATTCATTAATATTTTATCAGTGCAACTACATTCTCTGTATTTAACATTTCTAACAATACTCTATATCAACGTAACATTCATTTGCATGGATAAATATAAAACATAATAGGCATGAACGAATATTATTTAAAACAAACTATTAATTCAGTCGTGCAAGATATTTCACTTCTTTTCATTCTTTTTTATTCAAATTACCCTCAATTTTCTTATCCTTTTCTATTTAAATCTTTACAACTGACGGGTTTATCTGATTGTTATTTTTAAAGAGTTACTAAAGAAAAGTAGTTTACAACATGTAAATTTTACCAGATGCCCATAAGTTCTCATCCCAGCATCTATGATTCTGACCTTCCATTTCTCTTGCATATCGTCTGGTAGAGGCGTGTCCAAATACCAACTTGCAAACAATCCAATTGCAATAACTAACACAACGATTCGCCATGAAAACATAATTATTGTCCGAGAAAATGGCTGTGCTAACTTACTATACTCAATATACAACTATGGAGTTTTGGGAAAAACGATTTATTACTTTATTCCGAACTAATTCAATGTTCCGCCAGATAAATCAAATTATATTGGTGCAGGAAATATGTGGGTTAAATTTGATAAATGTATCTAAATGTTTACGTAATAAGTCGTAAAGGGAAAAAGTTTTTTTAAATTTTTTCATTCTTAAACAACATGTTTTGCCTCCCACAAACTTAATTCTTTTTTAAAAGGGGATACTTTTTTCAAGGCTAGTTTTAAGATTTAAAAGGGGAAAATTTTACTGAACGTCCTTGGTCATATATGACAAAGGAACATTAGCTACAACCTATATACGGACGAAAGAAAGTAGATCGAGTTAAAATACATGCAAAGATTTCAAATATTACAAGATTTAATATGATACATGACATTACTGTTTCACATTAAAGTAAGACAATATAATTTGAAAAGATTAAACCACTTATTTAGAGAACATTTAAAAATCTTGAAAAATTGGAGATCCCTCGGAAGCAATGAAATCATCAAATTTAATTGAAAATTGCAGACTCGGTTTGGTTGAGTCTATTCATGAGGGATAGTGGAAAAGTGCATCATCCCTCATGCCCCCTAGCACCGGTTTATGAATACAAAACTGTGTAATGGAAGAATAGACGATAAGAAAAAAGTGTTAAGAAAATAAAGTGTAGATAACAAAGTATGAGAACATAATGTAATTAGCTCAGCATCTTAAGAGAACAAGTAAATTCAATAAATAAAATGTCAAAGGTCAAGCACCAGATTAACCCATATTAATGTACTAAAATGTAAATGTACAAATGCCAGTGACAAAGACTCAAGTTTTTACTGATTTGACAGTTTCTGATCGCTCACGTTTGATGTAAGATCTAGATACTTAAAAGCCTACATAAAAGGCGAGGTTATTCACTCAATCGATGGTGTCCCGGGTTTACGGGGTGTCGTTATATCAAAAATATATTTTTTTTATCTAAAATCGGCCCGAAAAAAAACTTTGATAAAAAAATTCATTAAAACCCTTAAAACAAAATTTGAAACTTAATACAG